ACAGTAGACAATGAGACCATTTCAACTGGAACATTTTATGAGCAGGGCCCAGGGAATCCTGTTGATTTCACAGGTCTTTAGGGAAAAGGTTGGTAATGAGTTCTCTCCATCTCCCTAAGGGGTGATTAATTCCTTGGAGTGAAGAGTAAAGGGGAAAAAGGGATTCCTATGTGATATCCCCCAGCATATGGATTTCTGTCTGACCCCTTTGATCGCTAACGTGCAGGCTTTCCCTTGAGTAGGGACGCTATGGTATAAAGATGTGAACAGGGACTTCCCAAGTGACTGTATTGAATGGATTTATCTTGTTTGTAGGTTGGGAAAAAGAGCTCCATCTTATGATATCATAACTCTTGGCAGACAGACAGGGTGCACAGAGCAATGCTTCCTGGTGTTGGGTGACTCATGGAGAAAATCCTAGGCAGACAGCGTTAGCAAGCTCTAATCTACCAAGGTCTTGGGGGAAGAACATAATGGTAACCCTGTAGGCCTAGTACTTTGAAATTTCTTTGCATTTTCACCTGTTATTTCCCTCAAGTTGCATGTTTCTCCACCTTCCCAAGACTGACCCCTTCACTTTTTCTCTCCATAGAATCCTCACCACCTTGTTCTGACCTGCGGGCCTTCAGAATGGTATTTCTCTCTCTAAGCATCCCAGATTCTTCTCAACTTGGGCCTCTTCACATGTGCTGGCACCGTCTCTCCTTCAAAGCAGTCTTCTCCCAGAATCTTGCTCCTTCATCTAGGTATTATTTTCTCTTTCTCTTCTTTCCCTGGCAAACTTCTAGAAAGAGAGGCCTGCATTCATATTCGCCTCCTGTGCATTCCTAAATCACTTGTATTCTTTGGTCCCAAATTGTCCTTCCCAAGGTCTCCTCAATTGCTTGATCATGAATCACAGTGAATGGCCTCTCCCATTCCCTGATCTGTTTGCAGCCTTCAGCTCTGTTAACTGTATTGCATTCTTCTGGGTCTACAGAACTCCTGGACTTTCAGTCTCCTGCTGTTTTTGCCTTTGGCCTTCACATGTGGTGTATGAAGCTTTCATTCAGCTGTCTTACTTTTCACATTCTTCATTCCTTCCCTTGAGGAGTTAATTTGCTCCTCAGTCAACGGCCATTTCCTCTCGGAGGTCACTCCTAGATCTACATCCAACGCTTTTCCCAATTGTTAGTCACACTTTTGCTGGACATCTCTACCTGGAAGTAACTACCCCTGATGTGAAACTACAATTCATGGGTATCCACTCTTTCAGTAAGCTCACCCTTTGTTGTTTCACAGCAGATCATGAGACCGGGTCTATTCCAGCTCTGCCACCATTCAGGGGTAAAAATTTAAGCAAATTCTTCAACCCACTTGGCCTCAGTTTCCACACTGGTAAAATATAAGTGATTTCTGAATCTGAGTCTGCAAATATACTCAACCCTACTGCTTACTAGCTCAACTGACCTGAACAAATTATACTTTTAATCTAAGCCTGATGTCTTTATTTAAAAATAAAAACATTAATGTTTAACTCATAAGGTTGATTTGAGAATTGCAGGAGAAAATATCTACAAGTGTTATCAGCATGTCTGTACATAATGCTTTATTCTATTGTTCTTCCTGATACCTAAGCTCGATATTTTGGAACATTTTTTATTTCTTCTTCTCTTCCATATCTAGGTAATGACCAACTTTAATCAATCATTCCTAGGTAGTGTCTTAATAGCAGCTTTCATCATTGACTCCCCAGTTACTGCAAGGCACCACGCTACATACTGAATAGGTGTTGGTTCTTGCCTTTGCCATCACCTGCAATGTAGGTGTTGATGTTTCTGTTGCAGAAATGGCTTCAGAGGTCCTTTAAGTGACTTTCTCAGATCACATGGGTAATAAATAGCTGAGCTGAGATTCAAACTACATCTGGCTACCTTTTTGTAAAATCTTCACCCGAGGATGTATTTCCATGGATTTTCAGATAGAGTGGAGGGATGGAGGGAGAGAAAGAGAGATGGAGAAAGAGAGAGATAGAAACATCGATGTGAGAGAGACACATTGATTGGTTGGCTCCCATACGACCCTAACCAGGGCTGGGGATCAAACCGAAATTGAGGTATGTTCCCTTAACCGGAACTGAGCCCTTGACTCTTTGGTCTGTGGGCCGGTGCTTCAACCACTGAGCCAAATTGGCCAGGGCAAAGTCTGACTGCCTTTAACGTCACCTCTATTCCACTTTCCTGAACTTTCTTTTCTCTTCCTTCCTCTTTTTTTCCCTCCATCTCTTCTTTTCTTCCTCCCTCCCTCCCTTTCTTCCTTCCTTGCTCTTCTCACTGGTGTCAATCAAAATCTCTCTCTCCCAGTTTTGCCTACTGGCCTCTCTGCCTGCACGCTCTCCTGGTTCCCTCTCATCCTATCCATCACCACCAGATGTAGCTCCACCTCCTTCCTGGGACACAGTTACCCCCTCTATTATAACAACCTCTATTACCCCCTGCAGACCGCTGGCATTTAAGGCCTCCCTCTGCTGCTCATTTCTTATATTCCATTTACAGAGCTGATTTTGTGTACCTACAATGTACTTTATGTGTTTTAAGCACATTTTTTAAACAAAGAAAACACATATTTTCTATACATGGAAAGTTCTGCCCAGATGAAATCTCATGAGTTACATAAAACCTTTGCTGACTGGTAAAACCATTGTTATTGTTCTTATTTTAACAAACACCACTATTTAGCCATGTCTTGGGACAGATTCATTATTCGATGATACAAGGTAAGTATATGTTATTAGAACTATAATTATTAGAGATCACTTTTGAACGTGGCATCTCTTCTCAGGGTCCTTGAGTTCTGCAGTTATGTAAAGTCTGTATCCATCCCCTGACATCCACTTTTCCTTTCCCAGGCAATGATGTTAACTTTGGAAATGTACACAGTGGGTGTAGAGCTCAAAGATATCCTTTGCAGCATTATTTATAGCAGTGGAAACCTGAAAACACTAAAAGACTTAAGAAAATGAGCAAGCCAGTTATGAACATTGCGCAGCCATTAAAGTAATCTTTGCGAGGAATTTCAGACACATGGGAAATGGCTTTCAGTATGTTAACAACAACAAAAGAATGAAGAAAAATGAGCAGTGACAGCAACAAACAACATAAGCAGGATAAAAATGACCTTTTCATTAAGACCTCAACTATATAATACAGAATATGGGGAAAACCCCTTTTGATTAAAGAATTATTAGTATCTTGTTTTGCTACAATTTTCTATACTTTGCAAGTCTTCTGCTACTGTCAGACAAAACGTGATGACTTACAACAAATAAAGATGCAAGGGTAATTCCCTGTGTTTAGGTCCCCAAGGTCACCCCTGGATTCAGTGATTGCTGGGAGGACTCACAGGACTCAGCATGCAGTCGTAGAGTTGACTGTGATTCATTACAGCAACAGGATATAAAGTGAAATGCAGAAGAAACAAGCTTCTGAGAGTCCTCTCCTGGTGCAGTCCCATAATTCCTCTAGCAATGAGTTGTGCCAACAACCTCTGAAATCTTTCCACTAGGGAAGCTCATTACAGACTCCGTGCCCAGGGTTTTACTGGGGTTGGTCACATAGGCAGTCTCTGCCTGGCACATACTAAAATTCCAGACTCCCAAGAAGAAAGATGTTCATCATAAGCCACCTTGTTTGTACAAAGAGTTGGGGCACAGAGAGCCACTCTCATCGGGAATGGTGGGAACCTTTCCGATCCCAGTTCCCAGAGGCCAGCGGGCCAGCGGGCCAGCCTTGAGCAGCTGGCAGTCTCAGCCGCTCTGCCAGCTCTTCTCTGCACGTCCCCTTGTTCCTCATGCCCCACATTTCCAGACTGCCCCAGGGAATAAGGACCAGAATTCTTCCCTCTTTTCACCTGCCTTTCCATCAGAAACACTGAATCGGTTCCATTATGGTCTTTTCAAAGTCCCCTGAAAGAGGCTGATCGTGTTATGTTTGAAGCATGAAATTTGAGAGAAAAGTCTAGGGCCACTTGAACACCTGGTTCCGCCCACCCACACCTTTCTCAGGGCCAGAGAGGTAGGTGGTCTGTGCGTGGGCTCAGATGGTGAGGCCAAGGCAGAGCTGGGAGCATAATTAGTACTGTGAGTGCCAGCTTCTAGCTCCTGGCACCTGACTTTGTGTGTTTTTCCTTTTGCTCTAACTGCATAAAAATCACTTAGCTCAGTCTTCAGAGCACAAGCAGCAGCACAGAACTCCCTGTCCCAGGAATGTCAGTGCTGCCTACCCTGGGCCTCTGAGTGCAGTTTGGTTTCCCTTCTGCAAACAGAGTGTGTCAACTCTCTTCTGCTGTGGGACATGTTCTTGAGTGATGACTTCAGGCCCATCCATGTCTCCCTGGGAGATTTTAAGACATGAGCTCACACGCTCATATTCGAGTCCCGCTTTGTTCTGGTCCTTGATGAGTCCTTGTGCTCACTTCCTGTCCCCCGTCACCCGTGGTTCTCCCCCCTGCCCCGACTGTCTCCCAGCACCTGTCTTGACACTTATGTACGTAGCTAAGCTGTAGCTTCAGTTTAACAAATTCATGTTCTTTCCATTCCATCCCCCTGGGCCTTTCCCCAGTTCATATTCACTGGAATTTGAGACCTCTTATGGCATAAAACAAACTGTTTTGTCGTGATGGAGGCAAGACCCTGTCTTTATTCGGTTTTACCAAGAGGGGAAGTTATTTCTGTTCACACCTGCTTGCTCTTGCCAGGCTTTATCCTTGATGAGTGCACATTGGTCCTTTTTTATTGTTTTGGTTTGTTTTGTTTTTATTTGTTTTCCTTATTTTATTTTTTAATTTACTGTTTACAGTATTACAGATGTCTCCCATTTCCTCCCTTTCCCCCCTCTGCTCTACCTCTACCCCCTGTTTTGTTTGTTTTTAATCTATAGCAACCAAGGAATCAATAAGTTTATTATTTTATACACATGTTTACTTTACTTTTACCTTGTATTTCCATCCTCTATTCTCTTTAGTAACTTACATCGATGAAGATGAAAATGAAATACTTGAGTTATCATCAAATAAAACATTCCTGGTCAAGCTGCAGATTCCAGAGCAGTGTGTTACTGAAGAGGAATTGCCTCACCTGCTCACGCAAAGGGTAATGGGACTTATGCACTGTTTACTGAGTTTAAACATTGGAATATGGATTCTGCTACAACAGTGGGCACAGAGCTACAAAGGAGGTAGCTTCAAACTTAGATTTTTTTCCTCTGGATTTTGGCAGAAACAGACACTTACAAATTGATTTTATGTCGTGCAGAACCAGAGGGAAGGGCCCTGACCTCCAGCTAAATGCATCCTGGAAGGAGGATAGTGTTCTGCTTCTCCACTCTGCTCTTACATTTAATTTAACTTATAGTTTCATGGAGGGTCCGTGATGTGCTAGACAACATGCCAAATGCCAGGGCCACAAACTAGGCCATTACTGGGGGCTCACAGCCCAATTAGAGGAAGCAAGTACATAGACAGCAAAAATGATGCGATAGATTCTGTTGTTGAGATGCATAATGTGTGTTTTACACCCATAGAGGAGGGGCGTCTAGACCACCTGAGGTGGAGATGGAGGCTTGGAAGGCCTCCTGAAGGAGGTGATGCTCAGGAGGGGGTCTGCATACCAGTGTACTATGGCTCCACATGCTATGTGGTGGGGACTTGCAGAGGTGAGGCTGCACAGGAAGGGAAGTCATGTTCCCTTTCCTACTCTTTGGTGAAGCACTAAAAGGTTTTAATCTGCAAGTTGATGTAGTCAACTTTCATTTTCGCCTTTCTGTGTAATGGTGGAAAAACACTGGAGGTGGAGTTTTGTTAGGGGTACTGCGGTAGTCCCGATGACAAGGAGGAAGCCTTGAACGAGGGTAAAGTCGGGGGGAGAAGGAAGATTCAAATGAGAGCTAAGAGGTCTTCTCACTCAGTAGGATTCATGGTGGTTGGGTGTGAGAGTAAGGGAGGGCGTGATTCCAGGCTCCTGGTTGGGTGGCCCTGTGGGTGAATGTGGCATGATTTATGGAGTGGAAAGTTCAGGACAAGGAGCCCTTTGTGAAATATGGGTGTTCTGCGGCCAGACCGTGGGGGTTGGTCGGGGCCGTCCTGGTCATCTTGTCAAAGACAGGTGGTTCAAAGCCAGACCCAAAAGTTTTCGATAGGAAAATCCAAGCAAGGCCAGCCTGCTGTCCATTGCACTCTTCTTTGCAGTGATAGGTCAAATGCGGTGAGTCCGCTTCCTCTGGCTTCCATCTGATTCCTCCCAAAGCCCCTGCAGGAGGTGATTCCATCTCCATCACCCCAGAGTCAGTTCTGAGCACCCAAGTGCATAACCTCCAGTGCTCCTTTGATCAGCAGTTTGTGCTCTGGGAAGATTATTCCAGGTTCCTCTTCTTCCTCCTTTTCCTTGTTTCCATCTCACCTGCAGTTCCCTTTTCCTGCTTTCCTTCCAGCTGCTCCCAGAGCGAGCTGCAGGGGGAAGAGCCTCTTGCTTTCCTCGTGGTTGCTTGTTTATTGATGGGGTTTGTGTGTGATGAGCAGAAGTGCAATGAATCAGAAAACACACCTGTCACCTGTTACCGACTGGACTCTACGTCAAAGGGAAATGGATGTTAATCATTCACCTGAGACCCGTATCTCTTGCACAGAGCCGGACATGGCTCATCATGTGTAGTGGCCAAGGGACTGGCAGTGTTTCCCCAGCCAAGCCCACAGGGCTCTGAGCCAGTGACTTCTCTGATCAACGGGGATCACCACACTCTCCCTGTGTACCCACAGGTGCATAGGAGAAGCGCAGAAAGAACCTTGTAAAAGATTTTTAGAAAAATATCTGATTTTCAGATGACAAACGTAAGATGCAGTGAAGTGAAAAGACTCTTGCCCCACAGCTTCCCATCCAACTATGTTCAGAAACAAAGATGAGGGACTTGGCGATATCACTGTTTTATTCTCAGGTTGAGAGACACCCTCCGCCCCCTTTCTTCCACTTAGGCCAATTTCAAAAGTTTCTGGATATGGAAGGTAAATGGAGTGGATATTGGAATACTATGTCCCCTCTTTTGCTTTGTTGTCTTGCTTTTGTGAACACAGTTTTTCTAGCCCCTCTCAAATCTCATGGCCTGAGTGGGGCCATTTCTCTGCTAAAGCCACCCTAGTCATGTCATGTACTTCATTCAGGAGTTAGCATGGCACCTCTGATAGGCCAGGGGAGGATGTTTTTCTTATTCTGGAAGCTGTTTTTGAATTAGCCACTGTGCCCGACTCTGGTAATCAGCTCATTGGGCTCCTAGCTCAGTCGGCACCCCACCTCATAGGCACAGTATGGGAGACACTAGAGCAAGGGGTCAGGAGCCCCCTGTTTCTTTGGGCCCAAAGTAGATAGTGTGGTTAACAGCTCCCAAATAAGTAAATACGTCCTTATTATAGCAGGGGACTATGACACCAAAAAGAACCTCCAAGTGGATGCTAAAAGTGATCTAGTGAAGCACTCCATCTCTCATAATTTTAAATTGAATTTTTTTTCTGAGAGCCTAGTATGTGCAAAACACAGTGCTAGGTCCTAAGGATTAATAAAGGAAGGAAGGGAAGGAGAGAACAGAGAGGTTGGAAGGAACATGTCGACGTAAGAGTGTCCAAATCTGCAGAGAGTTGTTATGAGTTTCTTTGAGATGAACTGATCATGCCAGGAAGCAGTCTCAAATGCTCCCGAGAATAACTGTTCTGCATTTTTCTTCTATGCCTATGGAATTAAGGAGTTAATGGCAGGAAGATTACATGAAGTGGGAGAGCAAAGCAGGGAATCTCTGGATTAAATTACGGGATAGTTAACAAGATCATGTATGTGCTTCCTTGTGGGTCTGAAAATGAGGAACACTCCTGGCATTTCAGAGGCATGTTAACCTGCATGCCTCGATGCACAAGAACAATGCATGTACTTAAGGAAAATGGAAACAATGTAAAGCACAATGTCATACCCCTCCGGCTGACAAAAATCTAAAAATCTGGTAACACTGAGTGGGGACAGGTCTGTGGGGAAGTGGGCCACTTTTACATTCCTGGGAGAACAGTAAGAATAGGAGCAACTGGGCAAGATTTAGTTGAGCTGGAGATGTGCCCACTCGTGTACCCACCACGTCCATTTCTCAGCAGTGCCCAAGGGAAACCGTCACATGTGTGAGAAGAGAGCCACAGAGATGGTCAAGGGTGACTTCAGCCGAGTATGTAATAGGAGAAAATGGGAAACAATGCACATGACCATCAGTATGGGGGGTGGGAAAGTTGGCACAATCATTTAGTAGAATCTATGCAGGAGTTAGGAGTTAGCGTGCAAGGCATTCATCTAGACGTACTATTATAGGTCAATCTCAAACACAATTTTGAGTGGGGGGGGGAACAAGTCATAGAAGATTACATAGAGTACAGAGCATATCTTATTGTAATAACAACACAGATTATGTATTGCTGTGATTACACCAGGAAATATTAACGTTTATAAAAACATGCATGAGGAGGATACATGCCCACTTCAGGACAATGGATAGTACTAAGCAGGGTGGGGAGGGGCGGAATTGTGTGTAGGAAGAGTAGCTTCAACTTTGTTCTGTTTCTTAGAGTGAAAGGTTGAACTAAATGTGGTAAAATGTGAAGACAAGAAGCCTGGGTAGTGGGAACACAGGTGTCATTATTTTCTGAGATGGCAATATTTTATGCCTAAAATAAGAACTCCATTATCTTTGCAGTTATGCACCAGCCCTGCTTGGTCCCATTTTCCAGGAAAAGTGCCCTACCTATGGCTTAGCATGGCTGTTTCTTCTCACAGTGAGGCTCTGGAGAAGGGAGAGGAGAGCCCTCGTGCAGTGATGTGCCAGGTCCTGAGCAGCCTGTGCTGACGTCTTCTCAGCCACTGGGTGTTCTTTCCTTCCAGTGTTCTTTGGGGTCTATGTGGGCTCAGGCTGCTGACCATTGGTTATTATGGCTACAAAGTGTCAGTGCAATGCACAAGAGACGTTAAAAATCCCAGCCTGGTCACTTGATCCTTTTAAAACAAGATTATTTTAAGTGAGTGTGAGCCTGACTTTTGGTTGGTGCTAGGCCCACCCTTTTCTGCTTCTTGATCCAGAGTCTCTGGATAAGGTCATTTCTAGCTGGTTTGGCATCTCCTTGGTCTAGGGGTAGTTTTGTTTTGTCTGGTGATATGCGATAAGACCTGGCAGTAACGTGCGTGGTTGTTCCTGTTTGTTTCAGCTCACAGACGTGTACAGTTCATCCCCATCTCTGAGTCGTTATTTTACTTCAGTGGAAATAGTGGACTTCAGGTAAGAATGTGGAGGATCTGGAAAGCGACACCACCGTTTACCTAGAAGGACTTCCCAGTCTCGAAGCACGAAGGGAACCAACAGTAGAATTGTGGAGTATAAGTGCTGGGAGGGGATTTGGACACCAACCAGCCCAACGAGCTCAACTCCCTTCTTTGACGAAGGAGAAAAGTGAAGCCCAGATTAATTAGATAGCTCAACAAGGTTACACAGAAGAGCGGAAGAGCCACTCATTCCTGTTTATCAGCAAATGTGCAAATGAGCTAAGGAAGAAAAAGAACTAGGTCTCAGATAGTGATGTGATGTAAATGATAAAAGCCACATATTGGCTTGTGATTTTGAGGAACGCAAGTAATAAAGGAGTCCATGCTCCTTGTATAATGTGAAAAATGTAAAGATATATACTACTGGGAAAGTCTACCTTCTGTTCTCCACCTTGGCCTCCTACCCCTGGACACCGTGTATGGCAATGAAGTCCATACACACAGTGAATTCCATTCTTCTGCAAAATGAACAACTATCAGCAGTTTGCTGTGATTTCTTCTATATGTGTATTTACTGTACATACTTCATATACTCTACATGCACCCACACACATATATTTTTTGTTTTTAAATTTCCTCTAATCTTTAATGTTTTTGTCCATGCCAGTAAACACTTCCATAAAAGGGCATATGTGAATAGAAGAGTCATTTAATTATCCTTATGTATTGTTAGGACAAAATTTACCTGACTGAACTTTATTGTCTACTATTATCTACTAAGGATATTGCTGGAGTGTGACCGTCAAAGGCAATGTTCCTTTGAGGTTCCACTGTCTAACCATACAGTCCCAAAGCCCTAACCTGGACAGACCTGGGAAGGGAAGCATGTAAATCAGGTGAGAGCACATTGGAGAGGGACAAAAATGGACCTGACATCTGAAAACGCATACAGTGGCAGGTTGCCTTGGCAACACTATCCTCCTTCTTTATGGATTCCTATGTACATGTTACCTTATGGTGACTTCTTTCTTTTAAACTTTATTTTTTAATTACAGTGTATGTCTAACATTATTTTATATTAGTTTCAGGTATACAGCATAGTAGTCAGACAATCATATACTTTATAAAGTGCTCCCTTGGCATTTTCAGTACCCACCTGGCACCAAACATGACTATATAGCCCTATGCTGTATTTTATATCCCCATAACTATTTTGTGACTACCAATCTGTACTTCTCAATCCCTTCACTTTTCACTTAGTCCTCCAGCTCTCCTCCCATCTGGCAATCATCAGTCCATTCTCTGTATCTATGAATCTGTTTCAACTTTGTTTTTTAGATTCTACATATAAATAAAATCACGTGGTATTTGTCTTTCTCTGATGTACTTATTTCACTTAGCATAATACCGTTGGTCCATCCATGCTGTCGCAAATAAGATTCCATTAAAAAAAATTTTTTTTTTCCTTTATTGATTTTACAGAGAGAGGAAGTGAGAGGGAGAGAGAGATAGAAACATTGATGAGAGAGAACACCGATTGGCCACTTCCTGCATGCCCCCCACTGGGGATCAGACCCACAACCTGGGCATATGTCTTGGCCGGGAATTGAACCAGGAATCAAACCGGCGACCTCTTGGTGCATGGGTCGACGCTCAGCCAGCCAGACTAAGATTCCATTCTTTTTTATGGCTGAGTCAGGTGACTTTTTTGACATTACTCATTGTAATCACAGACCGCTCATATTAAAACACCAGTGGAAGGGAGAAATGCATAACCAGACCCGACATGGTTTCCTCCGTGCACTTGCCCCAACTTGCAACTCAGAGATGGAGACAGAGTTAATAGAAGGATGATGTCCCCAGCCTGAAGGGCTTTTCCAAGAATGTAGCCTCCTACTATGGGCTCAGAAGAGGTGGGATTGCATTATGGGGTGGGGTCGACAAGGGGAAAAACCCATCAGAAAGAAATGAGTAAAACATGGGTAGAAATATGAAGACTTACTCTTAGAGAATCTACCTTTAAAAGTTATTGGAAAGAAAAACCCAAGGGTTTTAGTATTTTGGATAAAGAAATTCTGTCTGGGAAACAATTTTGTTTTATTTTTAAAGTTTAGGCAGAGTTTCAGCAGTGTTGAATTGAGGAACGAAAGCTGTGGCCTCCCAAACTGCCCTTGCTGCCTGTGAGCAGGCGACAGCCACATGCCTGGCAGACATCTGTGTCCAGGGGGATCCTGACTCAGTCCTGGCCCCACAGCAGGAACCTGGGAAATGCCCATTGGTTCGTCAGCTGCCGGCCACTCAGGTGGTGGGCAGAGGAGGCAAAGCTCACAGGGTTTTCTGCTTCCCTGAAAACTCCTCTTCTCCCCTCAGAATTCAGCCTTATGTAAATTCACCCCACAACCTGGCGTGGTGGGATGATGGGGCCAGCCGGGCTGCATTAGACAGAGCAGTCCTCTCGTTCAGTGTCTGGCCTGGTCTTCTGAAAGTCAGCCGCTGGTCCTTCCCCCAAGCCAACCTCAGCCCTTGTCCATGGAGTGCCGGGTGGCTGTGTGTCAAGATGTGACCATCCTTAGTGATCATTAGAATGCAAAGTGCAGGGAACACCTGCAAACTAGATTTGCTGGCTTAGAGTCTGAAAGTACGTTTCTCAACCTGTCTGTAGTGGCGGCCTTGGAACTGTTTCTTGGCTGTCTTAAGAGTTTATAAACTGTGGTCAGCCTCGTTAATGTAAAGGTATTGTCCTCTGTGACCTCTGGCCACACGAGGGAGCTCTTTGCCTGTCCTTAGCAGGGCAGAGTTCACCACTGGTACTGATGTGTCTATAAACGCCTTAGGGTGAGAATCCCAGGTGTGGCCACCTCTTAAGTATTTTTTTTTTTGCTTGCTCCTGATCTGGATCTTGAAAGTAATAGGAGGATAATTGTGGAAAACCTAAACATTGACGTAACATTTAACAAGTTATCTAATTCACTCATTAACTGAGAATAGCCCTAGGATTATTTTTATTTTGGCAATGGGAAAAATATGTTTTGGGGAGGTGAGCCCTCCTTTTCCTTGGGTCCCCTTCCTGAGAGCTGCAAAGCCAGCAATCGTGGGAGTAGGAATGGGACACAGCAAGTTTCTTAATTTGGGGACACACCGGGAGGTATCATTTGCTGCTGGTACAGGCACAGGGTGGTCGGTGGGGGCCCAGGAGTTCTGCACCCCTGATGGCAGGGAGCTTTGGACCCTACTTTAAACAATAATGAACTGACTAAAGTGAATAGCTTTGACTTTTGTACTTGTTGGGACAGGGGAAAGGGTGTAGCGTGAGCACTTGGAGAAGGAAATACCAGAGGAGAAACAGGGCTTTCCTGTCCTGCCTTGGGGGTCAAAGGCTGGTGTTGGCGCAGACCAGGTGCCAGCCCTTGGATCTTCCTTGACGGTAGCTGGGTCACATCTCCCTTCACTGGGCTCTCTTAGTGGACTCTGAAGGGATGCATTCTAGGCGGAAAGAGGAGGCGAGGATCATCTGAATTTTTTGTACTGGACCTATCGAAAAGGATTCTTGTAGACCAGCACAGTCTTTGCTATTTTATATTTGAAAGAACTTTCTGAACTAAAATAAGTGTTATTGCTGAAACCAATTTTGGAAGTTGCAATGCAATTCTGTGATGTTTGACTCTCTCTGTTTAATTTGCCTTTCAGAGGGGAAAATGCCACAATAACCTACCACCTGCAGTTTGGGGTTCCATCAGGAGATGACAACTTTATGAAGTATATGATGAGTGAGGAGTTGGTGCTGGGCGTTTTGATACAGGACTTCCATGATCAGAGGCTGTCTGGCTGTGAGACTCTGGGGCTTGGTCCAGAGTCCTTCTCGCTCTATGGTAAGTCGAACAAGTCAAGAAGACAGTTGTGATGGTAAACCTGTGACCCAGACTGGGGACAGCTTGTTGGGGTTGATTTCTGTGCAGGTGATGTTTCATGTTCTGTGGCGGTTAGAGTCCCTGCCCTCCATGATCAGACCAAGTAGCTGGGGGAAAATCATGGAAAAAAATAATTAGACTATAAAGATGAGGACTGCTTAATGTTTTCTTGTTGTAGTTCACCTACAAGCTAAGCCCCACACTCCACTTCATAATGTCATGAGCACAGGCCTACTGCCTTTTATTGTGCTGCATGGATATTGCATTTTTTACAAATCAAAGGCAAACCCTTCACTAGCAGAAGGATTTTGACTCGCTTTATTGCGATTGTCTCTTTATTGTGCTGGTCTGGAACCCAACGTGCAACATCTCTGAGGGATAGCTGTAACCTTCATGAAACACCATGGTTTCATAAGAGAAGTAAGTGGAATGCGCACAAGGCCAGCAGAAGGGGACGCGGTCATGCCAGGCGCGGTGCAGGCAGACCGCGTGGGCCAGGAGAGTGGAACACAGAGGTGTAAAGCACTCGGGACTTCAGCACGAGAGTGGGCGTTTATTATGATGACACTTATTTCTTGATGACAGGAGGTGAGAGTAGACTCATCTCAGCCTAAGAATGCAGAAAGTTGTATTAAGCAGTTCTTAAAGCTTTTATCGCCCCACAGTGAATAGAAAGAGTGACGTTCAGAAGGCTAGACTTCAGCTCCCTGGGAAAGTCTTGTGATTGAATCAGCTTCCTCTCAGATCGTCTGAATAAATAGTGTGTCTGTGGGCCAGGCAGACAGCATGCATGTGAGGAGGGAAGGGCTGGCACCCTGTACAAGGATTTTAGAAAGAAGAAAAAAGCCGATGGCCCCTCCTGTGTAAATCGGTGGGAAGGGAAGTCTACCCTGCATGACATGCGGTGGCCAGGCTGCCCTGGTGACTGGACTGGATTTTCCGAGCTCCCTCTGGAAATTCTGTGGTTGCCAGCTCTTTCAAATGCAGGCAAGGGAGGGGGCAGGAGGGGGAGAAAATGTTTAAGAGGTTTATGAGGTTGGGAGTGTGATATTGGGCATTGCTTCTGAGGCCTGAGCTCAGCCAGCAGCCCCAGAGACCTTTCCCAGGTCGGACTCTGCCTCTGGCCCCGGGGGGCTGCGTGAGCCAGTCTGTGCTCCTCTGGAGACTGTACTTTTCCTCTTAGACATTTCTTCTGGAGACACCTATGACCCCACATCCACTTTCCAGAGCAAGCCTGTGACGTATTTCAGCCATTCAATATTTCCAGGAATGTGACTGTCAGGTTCCTCTCAAGGGGAAAAGTAAACAGTGACCATCTGGGAAGCGAGGAAGGAAAAAGACAAGATCAGGCAGGTTGGCCAAGGGAAGGGACTGGGGTGAGGCCAACTCCAAAGAGAAACAAAGGCTGTGGCAGGGAGAGGCGAGGCCCCTGGGGGGACCTAGTGAGACCCCACGGTTCTTAGGCCAGTTTACCATGCTCACACGTGCTGTGGGCGTGGCAGGTCACCCACACTTCTGTGATGAGCTGGGCAAATAGTTTACCACAAAGATATTGTTTTAATTCTTCAAAGAGCAGAGCTTCTTAAAATTGTTGGGTTTGTATACCCCTTAGAGAATGGGAAGACAGCCAAGCTAAGTACCTTCTTCCCAGAATTAAAAGCATAAACTCCTCCCCCCACACAAAATTTTACAATTTCAGGGATTCCAAGGACACTCTGAGGCCAGTCTGTCGTTCCTTTGGGGTTTGTATGTGTGTGCACTTTAGAGTCAGAATCTTAAATTAGGGTTCCTGGGATATTTTGTGTGTATTCCTCATTTTCAGATTTGGAAATACAATGACTATTTGACCTCCCTGCAGGCATATTTTGATGCTTTATAAAAATAAAAACTTCTCTTACTATTATAATCAGGGGGGATTTTTTTTTGTATTTATCTTTTCTTCCCAGGTATATGAAGATATAATTGATATGATACATATATTGCACAATGATTACCACAGTAAATTCAGTTTATATCTGTCACTTCGTATGGTTACTGATAAAGAACAAAAATTCTACCGAGTGAACTTAGAGATCTCATTGGCTTTATTGCATGATTCATGAAATCAGGCAGCGTCCAGTCTAGTAAACAGAGAGGTACTCGGAGACTGTACGAAATGGGAGGTCTTTATAAGCAGAAAGAGGGCAAGGAAATTGAAAGAATGCAGTATTTCAAGCAAGGTTATCTCTTCCCTTAGGGAATACAGGGGCTTTTATCAGGCAGATGACCTCACAGGGCTGACTGGGAAATTCCAGACCGATTGGTTTTTAGCCTTTTCCCTGAGAAAGGCTGACATTGCAAGTGGGTTAGGCAGTGAGTCTTGGTTGGCTTAGCAAAAGTGACTCCATTTTGAGTCTGTTTTTTCTTTTTCACAGTACAAAATTGGTTTCCCCTTGTGATAAGAACTTTTAGGATTCCCTCTCTTAGCAACTTTCAAAGGCAGCGCTGTTAACTCTAGTCATCCAGTCATGTTGTGCATTATACCCCCAGTCCTTAGTTATCTTACTACTGCAAGTTTGTACTTTTTAACACTTTCACTCAGATTACTCCCCCGGCCACTCTGAACCAACAGTCTGTTCTCTTTTTCTGTTTCATGTTTTTTTTTTTTTTTGGTTTTAGATTCCACATGTAAGTGAGACCATGCAGTATTTGTCGTTTTCTGTCTGACTTATTTCACATAGCGTAATACCCTCAAGGTTAAAGGAATGGTTCTTAATGGGTCCACCCCTCTCCCTCCTTGTCTTTGAGCATGTTCACCTTAGTATGGGTGGGGCCTGGGTATAAGGAGGAGAAGTCTTCTTCAAATGTAAAACAGTGGCTGATTTGGGACTTCGCGAGCTATTTTTGAGCTGGGTCAGTTCCTTTGTGGTGGTTTCTCACGTGTGAAGGCGTTAGCTGACAGACTAAGGGGCAACAGAGGCCAAAACCGGGTTTCTGTGAGGGAGGAGGACAGAGCTACAGGCAGTGAGGACATGAATCTTGTTTGCACATTTGGGGTAAACCCATGTGCTGGCTGCTGGCCGAGATGCCAGCGTGAATCCTGTCCTTGAGAGGACCACCTGGGTATCAAAGGAAACCGTTGTGATGGTTTATAGATTCTGCAGAGAATGTGGAGAGTTCAGCCAAAGAGCACTGATGCTCACTGAGGCCGGTTTGCACCCCATCCAGCCCTCAGGGATATTGGCAATGCCTGCAGACCTTTTCAGTTGTCACTATTGGGAGTGTATGTTGGATACTAATATGTAGCAGGGAGGTGAGGGGTTGTTCTTAAACATCTTACAGTGCTCTCTTCTACAATGAACTGCCCAGCTTGATGGCAGCTGGGAGAAGCCTGTGGCAGAGGACCAGGGCTCTGTGCAGTGTCCCAGGTCCCTGTGTGGGCACCACCCCTGTCCTCAGGCCAACTCACACCACTTTCCTTATCAGAGTTCCTCACAATATACTGTGCATCTTCTAAAAAACTGAAAATTTAGCCCGGCCAGTGTGGCTCAGTGGTCGACCCATGCACCAGTGGTCACCATTTTGAATCCCGGTCAGGGCACATGCCCAGGTTGTGGGTCCAGTCCCCAGTGGGAGCATGCAGGAGGCAGCCAGTTGATGTTCCCTCTCATGAATGTTTCTCTCTCTCTCTCTCCCTCTCTCCCTCCCGCTCTATCTGAAGATAAATGCAAAAATGTCCTCTGGTGAGGATAAAACAAAATAAAACAAAAAAACAAAAACAAAAAACCACTGAAAATTTAAAGGTATTTTTATAGTGAGATCATGAAAAAGGCTTGTAAAATTGTCCTCAGTATCCAAAAGGCCTCATCAAATGTTAGTTGTCATGAATTATACCAAAACAAATGAGTGAACGGTGTGCTCTTTGCCTTTAAAGGATTCTGAGGTGTGAGTGTGTGTGTGTGTGTGTGTGTTGACTTAAGAGTAAATTTTCTCTGTTAGGCATTTACAAACATTCCAATTTTATTTTATTTTACTTTATTTATTTATTTATTTTTTATTTAATTATTTTTGTTACAGATGTTTCTCCTTTTCCCCCCACTGATATTCCCCTTCCTCTCCCCCACCCCCCGCCCTGTCCCCAGCTTTGTTGTCCATGTCCATTGTTCATGCACACATGCATATAAGTTCTGTGGTTTATCTCTCCTCCCCACCCACACTTCTGGGGATTATCAGTGTGTACCCCACTTCCACGTCTCTGGGACTACCCCATTCCTCAGACTGTTATGTTCATTATATTCCACAAATAAGTGAGATCATGTGATATTTGTCTTTCTCTGCTTGACTTGTTTCACTTAGGATAATACTCTCTAGGTCCCTTCATGTCATCTCAAAGGATAAAAGATCTTTCTTTCTTAGAGCTGCATAGTACTCCATTGTGTATATGGTGTTACCTCAAAAAATTAAAAATTGAACTGCCATTTGACCCAGTAATCCCACTTTTAGGAATATACCCTAAGAAGCCTGAAACACCAATCAGAAAGAATATATGTACCCCCATGTTCATAGCAGCACTATTTACAATAGCTAAGATCTGGAAGCAGCCCAAATGTCCATCAGTAGACAAATGGATAAAAAGCAGTGGCACATATACACAATGGAGTACTATGCCGCCGTAAGAAACATTCCAATTTTATACAAGTATATATTCAAACCAAATAAAGCCAAATGAAAATGTGCTTGTTTAAAATAATCATAATTTAAAAAAATTTAGTTTCTTTTGTGTGTTTCTTTTCAGAGTGAAGTGGCCGAGGCTGGGCTGTGTGTGAAAACCATGCTCCCCGGAGCTGTGGGATGAAGACAGTTCATTCTGTTTTACAGGAAAGATACTGTGAATCAACATAGAAGGACTTTGAATGACTAGAGGGCTGAATACCATCCTCTTTCTCCTGATTGTGTGCAGTTATGATGTCCAGCAAAACAGAAAGCCAGATGGGGCAGGAGTGGCGGGGTAGCTGGGGGGACCCTGCAGAGTGAGGTCACTGTTATTCTTGCAGCACTAGCTGTCTCTACCTACACGTGGACACTTTCTCTCTAGTGCTAGGCTGGACTTTTGGGCAAGAACCCGCCAGCCTGTGCAGGTGGAGAGAGCACAGGGAGAGGCAGCTGCAAGACGAGGGAGAATAGAACCAGTAGCTCCCTGATATCCCCTCCCACTCACCATTGTAATACTCAAGCCTGTGAGGAAAGGGAGGGCGGTTTACAGGACCAAAGCAACACAGTCTGTGTCTGTGTCCAGGACCTGTAGCTGCATTTGTTAGCAAACCAGCCGGCAGGCACATCAATGTTACTGTGTAATTGATAGCTGCAGAAATAAGATGCGTGTTTTAAATGACTGTTGCTGTGACTCCTGAATCCCTGTGAGTTTTGAACACTCTGCTATGATTTAGGACAGTTTCTTCATGTATATTTTTACAACCTCCTAGCGGAATCATTAAGACTCCTGACCATCTGTTACAGCTATTACACACGGGCTTTTCATGGCCCAGTGCTAATGGCCTTCCTGCAGGACGCAGTGTCTCCAGGCACTGACTGTGGGTCTTACGGACGGTCGTGAAGCAGGGAGAACCACTCTCCGGAACAAGCTGTTGGAAGCTAGATGCCAGTTTATTTGCAGAGTGGGGGAATATTAGTGACTGCCTCTGTCATTTGCAGACATCGTATTGCCTGTCGCAAGGGAACAGAATATTTGTTTTCCTGGGAAAATTGTTTGCTGGAAATTTTCTAGGAGAAAGAGTTTTGTGCTTCTGTAATGAGAGCTCCGTAGCCCTAATAGCTCAGTTAGCTTGGTCTTGGGTGGAAGTGAGTACGAGGGCAGCTGTGTCTGGGGATGTGGCTGAGTGTATCTCAGGTCGATTTGCTTTGAGCTCTTTCTGACCCAGGAGACTGGATAATGTGAAAACTCTCGGTCTTATTTAACTAGAAGATCCATTTACTGTAACTCTGTCTCATTTTGAGGATAGTTCCTCAAACCAGCGAAACAGGTGAATTATCCTTCTTCCTCTTTAGTTTTTACATGTCAAGTGTAAGCTTTAGTGTATTTGTACTTTTTAGAAAATAATGAAGAACTCTAATGGAAAAGGATTTTAAAATATTGACAATAAATTATTTTTGCCTCTGCATTGTCACATTTACATTTGCTTCATTGGTGTCGTGTCTCCAGGGCCATGATTTGGGTTGGTATTTGCTTGCAGTAAATGGTGTTGGATGTTAGTTTTTCATTTCCCTGAGGGCAGCTTCCCCCTCTGAGGGAGCAGGACTGAATTCTCCGTTTCAGTATGTGCAGGGCGCCGCTTGGAGCCCTCCCGCCGCTCAGCCCTCTCTGGCAGGGCCAGGTGTCCGAGGGCCTGGGACTGAAAGGAAGGGTTGGTTCATATCTGGGCTCAGGACAGGGCTGGATTCGATCTCTTCTCCTTCAGAAAGTACAAAGATACAAGTACTTTGTCCTGGGTTTTGACCACTTGCGAGTCATAGGATTTTCCACAGGGTGGGCTCTTTGGCCCAAGTGGAGCGGAAAGAACCGAACTTTGTGAGTAAAACATTTTGAGGGGTTTGGAAAAAAATATATGCAGTGCTTTGCTATTAGAGGTAAATTTATTGGTCATCTATATTTTAATGATGAGCATAATGCCAAGTACATAATAAGGTTTGAACAAATATCTGAAATAACAATTTGAGAAATAAAACTGGTCTTTTCTGAAAGTCCCTTAGACATGGACAGAGGGATATAGCCAATCAGAGGAAACTGTGCCCCAACCCAACAATCATTCTTTCCGTACCCCATTTGATTTTCTTTTCTTTTTTCTTTTGCATTGCAATTTAACTTAGTGCTGTAGACATTTAATGATGAGTTTTGCAGAAGGTGGTGAAAGACACCAGGGAAGAAGAAGACAATAAGAAAAGAAACTCCTGGGAGTCAGTCTCTGCACAAATGAAACAAAAAACAACAGAAAAAAGTCAGGTTTTAAAATCAAATCAAGACAAACTACAGAGTGGTGAATGGTTAGAGAAAAGAGGAGCCAGTGTAGTTGAATGAGAACAATCTTTGCCCCGGAAGTAGGACATAAACTGACCCTGAAGCAGTGGTGGGATCTGACTAAACAGGTTTGCCTTCCTTTACACATGTTTGTGTCCTTTGAGGATGAGGTGCAGGCCCCCTCTCCCATTTAGGGACTTCTGCCCTATTCAGAGCCTGATCAGTGTGCGGAAAATGGCAGTCATCTCTCCAAATCTCCCCTTCTCTGCTCCCATTTCTGTTCTGTTGCTTTAAAATAAGTTAATTTGCACTTTTACTGCATTTCTGGCAGCTGTATTCAGACACATCCTTTAATATTTTTCTGAATGATTAGAGATCATACCCTCTTAGTGTTAGAAGGCGGTCCCCTCCTCTTAAAGTTAAGAAGCCAAGGTGTGGAGAGGAGGGAGGAGAAGCCCAGAGCTCCCCAGTTTGGGGCAGCAAAGCTCACACAGGGCACCACACATCATCAATGGCCTCCACCCTGAAGGGCAACCCAGGGTCATGCTCATTTCAGGTTTGGTTGATTTCTGGGAATTCACAAGGAGCACGAGTGGAGAGGGGACAGGGATAAGCTAAGAAGTGTCATTGTCAGACTGTAGAAGACTCTGGAATCATGATGACACTCAATCCTTCCCAAGTGCCTTGCAAAAGATCTGTCTGTAGGAAAAGGGAGGGACTAAGAACTGAGGTGTGCTCAGATCCAGTGGCTTTCACGTTGCTGTCTGACACAAGAAACTGACCTGGAAGAGTACAGATGCACAGAAATGGAAACAGAATCTCCTGTTCTCTGAAGGCTTCTGTGGAGTCTTGGGGGCTCACCTTCTTCATTCTGTCTGTGCCCTTCCATCCCTGAAAATAGCTGGAGCCCTCGTCACCCAAGGTTTTCTTAATAATGTCAGATTTTGAATGTGTTTGTTGTCAATGGTAGATTTTCCTTACCTGTCTCTGCTCTGTTCTTGTACCTCTCTCTTCTGTTCTAAATAAGAATGTATTCACCAACTCAGGGATTATTCATAGGTGCTAGTATGAACGTAAAACAAAAACCACAGAGCCCACAGTAGCTTCATAAAAAGCACTTTTGTGAACTTTGACTTACATAATTTTAGACCTGTATTGGGAGGGGAGTTTTCTGATGTTTGTGACTTGAGGGTACAATTTAAACCCTCAGTCTCACTTAAAAAAAAAAAAAATCAAGAACAGGCCCTGGCCGGTTTGGCTCATCAGTTACAGCATTGGCCTTCAGAATGAAGGGTCGTGGGTTCAATTCCCAGTCATGGGCGCATGCCTGGGTTGCAGGTTCAATCCCGGCCCTGTTCAGGGTCATGCTGGAGGCAACCAACTGATGTGTCTCTCTCACATCAATGTTTTTTTCTCTCTCTCTCTCCTTCCCTCCCTTCCACTTTATCTAAAAATCAATGGGAAAATTAAAAATAAAATAAAATAAAAAAATCAAGAACAGGAATTTTTTAACTAAGGAGTTGCATCCCCAACCCCTTGAAATTGTATACAAATATTGTGTACATGAACATTTTCTGTGAAGAGAGTACACAGCTTTCATCAGAAATCCTGAAATCTATAAAAAGGATCAGTATTATATACAGACATTGTAGGTATTTCAAAGCACTTCCAAAGGACTCTTCTGCTCAAAAAGAATTCCCTTTTATAATCCCTCAAATTTCATTATAAGAACAGCTTTCTTTGGTTAAACATTTATACTTAATATGTTCCTGATAAAAGGCATATACTATTTCAGACAGAATAAGACTCAAACAAATTATACTTTGACAGAATAAGACTCAAATAAATATAATTTATCATGTTGTACTAAGAATATTTGAACCCATCAGCTTCCACAATAGTTCAATACCCAAGTAAAAAATTCCACTATAAAACCTAGAATTCCATACTTCTGCCTTGTTGGGGGACTGCTGGGTGACCCGGGTCAGCAGGCAATCAGCACATGGTCTGTCTGTACATCATATACAGTTTTGTGTTTCCCTTTACTCATTGGTATCATTTATTCAGGGTCTGTGTTAAATGATTTACACACATTCAATTCAATCCTCCTGATTATGAATGAAAACTTAAGCCTCCAAGTTACTTGCTCAAGGTCATGGAAGACAGAAGAGATAGAAAGATAGAACCAGGATTTAAATCATTGGTTACCTGACTCTGTACGGTATTACCTGGCACCTCCCACGCCTCCTTTTGAACATGAGTGAATCTTGGCTAAGGGTCAAAGTTAAGATTCCATATGAAAGATTCTGCTAAAAGGAGGAAGTTAGCAGAGGACAAGACACTAAGAAGTGATTGGCTTTTTAGCTCAAGACCATGGACTGGCTGAAGTCTCAGCAAACCTGTATTGACACATTCAATCTCAAGCCACTGGGTTTATCCTCATTGGGCACTTAGAACATTTTAAATAACAACCTTGTTTAACTGTTTAGTTTGGGAAACAAAACAATAATTAAACACTTAAGCATCTACTGTTTGTCTTAACAAATCTCTTACTATTTTAAAATCCCTAAAATTAAGATGATGCATCGGTCAAAACAGGAAGTTGAGAACACAGGTGTGAATATAGAAATAGTCTAATTTGTTAATTGTTATTGGGCTCACTCATCTAATTCGTGGTTTAATTTTTCCATACCATGTTATTAGTACCGGCTCTTACCAGTTTTTATGAGTTGCATCAATACCCAAACACATTTCTGTTTAGTTTATCTCAGTTCTTATGGTTTAGGGCAGAAGTCTACAAACATTTTTTTTAAGAGCCAAAGATACATATTTCAATATTTTTGGCTTTTTTTTTTTTCTTTTGCAGGACCAACTGTGTGTATCATCACTACTTAAATCTCCTGTGGTACTCTCAGACATTACATAAACAAATGACCATGGCTGTATTATTCCAATAACATTTTATTTACAAAATCAGGCAGTTGGCCAGATTTGGCCCACGGGCCACAGTTTTATGACCACTGCTTTAAGGGTATACATAATTCTAGGAACACTGGAGAACAAATGAGGGAACATAAATATTCAGAGCATATGAAGATGTGCTCATTGGAGGTGTGTGTGTGTATATGTTATTTTCCCCATGTGGACATTTTATTCATATTTTATACATGACATATTATTTAATACACACATATACCATAGAGTTGAGGCTCTTCTATGTAGTACATTGGAAGAACACTAGATTGGAAGTCAGGAAATCAGATTCTAGATCAAGTTCTGCCACTGACTTGCAATATTACTTTGTGCTAATGAGCCAAAAACAGATAGTGTGATTAGAGGATCTCCAAAGATCTCTCTATTCTTTTATTCTTTGGCGCTATGATTTTCTTATTAAAATTTAAATGCAAAGTTTAAAAAAATATGTGGACTAAAATTATATAAAATTTTGGCCTGGGACATACTGATTCAACCCATGTAACCAACCAAGCCACCAGGCCCAGGAGGTGAAAGGACACTGTGCAGAGGGCACCACTTAGAGGCATGGAGTGAGGGGAAGGTGCAGGCACCCACCTGCAAAGCTATGAGTGGGGAATAGGGCTCATGCACTCATGTGGAATGAGTCGACTCCTCCTTGGGACACTTAGTTAAATGGGTCAAGATTCCTTGTGACTTCAGAGGACATCCGTGTGGACACTTTTTTTTTTTTTTTTTAATCCTCACCCGAGGACATTTTTTCATTTTTTGTACAGACAGAGTGAGAGGGAGAGAGATGAAGAGAGAGAGAGGGAAACATCGATGTGAAAGGGACACATCGAGTGGCTGCCACCCGCAGGACCAACCAGGGCCGGGGACAAACTGCAACCGAGGTACATGCCCTTAGCGGGAACCGAACCCGGGTCTCTCCGGACTGCAGGCGGACGCTCTAACCGCTGAGCCAAACCGGCCAGGGCCGTGTGGACATTTTATAAGAAGAACCTGGACAGAGGAGCAGAACCGTTTTTGATGTGTATAGCTGCAGGGGATCAGGGAGCCCCTCTGGCCTCTGAGTACAGCAGCCTATTTTCAAAGCCACTTACAATCAAATATGGTCACTCCCTCTCAAAAAGTGGTATTCAGGATAGCTGGCAAACTTTTGGGTGTTGAATATTGAGTAAGATCTAAGCAGCCCCGTGGTTTATAAACCATGTTCTGCAGAGACCCCTGTAGAAAGGGCTGTTGTGTGTGTGTGGAGGTGAGGGTGGAAGAGGTAAGCAGAGTATCCCCCAACCCCCTAGCTTTTATGTGCTGGTGTGGAACAAATGTTGGTCCAACTGCTCCATTATACATGGACAACCTCAGCCTCAGAACGGCTTATATGGAGCTGTGGCTGTTGCAGGATGTGAGAGGAGATTCTACTGGGTGTGAGAAGTTCATACTCATCTTCTGGGGAAGGTGGACGTTTGTGGGTGGAAGGTGCAGAGAGAAGTGAATACTCAGTCTCGCTTCCTCTCAAGGACTCTCTGGGCCTGTTGGCCTGGTGGAGAACATTTTCATAATACCCCTCAGCAGAGTTCCCTGATGGCATTCTCCCGAGGAGGCTATGATCGATGAGGGCGTAGCACAGCTCCTCTGAAAAGCTCTGGTCTGCATTGTCCTGCTGGTCAAAGGAGAGCCATCATCAAGACTTGGCCTCTTGTCATTCTCTTTACACTTCAGCCTCAACATAGGCTTGGCCCCGGGCAAAGTCTATCTCCCACAAAACAAGTCCCCTCCATTTCTTGGCATTTCCCCCCCTAAATGGCTGCCCTACCCCAACACCCAGCCCAGGCAGCCAGAGTGCTCATGTGGCCTGGAGTATTCAGCCCACCCAGGCACAGGCTCTCTGCCCCGTGTTCCAGGGTGACCCTGGACCACTCTGTAATTTCCAGTCTCAGGGCCCAGAGAGCAGTCTATTCTCATAAAAAAGAACACTCTGATGACACCTAAATATGATTGATTATGATAGTTAACCACTCATTGCAGAGATATTTTCACTAATATAAAGGGAAACAATGGAAAACAAGGTCTCATTCAATGAAACCTCAGAAGAGTAAAAGCAAAGCAGCCAAGTACACAGGAAAGAGCCCGGATTTGGGAGTGAAGCTTGATTCTGAACCAGACCCCTGACATCCCGAAAGCTGTCTGGCTTTGGGGAATTTCGCTTAATCTCTCAGTTTTCTCATCTGTAAAATGTGGAAAATAAAAGTATCAGTCTTCAAGGGTTGTTGTAATAGTTACATGAGATGATGTATGCAAAGTGCTCAGCACACTCCCTGGCACAAACTAAGTGCTCAATTAACACTAGTTACTATCAATAGCACAAACAGAGATGGCTGCTGCTCCTGCCACTGGGCCTGCTATATCCCTGGGCTCAGGAGCATGAGCATCCACATCTGTCCTGCATGTTAAGGTCAGAAGGGGTCTTGCAGGCCAACTTCTCCTGCCATCTGGGGTGTGTACATTTCACCACCAACTCAGAAGAAGGCTTAGAGATGTTCATATTACCTTCTTGGTAGTAGATGATGTTCCTTCACCTGGAGAAAGAAAATACACTCAATGAATTTCAGATCATGAGGAGATTTGAGGGGGGACGGGGATATAAGCAACCAGAGAGCCAAAGAACAGCTGGGGTAGCCCTTATCAGGCTGTCCTGACCTGCAGCTCATCCTGTGGAATGACAGTGTCATCTAAACAAGACACGGCCAGAGCTGTGCTCAGGGTGAGAGACTGAGTGGAAGGAGATACACTCGGTGGGTCTTTGGTTAAGAAATTACACTTTTCTGCCAACTCCCCCCTCTCCCTCCTTACACAAGCTTCATTGCATGCCTGATCTGTACCAGGCAATGAGGAGACAAAGAATCAGAGACAGCCCTGTACTTAAGGGCCTCACAGGCTAGTACAGGAGGCAAACGAGGGTCTAAGAGGGATTCACGATGCAAGGGAGGACTGTAGTTTTTACTGTGGGTGACAGGGGAGGATCACAGAGTGGGGGCTGCTGCTCAAGGAAAGCTTTGCAGAGGAGGAAGCTCTTCAGCTGAACGTTCTCACTCCTGACCTGCTGGCAGAAATAAAGAGAAGCAGGCCTATTTTTCAAAAGCCAGTTGACTTAAAAGCAACTGTCTCTGGCCATTCAGCAAAGAGGCAAATGGACACACTTGCTACCCCCTACAAGATCACCAGCTGGATAACCAAATCTGCGCTTTCACATGGAGACCTCAGGATACCCCAGAAGGTGGGGGTGCCCTGTCAGGCACCTGATCATATGTGTATGGATTTACATTCCCTCAGTTCTGACAGCCCAGATGCTCACATCTCCCTGGAGTCCCATGGCCACTTTCTTACATGTGACACCATTCACCACCCCTCCTTCTCAAAGTCTTCTCTCTCCTTAACTTCAGCCTGGGTCTGTCGCCAAAGACCATCGCGTCAGCTTCTAAGTGGTCTTCCAGCACCTGCTTTGGCCACTCTCTACCACCATTTGATCTCCTCATCGCAATCTGGGTGATGTCTTCAAAGCATATGTGATTGTAAATACCTCTTGTTCAAAGCCCTTCAGTACCTTGCAGTTCTCAAGAGAAAAGCCCCATTTCTATACTTGGCTACCAGGCCCTGGCCCTCCTCTGTGTCCTCTGTGCCCACGCTGGCCTCCTTGTTGACCCTTCTGAGTGTCTCAGGCCTCCACCTTTTGCATTTACTGTTCCCAGTTAACTCCTTCAGCCTCCAAACCTCAGGGACTAACTGAATGAAGGACTTGGAGATCAATAGGCCAGCACCTGCTTCCATGAGCTCATAGTTGAGTGGAGAAACAGAGACATGCTGTTGGACAAATTGAAGCAAACTGTGTAAGTTTTATACAGAAATATGGTCAGGAAGCTCTGGGAACACAGAGAAGGGGCAGTTTGGAAATGTAAGTCTCTCAAAGTGAAAATGATGTGAAAGCAATAACTTACTTTCCTTTGGGTAATCTCGCCTGGCTTTAAAAATGTCTATCTTTTTCCTGCAGAAGAGAAGGGAAGAAAATTGGTTGTTTCAAAATTCAGGAACTCTCCAAGGAAATTATACTCCCTATAAAAGATTATTTCTAACTCTTTCATTTGTTAAAGTTATCAGCCTTTTAGAATATCTCCTTCAGCATAGAGAAATAAGAGGATAGAAAAACGAAGGAGGCCAAGTAGAATCTACTCTTTGGTGTTTCTTCATCTCCCTTTTCTAAGGCTTACCGAAATTGTTTTGAGGTGAATTGTGGTGATGTTATAGGAAACATTTTTGGAGATTTTTTTGGACAAAATATTAATTTTTTTCATATCATGTGAGTTAAGGAGCCATGGTTATTTCCAATCCCAATCCTAACCCCAATCTATGATCTCTAAACAAACAAGAAACAAACATATCCATTATGAGCACAGAGGTAACCACACTGTACAGATGGACCCCCGGACAAAACACAATATAAATATAACAGAAGCCCGTTATCATCTCAGGAGTCAAGGACAATATCTGCTCTAAGGAGAATGACTATGTCCTGGTTTGCTATGACAGTCTAGTTAATGTCATTACCAATCACTTAGTGACCCTGGACTATTTTTAGCATCCCTGTCATTCTCAAAGGTTTCCTGGTTTGGGTAATGAGTCACATGACCTCCCTGGTTATAACATTTTCTGGGTAAGGGACAGAAATGTGTGTTCTGTCCACGGAGACTCTGGGAATTGCGTGAGTAAGGGGTCTTCCTCTGCACTGGTAGCCAGTTTCATTCTTGCTTCTGAAGCTTCCCCGTTTGAGGAGCACGTACCACCCATGAGACTATTGTTCCTGTTTTCCTGCAAACTTGAAACATCGCTTTCCTGATTGACTCAGATGATTGTCAGGGCTAGTGACAGTCTTCGCTGTGGCCACAGACAGTGAGGAGTTCACAGGTAAATTACAGCAAACACCGCACTGAAACCACACGTGGGGAAATAACCCCTGAAAACAATACTCCACTCACCACGGCAGGCAGAAACACCCTTCGGCAATGTGGCGGTCCCAGCATCTGAAATACCCAAGAGATGACACAAGTCACAAGGCTGGTTTCTGTGGCTTTGTCAGGGTGACTCTTCCTTTTGCCATTTCTGTGAAAAATTTTTTTTCTCTCCAGGAGAATATTCCTTCTAGGTGACTTGGACACATCTACCAGGCTAGAATGCCTTTGTCCTTCCAGGACATTAACTGCCCTTTGGAAACACTTTCAGCTCCTGAGCAGGGAAGATGCTCTCTGCTGTATTCTTGGAAAAGGAACAAGGCTTCTCCTCCTCAGTTCCAGGGATTTACCCGGCCCCTTGTGATAAAGGACACACGAGTTATCTCCAGGAAATCAAGGCATAAGTGTGTGGACATTTCAGAAACTGCTTCCAGGTACGGGTGAGGGAAGACTTGCACAGACTTCCGCTGCACTCTGAGTTTGCCCTAATCATGTGAGTGTTGCCTGCTCACTTGTCTATATCCCACACTAGAAAGTGGGCTTCACAAATATGGGGATCAGGTGTATCTGTTCATCACAGATACACATATCAGCAACACATGCCACAGTGCCCAGCACAGAGCAAATATATTTTCAATAAATTTGATAAATGAAAAAGGAGCTAAGGACAGAACAATGCTAATTGGCTCAAGAGAACATTAAATCTGTCTCCTTGGCCCCAAGGTTTGGATAAAGAAAAAGGACTTGTTATATTCTTTATGGCAGAAAGGCTCAGAATTTCTCCGCAGGTGGACAAAGTCTGGGCATCTTTTTGAATATGAGAGGTCGTTAAATCTCACATAGTTACATGTGAAAGCCCTTTATAATGTACTGTATGTTCCAGTAACACCATGTAATAACATTTGGGAAACACCCCCTAAAAACATCTTCCCCAGTGAGATTTCCCAGGAAGTTCCCCCAGAAAGGGCAGTGGAGGTGAGCCAGCTGCGTGTGACCCCGGCTGCAGGCACAGGGTGGCTAAGTGCTCCGACAGTCTCTGGGGTCAGTGTACCATCAGAGCCTTTGGGGCCAAGGGGGGTGTCTGTAGCTCTTCCTCCTCATCAGGCTGTTTTCAGGATTCTTTACGTCATTTGTTTGTATTTCCTGTTTCTGTGGCTAAAGAAACACCGGAAGAAAACCATCGAATCTGATCAGTGCTAAGAAATCAGGTTGCTGGGGAGGCATGGGAGTGGGGCAAAAGGAGACTGCCAATCTTGAGATCTGGATCAACATCTCTGGACTTCTTGAGCCACTGTTTCTTCATATGCAAAAGTGAGGATACTTATACTGCTTACCTCAGGGAGGTCAAGTAAAGTTAAATAGGGGCTAAAGTGATTTTTAAATTGGCTATTTCCTCCACTCAACTTTTCTGCAATATATTCTTGCACTTCAATTAGGATGTTTTGAATTTGGGTGGGTTCATATAACCTCTGTGAAGGAAGCCGGTGATTCTAGGTTCATGTCTCTTGCACAAAGCTTGCCTGGCTCCCCAGTCTACCCAATGGCTCCCTTGTTATAATGCCCATGGCCCTTCTGTCCTGTTTCATCATTTGGAATGTAAGCATTGACATAGGTTCAATGATTCCTCCTCCTGGGGGGGGATTTCTGGGTCCCTAGCTCCTAACCCAGAGGTGGCTCAGTGGTTGCTTTTTAATTGACAGTCTTTCCAAACCTCTTCTTGAAATCATAGAGAAAGTGCAGATGGCTCTACAGGCCACAGAGCAATGGGCTTTGCCATTCTTTGGGATTCTTGGACCCTGGGACACGATTTCATATATTAGTGCTCCCTGGTGTTCAGAGGCCTGGTTAGAGGGGACTGATGAGGAAGTCTCGGTTCGACAGCCTCAAGGTAATCACATGTGTCTTTCTCCACAAGTCTTCCAACAACTGACAAGGGGAACATAGTCACCTCAGAAATAGAACCTTGCAGCTTAAAAATGAAATGGCTGGGATGGAACTTGAACAAAAAGGTATTTGAGATAGACATAGAGACAACAGAAATAGGAGTCTTATTTCTAGCTGCTATAAAAAAAGGAAAGGTTTCCATAAAAAAAAAAAAAGAAAAGAAAAATGGTCCTGGTTGGTTACAGAGTCAGCCCAAAGAGTCGCAGGTTTGATTCTGGTCAAGGGCATGTACCTCGGTTGCAGTTGGGTCCCCGGCCCTGGTCAGGGTCATGCGGGAGGCAACCAATCAATGTGCCTCTCTCACATTAGTGTTTCTCTGTCTCTCTTCCTCTCACTCTATCTGAAGATAAATGGGTGAGGATTTAAAAGAAAAAGGCACATCTCTTGTCCAAAGGTTCAAAATGATTTTGTCTTGTCTCCCCATTTACTATCATTACAACTGCTGCTGGGTCTAAACAGGGTCCTCTATTGTGGGGTGAGTGATGTCCAGGACCTGACTGACTCCACTCTTCATGGGCAAAGGCTGGGAGAGCTTCTGCTGGGTTTGCTCTCACCTGGATGTTCTCTGCTTGAGGTTTGGATTTCCCAGATCCCAGGGTATCTCCTTAGTGTTCTGCTGCCACCTAAAACTCAACATACCAGGAATGAGCTAAGCATTTCCACGCTTCCCACCTTGCTTCATAATTTTATCAATTTTCCTTATTTCTGCTATTTGTATTGTAACCCCAGTTCACCTCAGCTTCCCTTTGTTGCCCTCACATCTGTTCATACGCCCTCCCAAAGCATACACGACAGTCTTTGATCTGACCGTCTCTCCATTGCCATAGCAACAATCAACCAATGTTTCCCCTGCACAACCAAGCCTAAATCATTTGTTTCCCAGCGTCCGGGAATCTTCAGGATGACCCTGAGAATATCAGTGTTTACAGAGACCTATCTGCTTGGCACAGTTTCAGGGACTGCACATAGGAATGGGGAGGGCCCTGGCTTTGTCTCATGTAAGTAGCCATCTCTCACAGAAAGCGCCGAGACAGAGAACATGGGATCTAAGGGGAAGAGAAGGTTAAACTAAAAGAACAAAACCAAAATAACCCAAATACACTGTTTTATTGTTTGGGCTGGGTTTCCTGGTGAGAGTTGGGCATATATAGAAAAAGAAACTAACAATTAGACACTACTTACTATATGCTTTACACACACACACACACACACACACACACACTATATTTACTACTTATTATACTATACATACTCACTATATATACTACTAAAATATATAGAATGCATAGAACATATACACTCTTTATGTGATCTTATGTTTAATCCCAGAATAAATCCATGCTGTAGATATTATGATTATATTTTTTAACAATGAGGAAACTGAGGTCCCAAACAGGCTACTTGTCTGAAGACCCCCCCAAGCAGTACGTGGGAAAGGCCAGGTTTCCTGCTGGCAGATTCCTGCTTTTAAGATTCTGAGCTCCTCTCAGGAAGGAGTAGTTGTCACTCTGCCCAAAACCAGAGAACATGTCCTGGCTTTTGTAACAAGACTGATCTGGAGAGACCTGGTGGGGTGTGCTGATTGGATGACAACTGGGTGAAGTTGACAGTCAGATCCAAGTAAATATAAGGCTTCTGAATATATTAAGGGAAACATTTTAAATTAGAATGGAAATGAAGGTGCTGGGGCAACTTATTAACGATTTGGAAAAAACATTTATATCTGACGCCATATATTGAATGTATGGGTCTAAAATCTAAGGCAATACAACCATGAAAAAGCATAGTGTGGATCTGTCTTATCTTGGGATGGGGAAAGAATTTTAAGTGTAAATTGGCAGAAACAGAAAAGCATTCTAGATGTAATTTAGTTGTGTTTAAAATGTAATAAGAAAAACAAAAATCTGTATAGCACAAGACACACAAACTGGAAAAATATTTTTTTGTAGTATTATGAGCGAAGGGTAATTTCTTCAAAATACAAATAGGTTTTATTATTAATAAAACAAAGTAAGCCAAAGTCCAAAGCAAAAACAGGCTAAAGATATTACTGACTCTCTCAGATAAAGAAATACAAATGGCTGAAAAATATAGACATTAATGTACAGATATGCACCTAATGTTATCAGTAGTTATAACTGATTTACCAGTTTATTTTCTTTGTGTATTTTCCAATTTTTACAGTATGTATTAATGTCATAATCCTTTACTCCCACACCAAAGTTCTAAAAAACAAAGTTACAAATGTGACATCAATCATGACTTTTTCAGTCATGTCATATCTGTATTTTTTTAAATTTATTTTTCTTCTCAACGGTTATTTCTTTATGTTTACAGTCATTCATATAACACTTACTGAATGCCTGCTATAGGCCAGAATCAATGAAACAGGAATTCAAAGATGAGTAAGAAACAACTTTTACAGCCCTGGCCAGTTTTGCTCAGTGGTTAGAGCATCGGTCTGCAGACCGCAGAGTCTTGGTTCGATTTCAAGAGTGTGCTCTTTGTTTGCAGGTTTAATTCCCCACCCGGTCGGGGTTATGCAAGAGGCACCCAATCAATATGTTTCTCTCTCCCCCCCCCCCTTCCCCCTGCCACTCAGTGACAAACAAACAAAAATCCTTAAGGGGAAATAAAAAAAGAAACAATCTCTACAGTTGAGGAGCTCATCTCTAGACATAATAATGGGGATTTATAATCTGATAGAAGAAGGCTGGAGGTGTGGACCATGAGGATTGGGAGGAGAAGTCTCAGACAGCACTGATGGCACTCAGGGAGGGCCAGGCCACATTCTACAGGCTCGGCATGCCTTCTTCTATCAGGTGGCATTTTGGGTCCTGTGTTCTAGCTCCCAGTGGCATAAACTGGTGAACGAGACCTGGGATACAAAACATGATCCTATAAAGATATTGCCCTCCCACTCCACTAGCTCATTTTCCCTAGACCACCTCACTGGGTGCCACAGGGATCCTTTGATCTAGGGGATACTAATTTGTACAATGGCTGCTTTAATGTCAATGAAGATGATGGTCTAAGAAAACCCTACTATGTGTCAGGCACTATACCAGCATCACATACACTAGAACCCCCAACGTAGGTATTATATTACTATTTACGTTTGAAATAAAACTGAGGTCTGGAAAAGTTAAGGCAAGTTCTCTACCAATTTCATTGACCTCTGTTTAACTATTGCAGGAAGTGTGCCAGCCATGACCCCATAATGGCAAGAAGCTTGATATTTATTTTGAACTTGAATAGTGATTAAAAAGATGGTGGTGTCTTTGAGCTTCTTTGGGGCATTGAGCTCAGGAGAGCATCCCTTTCTGGGCCTATGAAAGTTTTTCCATTTCCCAGAGGGTGGTCTATTGCATAGACCTCCCTTGATAGAGCCCTCCCTCATCCAGCTGTTTCACCAGCTGCTTACTAGGATTCTCAGGAGAAGGCCAAACCTATAAGGAACTGAACTTGGTGTCTGGCACACAGGAGGCACTTCATTCTCATCAGTTTTTACTCAATTCCCTCCTCCCATCCCCCTAATAGCACATCTCTTTATCTATTTCTGATCACATTGCCCTGACCCATCTCTGCTGGTCCCTCTTAGGGAGTCTGGACTCACCTGTTTTCCCTCAGCAGAGAGTTCCCCATCTTCTCGGTTCTCCTGGTGCCTTCCCCTCAGTCTGTCTTGCTTCCTGACAGGGCAGCTCCCAACCTAGATATGGTGCAGGGTTGCTCTGGCCACCAGTGCAGAGAAAGCTAAAAAGAGAAGAGTATCTTTCTGCAGAGGGGAGGAGGAGCCCAGGGAGGGGAGAGTTAGAGGTGCACATGTGCGAAACTTCCTAAAATGGCAGAGCCTGAAAGAACCAGGCTAGTGTTCCGAAGAAGAAGTTGTTGGTCAATGAGAGCTTTGAGCCCTTGGGGAAACCCCATCTGCAATTGCAGACAGGCCACGGAGTTTTCCCCTCAGACACCTAAATTTATTAAACCACTTTGTAGCCTTTGAAAAGTGAGAGGGGGAGAATTTGGTTGTCAAACAAGAGAAGTTTAAAGCAAATTAAAAGTCAAGCCATAGCCCAGTAGAAAATATTAGCAAAATATACATCTGATTAAAAAATTCAATTCAGAATATATAAAGAACTCTCAAAAAGAAGAAAATAGACACCTAAAAACAAAATGGGCAAAATATTTGAACAGACACTTTACCAAAGAAAATATACGGAAGGCAAATAAATACAGGAAAAGATACTCAACACTGTAGACACTGGGAAATGTAAATCTAAGCCACAATGCAATACCTTTACGTACCTATTAGAATGGCTAAACTTGAAAACAAAACCAAAAACAAACTGATGATACCAAGTGTTAGCAAGGGATGCAGAGCAGCTGGAAATCTATGTATTGTTGATGGGAAAACTGTGGCAGTTTCTTGTGAAGTTAAATATAACCTTACCATACAAGTTAGCACTCCTAGATGTTTATGCAAGGGAAATTAAAGAAGACCTCCAGGGAATCTGCATGCAAATGTTTATAGCTGCTTTACTTATAAATGCCCCCCAAAAAGTGATGAATGGCTAAAGTGTTGCACGCACACAATGGAATCCTGCCCAGCAACAAAAAGGAATAGACTACTGAGGTATACAGCAACATGGCTGACTCTCAAATTATGCTAAGTGATGCTAAGTGAAAGAAGCCAGATTTAAAGTCAGGACAGAATGTACATCCATGGTGGCCAGGAGAAGGGGTGAGGGAGGGGTTGACCTTCAAAAGGCAGGAATGAATTTTTTGTTATTGTTCTTTGGTATCTTGTGGTGGTAGCTACATGACTATATGCATTTCTCATCATTTATAGAGCTGTATACCAAAAAGTGTGCATTTTTATCCCAGTGGAAAAATGAGGTTAAAAAAAAAAAAAGAAATTAACTTGGGACAAGAATCATGCATTTTTTTCTATTTTCTTTATATTTGATAGTTGGTTTGTTTGTTCACCCATTTGCCCCTTCATTCCTTCAACAAGTCTATGCTGAGCACCTACTGTATGCTGGGCATTGTGGGTTCAGTGGTGAGCAGAACAGACATGGCCTGCCCTCATGGAGCTTCTTGAAATAAAAGAAAGTGCTAAACACTTTATTGCTTGTCCTGGAGTGATTTAGGGTTCATACCTACAACAGTCTGGAGCAGCATGGGACTGGGGCTTAGCAGAAACAGTGCTAGAGAAACTGGGGAACTGGTTGTGCCACATTAGACCCCTCCCACATCACTCGCACTGCACCCCCCCCCCCCCCCGCCAAGCTGCTCTCTGGACTTGTGCCTATCTCTGTGGGGGATATCCTTAGTGGCCTCTGTACCTTTGGCACTATCTTGAGGTAGCAGCAGGGAACCACACTTTCTCAGCATCGTGGAGGAAAGACAAAATGAACAAGGGAGCTTAGCCTGTGAGGAGAGCTGTTGCTGACTCCTCATGGGTGTGTTAATCTATCCCAAACCCTGGGAGGGGCAGGTTGAGCAAACAGCATGTACATTGCCCTATGGATGCCTTAATTGGTTCCAATGTTGAGCAAAGGCTTTTTAGAGTCCAGACAGTCAAGCCATAGGGGTAAGTGTTGGAAACGAATCTGCCATTATAATTTAAAGACAGGCTGGGGCTTGCTCTCTCCCTTTCAAACTTCAGTTATATTCAGGCCACTAGATGAAGAAGCTGAGCTACGTAAGTGTTAGCTGTTAATTTTTTTTAATTAATTTTTGTTACAGATGTTTCTCTCCCCCCTCCCCCACTGATTCCTCCCTCCCTACCCTGTCCCCAGCTTTGTTGTCCATGACCTTTGTTCATGCATACATGCATATAAGTTCTGTGGTTTACCTCTCCCTCACCACCCCCGCTTTTGGGGATTGTCAGTATGTACCCCACTTCCACGTCTCTGGGACTACCCCATTCCTAAGACTGTTATGTTCATTATATTCCACAAATAAGTGAGATCATATGATACTTGTCTTTCTCTGTTTGGCTTGTTTCACTTAGGATAATACTTTCCAGGTCCCTCCATGTCGTCTCAAAGGATAAGAGCTCTTTCTTACAGCTTCATAGTACTCCATTATGTATATGTACCACTAGCTGCTAATCTTGAAATGTCTCATGATCGTGTAAGGTGGCAGGAAGGACAGGACATTTATAATAGACACATTTATTGTGGTGAAACCAACTCTGGACTAAATAATCTACCTCCGCTTCACACATAGAGGTATAGCAACACATACACCCCACACAAAGAAGCCCAAATAACAAATCTTTGAATCTTACATTCTCTCTCTATTCTTCTCAGTGTGTATCCCAGTGCCTAACACTTAGGGGAAGCTATATAAATTGAATTGAAAACAAAAGCCTGGATGTTTGTAAGCAGATGGGGTAAAATTAGAGGAAAGTTGAGCTGGAATGTTTACATTTACTTCCCTACCCATTGTCATTACAGTAGAGAATCAGTGGCCAGTGCAAAGACGGCTTTGCTGTACCTCCAAGATCATGAGACAGTACATATAATCAAAATAACTACTTGTTGAGAGCTTTCTATAGTCCATACACTGTGTTAAATGCTTTAGATACAATTTCTCATGTGTGCATGCAAGAATTCTATGGGATAAATATTATTTCCTTTATTTTATAGACGAGAACACCCAGGCTCATAGAAATAAAGTGATTTGCTCAAAGACACCCCGATCATAAGTGAGAGAGCTAAAATATAAGTTCAAACAGGGTGTTGTGGACCACATCTATTTTTGTCCTGTTTAATAAGTACCTGTAGAAAGATAAACTTGGCTTTTATTTTTAATCCTCACCCAAGGATTTATCTTCAGATAGAGTGGGAGGGAGGGAGGGAGGGAGGGAGGAAGGGAAACATTGACATGAGAGGGACACATCGACTGGTTGCCTCCCACACCACCTGACCAGGGCTGTGGAAACCACAACCGATGTTCGTGTCCTTGGTCTGCAAGCCAAACGGGCCAGAGTAATAAACTCGGCTTTTAACTCTGGTCTACATCACTCCAAAGTGCCTGGAAAAGCTGGAACATTGTTTGCGTATTTGGAGTCTGTTACGGTTTCCCAGATCTCGAGTGGTTTCCAGACTTCCATCTGGTCTCCGCTGCCAAGGCAGGTTAGATGCCATCCAGTCTAGGGACTCTGAGCCCCTTAAGCAGCAAAGAACCGAACGGTATCATTCAAGCTGCAGCCTACTTCTTTTCAGTTTTGTGATTAGTGAAGGAAGGTGGGAGAGCTACTCACATAAGGAAATGCTTTTGGAACATTTTAGGATAGGAAAAGTGCCGGTTTATTTAAGAGATCTTGTAGAATCAGGAATCGCTTAGCTTAGCTAAGACTTCCCTCTTCTGCTTCCCTCCAGAAAGTGAATCGAGACCATGAAGCCTGCGTCGTGGTTAATGCTGAGAGATCTTCCCATGTATATTTTTCTTTTCTTTTATCCTCACCTGAGGACATTTTTCAATTTATTGTTCAGATAGAGAAGGAGGGAGGGAGAGAGGGAGGGAGGGAAACATCAACGTGAAAGGGACACATTGAGTGGTTGCCACCCGCACAACCCAACCAGGGCCGCGGACAAACTGCAACCGAGGTATGTGCCCTTAGCAGGAATGGAACCTGGGTCTCTCTGGACCGCAGGCCAACGCTCTAACCGCTGAGCCAAACTGGCCAGGACCATGTATATTTTTCTAACTATTTACTCCTAATGCAGAGTATGAGCTGATGAGAGTCTTGGCTTATTTCAGAGAGTCATGTGCCTAAAAACTATGACTATTAATTGCTGATATTCCTCATTCAGGAGTGTTTGGGTTTCCAGAGGAGGAAGCAGCAGAGTTCCAGGACCTCTCTAGGTGACCTTGGGGCCGGGATTCTGTTTCTTGGTGGAGGGTTGTTGTTGGCATATAGCTCCACTGCCTTGCTGGGGACAGTAAGGACACAGAGGGCTCTGTACTAAATGGAGGCTGGAAACAAAACGGGAATTTGTTTAGCTCACTGAGAGGGCTTCTGCACATGGAAATAGCAGGTGAATGCTCCAGCACTTCCCTGTCATTGTTTGGAAAAAAATGTCCCTTTATTTGTCAAGTTTCCTATTTCTCGTCAGTAAGACTAACAGAATATAGAAGATTAAATATCTGGAGTAAAAAAATAGGTTTGATCACTGTAAAAGTTAAAGGCTAAATTAAAAAAATATTTCAAGGGTTAAAGGACTAAGAAAAGCCTTTTATCTAAACATTTTTAAAAACATTTTTAAATATTTTTTTTCTTTATTGGTTTTTAGAGAGAGAGGCAGGGAGAGGGAGAGAGAGAGAAACATCAATGAGAGAACATGGATTGGCCACCTCCTGCATGCCCCCCACTGGGGATCTGGCCCACAACATGGGCATGTGCCCTGACCAGGAATCGAGCAGGTGACCTCATGATGCATGGATCAAGGCTCAACCACTGAGCCACACCTGCCGGGCTATCTAAACATTTTAAAAGCAGACAGTGCTCTGGGCTTTGTGAGCAAGTTTCTTCAGAAGAGTCAAATGGAAATGAACTAGGCACCCTCCTCAGGCCAAAGTCTGTGCATCACATTCTCTCCGATGAAGGAAGGGCCTTGAGCACAACCGTGTGGTGCCGAGAGGACCCCTACCCACCACACATGCTGCTGATTGTTTCATATCTCAGTGTCCTGTTCAGGGCTCTTCTCCCACATGAAATGTTTACACTCCTGGACAAACCTAGCCAGACAGTGACTGTCATTTGTGGAGTGCACCCTCCTCCCTTGCAATGGCTTACATTCCCAAAATAAAAAATAAGAGAGCTTTCAAGGCATAGCAAATTATGTTGAACGTGCTTAGAGGATTTGCGTCACGTCTAACATTGTAATTTATCTGAATTCTCTAAGCTCCATTACTTTCTCTGTGAAGTGGGGTAAAGCTAGCACGTACCTCTTAAAGGCCATGGGATGATCGCCCAAGCGAATGAGGGTAAATTCCTCAGAAAAGTGTCTGGTGCATGCTGAGCTCTCTGTGAGCGACAGCTACTGTTAGGGAGAGAACTTACTCTCCCTCCTGGTGTCTTGTTCCAGATCCAGGGCTTCACCCTCCATTGCCCTAACATCCTGACCTGACACCACCTCCTTCTTCATTCTGCTGAGATGGAGCGGCTGACCAGGTCGATGAATTTGGAAGCAGAATCTGGATATTCTTTACCCAGCCTCTTCTTCCCGATTTCTTTTTGAAGAGAAATTGCCCTTAGAAATTTTGCATTTTCTACTGTTCTCAGCTATGCAGTAACCTTAATGATAAATGCCTATTGTGGTCAGTGTGTGCAGTTCTGGAGGTGAGGCAGTAACCACATTCTGTCAGCTCGGTCACTAACAAAGGTGTGTGTGCGTGCGTGCGTGTGTGTGTGTGTATGTGCGCGCGTGTGTACGCAGGCATGAGCCTCTGTGGTTGGGTGCGTGGGTGTGTGCTTTAGTTTCCATCTGTCTTAATCTTATTTGTCTTTTCAGTTGGTTTAGAGCTCAGGAGAGGAAAGGTACTCATTTGATGGGATCCCTCTAACACTAAGAGCAGCTATGTGATTATCTCAGGGGGAAAAAAAGGTTGGGGTTAGTTTTGGAGAGATATGAGGGCAGTTTGATTTGGTTTTCCCAACAGGAGCAAACCAAATCGTCTACTCCTCAAGGGCATCTTGTGAGTGGAGTCTCTACATTTGGCTTCTGAAAATGGACCTCCCACCAGCTGCAGCAAAAACAAAGTTTGGAAGAGCATTCAGATTTCCAGACAACCCCCCCCCCCCCCTGCTGTGGAGGCATGATCCTGAAGATGTATATTTAAATTTTTACTAATTCTTCAGATACTTATTTAGTACTTACCATACTTGGAGGGTATGTAACATAATAGCTAATCACAGGCTTGTAGTCAAACCTCTGCCTTGCCTCTTAGCAACTGTGAGGTTTTCGACAAATTACACTCCTCACCCTTTCAGTCTGCTCTTTCGTCAGTTGGGAATAATAGTACCTGCCTTATGTGGTTGTTGTGATGACTATATAAGTTCGCAGCTGTATAGCATTTGTTCTCCCTCTTGCATAGAAAGCACACACTAGTTCTTAGCTGTTGAGACTATTTTTAAAAACTGTGTGCAGGCATTGTGTTCATGATTGCAAATGTCATGGTGAACACAGGAAGTCTCACCTAGGTCAGGGTCGCACGGTTTGGTCTGAACGGGTTTCCATTCTTCAGCGTTTCCGCTCTCTGAGCGCCCTCGGTGAGTGAAGCACAATGAATGACGGCACTCCAAGTCTGGCTCGAGAGCAACCTTTCAACTACATTTTAATAAATCACATTTTAATTTTCATAAAGTGAATCAAACCATTTTTGCTCTAAGAGCAATAGGCAAACTATCTAGATGCATGAGCTTAAACTTTACTGAGGTGTTTTAGAAAGTAATAGATCTTTTAAATCAAGGAAATTTGGCAACAATAACAAAAACATTTAAAAAGGGATGGTTGCAAGGTCCAAACGTCTTTCCATGTGGCACCGAGAATGTCTACACGGGATCCAGCTTGAAGTTGCTCCCTCTTGATGTAGGAACCAGGAGGCACCTCATGACGGCAGTGGGTTCATGGGTCAGCCTTCAGAACAGCCTTGTCAACCATTCCTAACAGGGTGGGAAGAAAAAGCAAAACAAAACCAAAAGACCTTGGGATCTTCCAACATTGACTTACAACTCAGAACAGGATGTATTAGGTCAGTTTCATTCCCACATAAACATCTCCTGGTCACTACTCTGAGGTCGAGAAAGGAAGTCAAGCGAGTGAGTGTAAATCAGTCGTCAATCATTAGCTGAAAGTAGGGCAGCTCAGTCTAAACCGGGAGTCAGGGTCGGAGAGGCCACTGGGGCTGCGGAAATAGACGGGAATTGATGGATTATCAGGATGAGGGCTCTGTAGGGGCAACACTGACTGAAGGCATTCTCACTCATGACTTTCAGCTCTGGCTGTTCCCACTCCCATTCTCAGCACCGTGACTGCTGAGAGCACAGGGAGGTGGCATGGGACAGACAGCTTTCAAGGAATTTATATTTGAATCGCGCTTAATCGTTTTGCACTTGTGTTTTTCATTATAAGAATGATATAGCCACGTAAAATAAGAGAGGTGAACAAAACCATCTGTACTCTCACCTTTCCAATGCCTTATGGAATCACTGAATCATTTGGATTTATCTTTTCTGGCTTTTATGTTAAAAATGTATGTACAGTTTTGCCTTCTTCTATATGTGACAGTGGACTATACAACCCATCTTTGTAATGGTTGTGTGATATTTCCTTGTATAGATGATGTTCTGTAGTGAAAATGTATACTTTCTTATTGTTGGACACTGGGCTTTTAAAAATGTTTTGCCATTAGAAATAGTGCATGGGACATTTGGTACATATCTACTGTAGTATTTTGGAATGATGTCTTTGGATTGATTCCTACATGCAAAATCACTGAGTCAAACATGTGAGCATTTTTATGACTTCTGTTACAAATTCCTTTTATTCATCTCCAAAAAATTGTGAGAAAACAAGCACCAATCTATTTTCACCAATTTCAAAGGAAATAGATGTTATCATTGAATAAAAAGTGTTAATTTTTTATTTTATTTTGTTTATTTATTTATTTTTTAAATCTTTATTGTTGGATGTAAAATGTATTACAGATGTTCCACATTTTTCCCCCATTGACCCCCTCCTCCCCACTCCCGCCCCCCTCCCACCTTTTCCCACACTATTGTCTGTGTCCATTGGTTATGCATATAAGTTCTTTGGTTTATTTCTTCCCACCTCCCCAACCCCTTTCCCTTTGAGGTTTGTCAGTCTAGCAATGAATTTGTGCTTCTTAATCCCTTCACCTTTTTCACCCATTCCCCCAACCCCCCCCTCCCAACTGGCAAGCAACAAAATGTTCTCTGTATCTATGAGAATGTTTCTGTTCTACCTGTTCATTTTGTTTGTAGATTCCATTATCCATAGATATGTATTCATTGCCATTTTGTTTGTTCATACATTTTATCTTTTTCTTCAAAACGACCCTTCATCATTTCATATAATAATGGTTTGGTAGTGATGAACTCCTTTAACTTTTTCTTGTCTGGGAAAGTTTTTATATGTCCATCAATTCTAAATGACAGCTTTGCAGGATAGAGTAATTTTGGTTGTAGGTTCTTGGTTTTCATCATTCTGAATATTTCTTGCCACTCCCTTCTGGCCTGCAAAGTTTCTTTTGAGAAATCAGCTGACAGCCTAATGGGAACTCCCTTGTAGGTAACTAGCTGCCTTTCTCTTGCTGCTTTTAATATTCTCTCTTTGTCTTGAACCTTTTGCATTTTGATGATGATGTGTCTTGGTGTGTGCCTCTTGGGGTTCATCTTGTTTGGGACTCTCTGTGCTTCCTGGACTTGTATGTCTGTTTCCTTCACCAAGTTAGGAAAGTTTTCTGCCATTAGTGTTTCAAACAGGTTTTCGATTTCTTGTTCTCTCTCTTCTCCTTCTGGCACCCCCAAGATGCGAATGTTGGCATGCTTGAAGTTGTCCCAGAGGCTCCTTACACTATCCTCATTTTTTTGGATTCTTTTTTCTTTTTGCTGTTCTAGTTGGGCGTTTTTTGCTTCCTTATATTCCAAATCGATGGGTTGCTCCTTGGATTTACGTACTCTATTATTGAAGCTATGTAAATTATTCTTTATTTCAGTTAAAGCCTCCTTCGTTTCTAACTGTGCAGCGATCATTTCTGACTGGTACTTTTTTATGCTCTTGAGGCCCTCACTGAGTTCATTGAGCATCCTTATAAGCAGTATTTTGAACTCAGTATCTGTTAGGTGGCTTATCTCCATTTTGCTTAGTTCTTTTATTGGGGTTTTGTTCTGTTCTTTCATTTGGGACCTGTTTCTTCGTCTCCTCATTTTGACTGCCTCCCTGTGTTTGTTTCAGTGTATTACTTAATGAGAGGGATGGGGCTCGCTGAGACCAGATGCTGCTCGTTTGAAAAAATTTAGGAAAAACCTGAAGCAGGATCCAAGACCCGCCAATCCTATGGTTAAGCAAGTGGAAACAGCTTGGGTGGGCTTGAAAGTTGGGTGGGGCGTGGCGGGGCCTCAGGGAGTCACCAGGGTGGGGCTACCAGTGTGAGCCAGGTTGCTGGAGTTCCAGATATGGCTTCTGTCTGCGCCTCAGGGAAGGGCTCACCAAAGGAACAAAGGCCTCTTCCAGCACGTTTGTCCCCGAGAAAGCCCCCGCTCCAGCCCTCGCTCCAGTGCCAAACAGCTCAGTTCTTCCTTGTATGTCTCTGGAGCCCGTGTAGCTGCCTCCCCTCCGAGCTTAGAGGGAGAGAGTTCGATAAGTTCGTGCGCGGGCCCTTTAAGGAGCTGCCTGGGGCTCCAGCCGCTTCAGCCTCCCTGAGCCTCAGTTTCCACTGGTTTTTCCAGCCAGAAGTTATGGGGACTTCTCTTCCTGGCACTGAAACCCTAAGTGAGGTGCCTGGTGTGGGACGGGGACCCTTCAGTCCTCAGGGAGGACCTTCCCAGCCGCGGGAGCCTCCTGATTTTTATCCACCACACGTGGGTGTGGGCCCAGCCCGTCACACCGCAGCCCCTCCTACCAGTCTGGATGTGGCTGCTGCTTTAATTCCGTAGTTGTTGGACTTCCATTCAGCTTGATTTCAGGCAGTTTTGAAATCGCCTGGTTGTTCTGTAGTTTAGTTGTAACTTTGATGTTGTTGTGGGAGGACGCGATACCGCGTTTACTTACGCCGCCATCTTGACCGGAAGTTCAAAAATTGTTAATTTTAAAAAACAAATGTTAATATGCTATTGTTATTTAATTTTGCATTTCTAATTTTCTCCACATCTGGGGTATTATTTCTTCCTCAAATTGGATGTTCATAAGTTTGCCTATTGGAATCACAATATTTTCTTTATCATTATATATACATTTTTTCCAGATAAAGATATTGATTGTATTGCAAATAATTCTTGCAAACACCTTTTCACAGTGCACTGTTAGTCTTCAAATCTACTTTTAAATATGGTCTCTGTCCAGCTTTCTCCTAGACAGAAGTACTGGCAGAGGCCCTTGTTCCTTTGATGAGCCCTTCCCCCATGAGGCCAGCAGATGGCACCATATCTGAGTCTCCATCAACATGATGGACCCTGTTTGCCCCACCCTGGTGATTCCCTGAGATCCTGCCCCAGCCAACTTTTGGGTCCACCCAAGCTGTTTCCAGTGGCTGTACCATAGGAATGACCTATCTTGGCTCATGTTTCAGATTTTTCTAAAAGCTCTCAAACAAACCCCATATCTCTTGCTAAGTGGCCCCAAGCCTTGCACTAGTAGCAGCCAGACTTGGTTCACAGTTGGGCCTTGCCTGGGCACCTCCAAGTCCAGCACATGAAGCAGCCATCTGCAGATTGATTTGTAGCTTATGGCCTGGTGGCCCCGGGTATAACACAAACAGTGGCTGACCTTGGCCTGCACCTCCGAGGAGGCCCCAGATCCAAAACACCCAGTGGACAGCTTCAGACCACATTTAAGCACCACTACCCAATCATCTCCACAAGCAACACACTCAAGGGGTGGGCTCAGTGGGTTCCAGAGCCCTGTTGAAGTAAGACTTTCTCTGTGTGGTAGGTCTCTGCACAGCTAATCATTCAAGGTGGTCAGAGGTAGGTAGTTAGTAGGCATAGCCTGTCCTTACAGCTGATCAGTCTGAGTAAATCCCTCCCACTGATATGCCAACAGCAATCAAAACTCAATTATTACTGAAGGGTGTATAGCCCACACGGGGGCACGGGGTATACCTCGAGTGCCCAGCTGAGGTGATCAGGTAGGCTGAGCCACTGGACCCTACAGGATAGCTACTAAATCAGACAACCCTACCAAACCTAGGAGACATAGGAGCTCTACCTAATATATAGAAACAAACACAGGGTGGCAGCCAAAATGAGGAGACAAAGAAGCATGTCCCAAATGAAAGAACAGAACAAAACTCCAGAAAAAGAACTAAATAAAATGGAGACAAGCAATCTACTAAATGCAGGGTTCAAAACACTGTTTGTAAGGATGCCTAAGGAACTTAGTGAGGATCTCAAGAGCATTAAAAAGGACCACTCAGAAATGAAGAATGCACTAACTGAAATAAATAATAATTTACAGGGAATCAATGGTATAAGAAGTCAAGAAGCAAACCATCAATTTGGAATATAAGGAAGCAAAAAATACCCAATCAGAATAGCAAAAAGAAAAAAGAATTAAAAAAAAAAAAATGAGAATAGCGTAAGGGGCCTCTGGGACAACTTCAAGTGTACTAATATCTGCATCACGGGGATGCCAGAATAAGAAGAGAGAGCAAGAAATTAAAAACCTATTCAAAAAAATAATGACAGAAAACTTTCCTAAATTGGTGACTAAAACAGACACACAAGTCCAGGAAGCACAGAGTCTCCAAAAAAGATGAACTCAAAGAGGCCCACATCAAGATACATAATGATTAAAATGTAAAAGGTTAAAGACAAACAGAGAATCTTAAAAGCAGCAAGAGAAAAGCAGTTACTTACCTACAAGGGAGCTCCCATAAGACTGTCAGCTGATTTCTCAAAAGAAACTTTACAGACCAGAAGGGAATAGCAAGTAATATTCAAAGTGATGAAAAGAAAGGACCTACAACCTAGATTACTCTATCCTGCAAAGCTATCATTTGGAATTGATGGATGTATAAAGAGCTTCTCAGAAAAGAAAACCAGTATTATATGAAATGCTAAAGGATCTTCTTGAAGAATAATAAGATCAAATATATGAACCTCATGAAAATGGCACTAAATATATATTTTTCAAAATTGAATCTACAAATTAACTAGCAGAACAGAAACAGACTCATAGATACAGAGAACTTTTTGTTAGTTGCCAGATGGGAGGGGAATTGGGATGGGCAAAAAAAGTGAAGGGGTTAAAAAGTACAAATTGATTGTTACAGAATAGTCATAGGCTGAAGGGGGTCAATGGGGAAAGGAGGGCATCTGTAATACTTTTAACAATAAAGATAAATTTTAAAAATATGGTCTTTGTCATAGAAAGTAGTATTCAAGAGTTACATTATTTTTTATCCTCACCTGAGGACATTTTTTTTGTTTTTTGTTTTTGCATTTAACTTTAGATAGAGCAGGAGGGAGAGAGGGGAGAAGAGAGAGAAAGAAACAGAGACGTGAGAGAGACACATCGAGTGGTTGCCACCCACACAACCCCAACCGGGGCCGGGGACAAACTGCAACTGAGGTACGCGCCCTGGTGGGAACCCAAACCAGGACTCTCTGGTCCGCAGGACAACACTCTAACCATTGAGCCAAACCGGTCAGGGCAAGAGTTACATTTTTTAAATGAAGATAAAACAATTTATCTTAAGGTCATTTTTGAACCCAGTGATAAGCTCTATGTAACACAGAGCCATGTAAAGCACTTGTATATACAAATGTTTCTCTACAGAGGCCACATATGAACAACCAACAGCCAGGCTGGTCTATTCATTGTTCCTCCAAAGTATTTGTTCTCTTGTATCCTCTATTCTGAACATCCTTTACCTTTCTCCACGAAGACTTTTCTCACGCTCAACAGCCAGCCACTGTTCCTTTTTTGAATTCCTATAACTTCAGTTGACACTATCCATAGTGCTTCTTGTCTTGTTATCTAACTGCCTTCTAATATGTTTTGTCTCCTTAACAAGAGCATAAATTGAAGTAATAATTATTGCCTGTGTTTATATCTTCCACAGTACATGGCAGCCTTAAAAACGACCTGCTGAACTGGGAGCAGCCAATAGTGCATCTAAGATTTAGTAGAATATAGAGAGGAAACCACGAGTCTATAGAAGTTTCAGAAATCTAGATTAAGGAATCTTATTTTATAGTTAATTTTCCAAATTAAAATTTAGAAATAGTGTCATTAGAAGAAGCAACCGGCTAGTGGAAAAGATGGCATTGCAAATAATGACGAGTGGAAAGCAGTATATAATTCACACTATCACACAAAGCACAAATGAACTTCTGGCTTCAATTTATATCTATCTCCAGGAACAGCTGAGCTGTTCAGATCATGACAGCTTACCAGATTTTCACCTAGGTTTATTCTAGGTGTCCGTAGAGATGTTCATCTACTCCTTGATAGTATCAAGTACTTTTGTAGGAAGTGGAATCTAGAAATTAAGATAGGAGATAAGAATCAAGTTTTGAGACTGTTGATAAAAGTCAGATATATAAAGCTGGGCTAGTGTCCAGTCTAGTCTGTAGAGCAGAGGATGGAGAACTCGGACTGCTGGTGGGAATAGTACTGTGTGCTCTGTCCTAGGGACCAAAGCACTTGGTAAGGAGTTGCTTGACATTGTGACCAGCTCTTTTATTATGTAAAGATAAGGCCACAATTCTAGGGTGGTGGTGGGAGGGGAAGGGTTTAAGGGAAGTGGGAAGGGGGCTAGCCCAGAAACATAGCCAGGATCCAACATCAGGGAGAACGGCATCTACTATATCACTCAATTTGAAGATCTCCATCTGTCTCAGTAGCCAATGTTTCTAACATTTAATGGACTCTCTCTCACTTTTACGCTACTTCCTCTATATTAACAACCATCATGCAATCAATTTTTTTTTAATTATGAAAAGGCAGCACATGGAGGGGCCATATGTACAGGAAGACCATTAGCATCCCTAACTCTTTCTTCCATCCCACAAAATGTGCTGTTAAGCTAAACCCTACAAGCTTGGTAGCTGACCAGGACTAAGGAGAAAGAAGACCTAATTGATAGGCTCTAGAAACCATCTAATATTTTATCTTAACTGTCCACCTCATCACTTAAAAAAAAAGTTGTATTTTCCCTTTGTTATTTTCTTGTCTTCAGTAGCAACAGTGTTGGGAAAATTAGAGGAGGTGAATGTATCCATATTTTTAAGGGGTATAATATGGGGAGTTCAAAAGAAGTTTGGAGAAGTAGTTTACCAAGTTAAGAAGGGAAGAAGGGATTAACAGAATAATGGAAATTACATGTATAGGTTGTTAGTTATGTGCCAAACACTTTCCTTTAAATCTCCACAGCAGCACCATGAGGTAGGTATTGTTATTATCCTGTTTTACAGATGGAGAAAGTGATGCTTAGGCAGGTTAAGACATTTGTCCAAGGTCACATGGCTAATATGTGATAGAATCAGGAGGCAAACCCAGGAGTTTCATGCCAGCGCCTACGCTATTGGGTTAGGAGTTCCAGGTAAGAAGCAACAACCAGAGAAGCTTTAAGAAAAAGCTTCCCCAGGAAGACTACAAAATCTTTCAAGAGGGAGTGAACTTCTACTGGGTATTAAAAAAGACTGTTGGCCTCGTAAAGGCCAGGAACTTGGATGCATTTGAGCAAAAACTGGACTTGAGAAAAATACCTTCAATGTCCCCCCCAGAATCTATAACTACCTTTCATTCAACATACGCTAGTGAGTAGAGATTAGGGGGGAAAGAGAATGTTTTCAGAGTTTTATGCCTAGTGCTAACAGAGCAAATGGACTTAATTTATGTACAATGTATCTTTAAACAACCAAACACAATTTTCTGGCATGAGTATTTGTAGCAGACATTCTTCAGATTATGAGAATTATAATCAGCATCTCTCAGAGTAGCACAACCAGCTTGGCAGAGACTGGAATTAAAAGTAAATTCTCTGTCCCATCTGGAACTCCCTAAGATCCAGTTTACAGGTAGGCTGGGGTAGATATCATGAAGGACTTTCACTCTGTTTATCTTTGCCCCAGTTTTATTTCCAGGGCCCTAACAGTGTTTCATAACTTGGGATCTTCTTGCAAAGTTGATTCAGTGTTTTGAAAATCCCAACGTCCCCAAGTGGCCTATTCAATTGCAGGCTGGACCCTGAAATCAATCAGTATTTGCAGGACTTTCTGAATAACTTAGGTTAACCTAGTTCAATTAGAGTTTTCATTGTTGAGCTCCAGCTCTGGGCCTGGCATTGTGGAAACAGAAGCAAACTGCCTTGAGGTTGGAAGGTACCAAGTGCATGGCTGAGGTGGTAACAAAGCCTTTAGGCAGTTTCAGCACAAGGCAGAGATGTGGAAGGGCCATGCACACCACACTGTAGCCACCCCAGCAGTGCCTGGTGGCTCATGTGGTTCAAGGAGAACATTCTGGCATCTCATGGACTTGGTTTTTCTTTGTCATTTTGCTCATATTTACTTCAGAATAGAAACACAATTTCCACTGTACCTTGTGCCAAGAGAAGGTGTTTAAATGAAAGGCCACAGAATGATTGGTGAAATCATTCAGAACAAAATAAACACACTGGTAGTTCTGGTAAATGCAAAATTCTCTTGTACCCAAAACAAAACTTAAAAAAAAGAAAAAAACTTTATTTTTATCCATCATCCTTCATCCCTTCTATGCCCTCTGCTATCCCCCAACCCCCCACTAAAAAAGAATACTTTAAATTTACCTCAGTTGGTACCTGACATTGAGCACCTTCTTCATATTTTGCATTTGAATCTGGTTAAAAAAAAAAAAAAAACTGCATTAGTTCAAGCACTAAAACAAGGGACTGTTTCAATTAATCCCAACTGTCAAATTAAACCAGGTTCAATCTCTCACAGTCAGAGTTTATGATTTGAAACTGGTGGTAATCTCAATTGGTAGGAAAATGTCACTTTTTTAAGAAAAGGATTAGAAGTCTTTTATTACAAAGATGATGTAATCAATATGAAGAAAGTCTGGAAAATACAGAAACAAACTCATCTGTTGTTCCACCCTCTCCAAATACTTTTCTATTAATATGTATCAGAAGCACCAGGCCCATTGGTAAGCAATGGGGAATACATAAGAAAGCAGATGAGTTATGATCCTTGCTTTCTTGGAGTTTGCATTCTAATGGACTAGACAGACCAGCCAACATACAAACAAGAAAGTACAATACGGAAAAATAGGGCTGTGCCATAACAGGCCATGGGAGTCCAAGGGAGAATGCAGTTTGGCGAATTTGAGATGTTACCAGTGACGGCTCCTGGAAGAAGCTGAGATGTAAAGGATAAGAAGAGGTGAGCTTCAGGGAATGGGGAGATGTGAGGAGGGGGATATTCAGAGGGTTTCTGGAAGAAGGAACAGAAGGAATGTGCAAACGTTCAGAAATGAGAGACCACCAGCTCTCCCATATTAGGTGGCCCATGATCACTTTGATGTGGCTCAGTTTTAGAGTGGGGAGGGGAGATGGCTGACAGCTGCGCAGATGGTGAAGGTTCCAACACTGCATCCTGTTTACGCTGAATCTAAAGGTCTGTGGGGTCTCAAGTGGTAACAGTATTGTGTGCCCACATGGATTCAGTTATATAACTGTAACATAATAAAGATAAAATTTATTTAAAATTAGCAACACAATGTTACATTTATCATTGCTATTTTTACTTGATGTATGTCATTGGTCTTTTCTGTTATTATGTGGGAAAGCAATTGCTGATTGATGTATTAATTTAACTAACCATTCATTTATCATTAGACATTTTGATTACTTCTAATTTTTTTCTATAAATAATGCTATTATAATAATTACCATTTTCAACTAGTTTTGCTTTAGTTTTTCAGAATAAATGTCTAGAAATTATATTATTATTAATTGACCTTTTCATTAAAGTATAATGACATTAATAGAAATTATAGTGCTTAGTCAAAAGATGTAAACACTTTTACAGCCTTTGGAATCTTGTGATAAATTTATCAATTTACACTGGTATCAACAAAGTAAGAATATATATCAGATTCACTACATTTTTTTTTCTTTTGGTCAATAGGTATTATAATTATTTTTTAAAAATATGTTTTCATTGATTTTTTTTAGAGAGCAAGGAAGGGAAAGAGAGATAGAAACATCAATGTGAGAGAGAAACACAGATCTGCTGCCTCCCGAATGCCCCCTACTGGGGATCAAGCCTGAAACTGGGGCATGTGCCCTGACTGGGAATCGAACTGGGACCTTTCAGTCCATGGGACGACATCCAATCCACTGAGCCACAGCAACCAGGCGGCATTATAATTCTTTTAAAAAATCTCATCAATTAAATAAATCAAACACCGAATTTCTGTTTATGCAAATATTAGCAGTGTTGAACACTTTTCCACATTTTGTTTTTAATGTAAGTTTTCTTTGAATTATCTTTTGCTGATCTCTTGATTAGCAATATTTTATTGAGACTCAGAATTCTAAAATTTAGTTCTATATTTCTGAATTTATAATATTATTTCCTGTTCAGTAAATGATACATATTGAATTATTATTACTTGTTTCCATAACTTAATTGTTTATTATTCATTTTTTAATCTACCTGAAACTCATTTTCTAATTTTTACTCAATGGCTTAATAGTAGTTATCAAATAATAATTTCTGTAATGTTTGAATTTTTATCATGATAAATTTATATAAATAAAAGTTATTAAATAGATATCCATTCAGTTCCAATGATTTATATCTCTGTTGTTCAGACAGTACAACACTATTTTCATTATTACTGCTATATAATATATTTTCACTTTTGGGAAGAGTTACAAGTTCCCTCATTAATCATTTTTTAATATTATTTTGATCATTATACATGTTTATTCTTATAGATGGAATATAGAATAATTTCTAACAATAGTTTAGATAGTCTTAGTCTGAATGCATATATTTAAAAATGTAATATGGCAATTAAAGGGATTCCCCATTACTCTAGGGAGGATGAATACAATTTCCAAATATCTATATCTATCTATCTATCTATCTATCTATCTATCTATCTATCTATCTATCATCTATCTATCTATCTATCTATCTATCATCTATCTGTATATCTATGGCTATTTTGCAAATGAAAAGTAAGTTTTTAATTGTTCAAAGAAAGGTAACTCACTTGTTCTGGCTGGTGGAATGGACCTTTTGGGTGAAGGTATATATTTTGTAGTGTTCCATCTGAATTTTTTCATACCAATTGAGGTCTGAACAATCATTACCTTTGTGAAATCTTCAGTGCCTTGTATCTGGAAATTGACATAATAGAAGTTAATTTCTGAGTAAATATCATATAATTAAATGCTTCTCTAAGCTACTATCCTAGGCCCTCTCTAAATGTCTATGCCTAAAAATTGAAAACATCATTAGATTTTAGAGGCTGTCTTGAATCCCTGGATATATTGGTTTTGTGAAAGTCAATATTCCATACACTTTTACTTATTTTTAAATATTTTGCTCATTTCTTTGACAAGTAAGTAGAATGATCAAGAGTTAATTATCAATGACCCCTTAAAATATCCTTCAAAGAGGTGTTTTATTTTTCTCCTTTTTCTGCTTCTCTCTCTCTCTCTCTCTCCCTCTCTCTCTCTGGCAGAAAGTTATTTTAAAAAACAATTGCATCCTGGGCATGTAAATTTCAGCATACGGAATATAGTCAATAAATGGTGCAATAACTATAAATGATGCCAGGTAGGTACTTAAATTATGGGGGAGGAGAGATCACTTCATAAATTATGTAACTGTCGAAACACTATGCTGTACACCTGAAACTAATATAAAATAATAACGAATGTCAACTGTAATTGAAAAATTACAGGAGTTCAAGAAATTCTTTAGCTTTGTGTTGCAGCTGGTTTCATTATGATTTGAATCATGTTGGTCCCCAAATCCACCATGAACAGGGCTTTATGCTTAGGGGAGTGAATGGAGTTGGTTGGGTAGGTTTGGGTCTGCCTCAAGATTCTCTTGCTAGGCTGTCCAAGTTCCCAACTAGCACCCACACCAAAATTCTGTTGCTGTGTATTCAAGAATGGAGGGTGGGAGCACCATAGTTAAAAACAACATTTCGCTTCTTTTCACTGGCATCACATTGGTGCTGGTGGTGCTCCACTTAAAACATTTTCTTGTGACATGTCTCAACCTCAGGATTCCTCTTATCCCCATCTCATGTTTTTCTTGTGTCCCAAATTTACCCTGTAAGTACTTCTATCATAATTGTAAATGTGTTTTTTTAAAAAAATACATTTCCATTGATTTTTTTTTTTTTTTGAGAGATACATAGAAACATTGATGTAAGAAACATCTATCGGCTGCTTTCTGCACACCCCCTACTGGGGATTGAGCCCCCAACTTGGGGGCGTGTGCCCTGACCAAGAATCAAACTGGGACCTCTCTTTATTGATTTTGTTTATTTATTATTATAATTTTTTTAAATTTTTAGTGGAAGAGAGAGAGAGAGAGAGGAAGAGAGAGAGGAGAGAGAGAAACATGGATGTGGGAGAGACACATCAACTGGCTGCCTCCCACACAACCCCATTGGGGTCAAGGACAAACTGCAACCATGGTACATGCTCTTAGTGGGAATCGAACCCGGGTTTCTCTGGTCCACGGGCCAACATGCTAACCGCTGAGCCAAACTGGCCAGGGCAAAACTGGGACCTCTCAGTTTATGGGACTACACTCAATCCACTGAGCCACACCAGCTGGGCTGTAAATGTTTTCTTTAATATATTTTATGTTTCTTTCCACTTGTTTGAGAGCTCTTTTGAAGGCAAGTTGCAAGTCTCATTTGTCTCCATCACTTCCGCATCTAGTACTGTTTCTGAACACACAATGCAGAGTACAGATGATGTGTTGTGGAATTGTACATCTGAAACCCGCATAATTTCATTAGCCAGTGTCACTCCAATAAATTCAATAAAAAGGAAAAATTATATATATATGTGTATATATATATATATAATTTAATGTGTGTGTGTGTGTGTGTATAAATTTAATTGACTCTAGGTTCATCTTTCCATTACTTTCTGTAGCTATATTTTTATGTCCATTAATTCTTCCTGACATGTGCCCTTGTTATTCTACCCCAATATACACAAACACACACAGAAGTCTTCTCTCCTTCCTTCTTCACATGGCATAGCTTCTCATTTTGATTGTAAGAAAACCTGGCAGCTTAAATATAAGATGTTCTTCACTTTTACACTCATTTCAGAATAGCTGGGGAAATACCACTGGTATTCAGTTCAACATGGGCCTGGAAGAACCTTTCTACAGTCCAGAGAGTGTGGTCCTTTTGCAATGTGTAAATGAACTTTAACAGGCCCTCTTTCGCTGTTTACAACTGCAACAAAATTTAATTGTGCCCAAAATGTACAGGTTGGCCTGCTTCATTGATATTGAGCAGAAATAACTTGGTGTTTGAGCTACCCAGTGCCAAAGCAACCTTTAAACTTGGGAGGTGTGTGTGTGTGTGTGTGTGTACGCGCGCGCGTGTGCTAATGGAGTTGTATGGGAAAGGGACAGGACAGGAAGATGGAAAAGCGGCAATTTTTCTAACATTCATACATTGTTGGACATACAACATACTGACCTGAAATCATAAATCAATATTTCTTTACCTGGTGGCATGTTAGAGGAATTAAGAAAGGTGCCTTATACATTTTTCGTAACTGACAATCTTCTACAGCTCCATGTATGAGGATGACATAAATTACGGTTTCATCATAGATATCACTCTTGGTATTCTTTGGTATATCTTTTACAAATATATTACAGAGTTTTAATTGCATCTTATAGGTCCATTCCTATAAGAAAAACACAACTTCATAGTCCTGTTTGTTTATAAAGTTTAACATAAACTCCTAATATTTTTAACAGTATTTTAATGCAATTCTACTCAGAGAGAAGGACATGTTTACATAAACACCTCTTACCTCATAAGATAAATGCTCCCGGATTTTTTTGGCAGTAATAGAAAGTCCAAGTTTTAGCCACATTTTATATTCAATGTGAGGACAGCATTGATCAAAAGTTTTATACAAGTGACTTATGGGAATAAAACATGTCTGGAAAAAGCAAAAAAATATATTCAATATTTTATTCTGTGCACATACATAGTTTAAGAAAATAAGCTTACTCATATCTAACATTGAAGCTAAGAATTTAAATTATATAAAATTCATGTTATTGCCTGGAAACCTAATAAAATGTTTATATTAGTAAATAAATATTTGTGTAATTTTGTTATACACTAGATATTAAAAGACTACATGATCCAGTGAGAGGTTCTTTATTATTCTTGCAGACTTTGAAAAAAATAGAAAACACAGTATCAAAAATCATTTAAACTTTTTGCTAAAGATGTAAATATTTCTATAAATACGTCATTTGAGGGGGAACAAACATTTCAGGCAACAGTAAAATGCTGATGCTAACAACAAAAACAGACTATGAGCTATGAATGTATAAGACTTTATGTATATTGGTTTTCATTTCTTTTGTGTAAGTATCTATGAGTGGGATCACTGGGTAAGATGGTGAGTTTAACTTTATAAGAAACTGCCAAACTGTTTTCAGAAGGGGTTGTAACATTTTATACCTTTATCAGCCATGTATGAGAATTTTAGTGGCTTCACATCCTTCCCAATATTTGGTATTCAGTTTTTAAAAAAATTCTTAGCCATTATAGTAGATGTGTAGTAATAACTTCATCTTACTTTCAATTTTCATTTCTCTGAGAGCTAATGATATTTAGCATCTTCTTCATGTGTTTATTGGCCATTTATACATTCCTCTGTGAAGTGTCTGTTCAAATCCTTTGTCCAATTTTTAATTTGGTAACTTGTCTTATTTCTGAGTTGTAAGAATTCTTTAAAGCTTCCTTTATCAAGTCCTTTTATAAATAATAGTAATGTGAAAAACGCCCCCTCCCACCTCCAGTTAATGGCTTGTCTTTTCATGGTGTCTTTTTAAAGAACAAAAGACTTTAATTTTAGTGACATTCAGTTTATCAATATTTCCTTTTGTGGTTAGTACTTGTTGTGTCCTGGCTAAGAATTTTTTGCCTATTTCAAGATTTTCTGTGTTTTCTTCTGAAATTTTTTATGGTTGTAGTTTAGGTCCATGGTCATTCTCATATGGTGCATAGTGTACCATTGCTTCCAGAGAGATATCTAGTTTCTCAGGGTCAACTGTTGAAAATACCATTATTGTCAAAAATCAATTGACTGTGTATGTAAACTTACTTCTGAAGTTTCTCTTCTGTTTCATTGATCTATATTGTCTTCACCTTAGGCCAATACCATACAGTCTTGATTATTATAGATTGACAATAAGTCTTTGAATCAGGCAGTGTAGATCACTTAATGTTATTCTTTTTTTTGGTGTCAGAAGTGGAATATGAACCCAGGTCTCAATATGGAGACCAGAAGTTGAATGTTCTTCTTTATCAAATTTGTTTTATATATTCTAGGTCCTTTGTATTTCCCTATAAGTTTTACAAGCAGCTTGTACATTTCTATAAGATTTCATTGAGATTGCATTAAATCTATAGATCCATTTGGGAAGAATAGACATCTTTATACAATTATGGCTTCCAATTCATGAAGATGTTCTACCTCTCTATTTATTTAAAGATTCTATAAGTTATCTAGAAAATATTTTGTAGTTTTCAGTGTAGAGGGCTTGCACATCTTTTGTAACTTTATTTCTATTCACTTATCTAGTACAACAGGGCTAGAAAAAGAAATTAACAAAAAATTATAAAGAAAACACTAACATTTTCTCTGTAGATGACATAATATCTACATTTAAAAAGTCCTAAAGGATCTACCAAAACTAACTAGAATGCATAGCAAATTTAGCAATAGAATAAGATACAACTTCATATTCCAAAAAATTAATTGTATTTTCATATACTAGTAACAAACAATTTAAAAAAAATTTGAGAGGTAAAATGGCCCAGTAAACATTTATTTCCCAAACACTTGCTTGGCCATCTCCAGGCAAATTTTTTCTTCCTCTTTAAAGTCCCAAACCATTATCCCTCTTCTCCTGAGCTCAAGAATGTATATAAGCCTCAGCTGCCTGATTTGTCCTAGGATCCCACATTCTTACAAAACCTTGTATGCACATATGCAATTACACTTGGTTATTTTCTTCTGTGAATCTTTCTTATGTCATTTTAAGTATTCAACCAGCAAGAAGACCTCAGAGGGGAAAAGGGACATTTTCCCAACACCTCACAATGACAAAACAAAACCTTAGAAGTCCCTAGTCCCTGGCACTTCTTGACCTCTAATATCTCTGTTCCATTCTTAATACTCTGGTAAATTTAGTTTTGTCTCATCCTGTGCGTGATCAGCTCACCCTTCAACCAGTGACTTGCACAGAACCATCACACAGACTCCTCAGTCTCCCTCGGGGCAACTCCCTCCAGGGCGGCTCTGCAGATTCCCAGTCTTTGAGCGGCCACTCCACCCATCTTTCCCTTCTCCGCTCAGCAGGTCCACGACCTTCTGTTTGGATTACTGTTGCTTGTGGTTGGAAAGTGTCCTAGGCAGAAGGTCAAGGTGGATGTGGGGCTTATATTGTGAGTTTCTCTTCTCTTAAGGTTTCTAGACATACACAGACTGTTCTCCAATGACTGAAACCATTTGCTATGTGTATTTTGTAAAGTTCTATGGTTGTTTCTGGTGGGGTACTAGTATGTTACCAGTAACTTCATTAGAGCCAGAAGCAGAAGGATAGGGTGTTTTTATGCAACCCCAAGTGCTGTGTAATTTCACTTATATTCTAATATGCACTGCTCAAAGATAGAAATACTTTAATTTTTTTCCTTGCCTTCTTCCTCCTCCCTACCTCCTTTCTATGCCATTGATTTGTTGGGGGGTGGGGTGGGGTGGAGAATAGGTTATATGGCCTGAAGGGCCTCCCACATTCTAGATTTATCTAATTATTTTCTTCTGGGATCAATGAACTTGTGTCTCTCCTTCCTGCATTTTCTGTGAACTGGTTAGATCTAGAGGCTTCAGGTTTTCTCTTTCCTTGTTTAAGAGGGCTTTGTGGGTGATATGAATACTTTTATTACGTCGTATCATGAAGTACACGATACTGAGTTGACCCACTTTTAATGGTGTTAACATTGTCCTTAGGTGGTGTCAGCCTGGTACTTCCATTACAAATTTTTCCGTTAATACTCCACATCAATTGATGGTTGTGGCTTAGAACTATTATTTCTTTAGGGGTGGCAAAATGGAGATATTTTAAGTCTCCTATTTTATATTTGTTAGCTGGAATCTTCTTTACAGAAAAGTTTTCCTCATCTTTTTTGTTGTTGTTGTTACTTTGGGAATTCATAGAGAAAAGGCAGGATAAATGTTTAGTTCTTGCTATTGATATCCCGGTAACCTTATTAGAAATTTTAAAAATTGGTGTCTTTATGACTTATGGATTTTTATATATTTATGGGGTTCAATTGTTTTGAGTTCAAATTAGGCCAGTGGGAGCCTCTGTTGCTTTGAAGATTTTGTCCTCCATCTCGTTTAGGGAAACTTCCATCCACTTTGCTCAAATTTTCTATTATTAGATTCTAGCTGTCTGACTTTCCCTTTTTTCCCCTCCAAATTACTGTATTGATAGTCAATATATCCCACCTAATTTCCCCATGAGAGATCTCATATGGCCAATTTTTCTGATTAAATCCTTCTTAATGTGGTAGGTTAACTTTTGCAAGGCATTTTGTCAGGATGCTGTACTGGGTAAGTACAATTCTGTTAACAAGTTCTGTTCCTTTACCATTCCTTTGTTAATTTCCACTACATTGTAAGCATATACTAAGTACAACAATAACCTTAAATTTGATACTAGATATTTAACAAGATACAACAGTAAGACATAAGGTGATTCTTGCTGACCTCCACTACAGTTTTGCAGGTGGCAGAATATTTCATGGGTTCATTAGTTAAACAGTTTAGCTCTCCTATTATTTCCCCACTGATCACATAGTCTGTGTAAGTTATCTGAAGATCTGTTTCCTCTGGGTCAGAAAGTATGTGGTCAATTATCAAACCTGGTTTTGATCTTTGAAGCTGTTCAGGAACAAAAAAAGAGAAATATATGTATGCCAGTTACTTTATAAAAATCATCTAATCTATGGCTTTCTTTTCCTTTGGGCTTAAAAATTTTAATATGTACATATTATTTTTAGAATATTTATTACTCTTATTTTTACACATATTATGAAATTATTAATGACTTAGAAACAAAGAATTCTTAAATACTTTGATCTTTCTGATTCTTCATAGTCAGCCAAATTATATCTGCTTTAAATGGCTAAATGCCCAACTCAGATAAATGCAAGATGAATAACAATTTATATTATAATTTTCCATCTTAAAGATAATCTGTTTAATTTTTTTTAATCTATAAAAAAGTATGGCTTAAAAGATGATAGGTGGTGTTATCCATTGTATTTGAACAAGAAAATTGCTATTTGGATAGTAGTTGCTGACCTAAAAAACAAGCAATGCAGTTCTTAACATAGAAATCTACTAATTTTCAATTTTATAAAGCTTTTAACTAATGCTCATAAATGCATTTATAAATAACTCTGCCTTACCTTTATCATGCCTGAAATAATTATATAAATTCCTTTGGGGTCATCACCTTCTTCAAATATATCATTTCCACAGTCAAATGTTATAAATTTGGCTTGTTCCTAGAAAATAATATTTTAGCAGTGGTTGATGATGTTGAAGTTTACATTTTAATAAAAATGTTTTACATTTTTAAAGTAAATATCACTCAGTAAGATCTGAGATATTGCATTAGTAATAAATTTGTAAGAGAAAATAGGAATTATAAATAGCAAAGAGAGGAAAGTGAATATTCATAAGTACATGTAATGTCAGATGGGGTATTTATATATGGGTTAGGAAAGGAATAATCTAATCTAGGAATAAGAATGTAATGGAAGAATGAAAATATTTTGTCTGGATGAAAAATAATCAAAACAGCTGCAGGCTAATGGCACATATATGTTTCATACATATTTATGCTCTTAAACATCTGAGGAAGTAAATAAAAATGTATTCATTCAAAATATTTTAATCAGGTGGACGAATATAATTGGTCTTTGGGCACCAAGTAGATATAAAGAATGTTATTAGAACAAGATAGACCCATTTTTTATTCATTCCATAAACACTTATTGAGCACCCATTATTCAATATGCAAAGCACCAGAGGCGGAGTATTCAAAAAATGGGTGAGCTAAAGAATATGAAGATCATTGCAATGTAATATGCTTAATGTTACAATAAAGTTATAAAATGAATACAACAGTGACACCTTTGATCTTCCAAACACAGGATGGACCACAGGATGATGTATCTACTGGTAGGGTGTTCAACACGGAAGCCTACTTTTCTGAGTACCTTCAGTGGGGATGTTTCCAGAGAAGCAATAATCAAGGAAAGTTTGGGAAAAAAAAACGAGAAAAGAGGCATTTCAAGAAAAGTCAATAGCACCCACAGAGAAATGAAATTAGAACACAGTATAAAGTGCTTGGGGTACCACGAACGGTTCAGTGTAGAATATAAGGTATATGATGAATGGGCAGAAGAAGAAGGGAAGCAGGAGGAAGTCTGTAGAAGGCTTTGCATGTCATTCAAAGGAATTTTGGTTTTATCCTACAGGCAATAAAAGACATCTAAATAATTGTAACCTGGAGAATATCATGTTTAGATCACTATTTTTTAAGAGATCACTTGTTAGTACATTAAAGATGATATTTTATGAAAGATGATATTAGTAGGAAATAAAAAAATGTTACCTGAATAAAATTTATCTGGTATCTGTCTTTGTCTAGCCATGGAATATGGTACAGTGCTTCAACAGGAGTAAGTGATTTGACGATAGGTTGAAAATCAAATAACTCTCTTTTTTTTTCCATTATTAACTAAAATTATAAAATTTAAAAAAGAAGATGAACAAAACTAGGGTTCACAGAATGTTAAAAGCTAGTATGGCTTTGTACTATTTTTTTTCCTTGCTTTTCTGAGACCTCGTTTTTCCATGGAAACTTACAACCTCTCTACTTTTATGGCATCTTTCTGCTATCATATTCTAAAGTCAAAGATTAAACTTTAAAAATTTTCTTTATTGATTTTAGAAAGAGAGGAAGAGAGAGGAGAGAGAGATAGAAACATCAATGAGAGAGAACATCGATTGGCCGCCTCCTGCATGTTCCCCACTGGGAATCAGGCCCACAACCTGGGCAGGTGCCCTGACCAGGAATTGAACTGGTGACCTCTTGGTGCATGGGTCGACATTCTACCACTGAGCCACACCAGCCAGACCCAAGATTAAACTTTTTTTTTTTTTTTTTAATCCTCACCCGAGGACATTTTTCCATTTTTTGCACAGATAGAGTGGGAGGGAGAGAGAAGAAGAGAGAGAGAGAGAGAAACATCGATGTGAAAGGGACACATCGAGTGGCTGCCACCCGCACGACCAACCAGGGCCGGGGACAAACTGCAACCGAGGTACATGCTCTTAGCAGGAACCGAACCCGGGTCTCTCCGGACCACAGGCGGATGCTCTAACCGCTGAGCCAAACCGGCCAGGGCTCAAGGTTAAACTTTTAAAAGTAAACCATTTGATTGAAGTGTAGCAGATAGGCAAAAAAAATGCACAAACCATAGAAGTTCACTCAAAGAACATTTACAATGTGAAAACATCTGTGTAACCAACACTCAGATTAAGAAATAAAACACTGTATCCTAGAATCCTCCATTGTGTTCTCTACTAGTCATTGCTCCTATCCAAAGATAATCATTCTTCTATCATCAGAGTCTAGCCTTGTCTGGGTTTGAGCTTTATTTGCATAAAATCAAAGAGTATGTACTTGTTTGTGTCTAGTTTCATTTGTTCAACATTGTTTCTGAGATTCATCTACAAGGTTGTAGGGCGCAGAAATTCATTCATGTCATTTTCATTGTTGTATAGGATTATGTTGCATTATTATAGCAGAGCTTTATCAACTATTGATTAACATTTTGGTTGCTCCAGTTTGAGGCTTTGTAATGCTGCTATGAGGATTTGTTTACTGTATATATTTCTGTTGAATGTATGGTTATATACACTAATTGCTGTGTCATAAGACATATGCTCAAATTTAGTAGATTTTGCCAAACAGTTTTCTAAAATGATTGCATCAGGTTATACTCCCACTCTAATGTTCCAGTTGTTCCATCATTGGCTTACACTTGATATTGTCAGTTTAAAAAATTTTTAAGAATTCTGGTAGTTGTGTATTAGTAGTTCATTTCAGTTTTAATTTGTATCAAGCTTATGAAATGACATGTGGTGCCTTTTGTTCTGTTTATTAGCTGTTTGAATACCTTTTGTTGTAAAGCGCCTATTCAAATCTTTTGCCCATTTTTTGAAAAATATTGATTTGCTGTCTTATTGATTTTCAAGAGATTTTAATATATGGTGTTAGGGAAAGTTCCGAGCATAGAAAGAAGCGATCCTTCACGATAGGAAAGAAAAGCTGATCACTGAAGCTGGAGGAAGGAGACTCCCTATGGCATGTGCTTTTCTCTAGAGAACTACTTGAAGTTAGATATTCATATCTCAGGGATGGCCTATATTGGGAAGAGCCAAAAGTAGATTTGAAGGTCATAAATAACTATATAGTAAATAAGTATAATTCCTTTGATGCTATTTTATTTTACCTTGTTAATTTCAAAAGCTTCAATTTTATGAAGAATTCCTTTTAGTCTGAAAGCCTTAATAATTTCTCTAGCCAAATTGAGCATGACATTAATCTGCTCCTTTGTTTTCATAGTGATAGCAATATCTGGGTGATCGTACTCTAAGTAGCCTGAAAAATAACAAAATATTTTCAGTTGATATAAGGACATTGTTTAAATATTTCATTTAAACAGGAAGCTAATATTTCTGCTCTAAACATCGTGAAACACAACCCTCAATACAGAAACATGTCTTTCTTCTTAGTGAGACTTCTGCAATCAACCATCACTCACCAGTAGTTGCAGAGTTCTGCCTGCCATTGTCTTGTCTTCAGCTCATACTTGTGCCGAGAAGGACAGACAGCCTCAGTTTTAGGATTAACAAGTCTACCCACCCACCTCCACTGGACACTTGAGAGGCTCTTCTGGGCTCTAGGTCTGAAGTTCATGACCTGCTTTTTTATTCCGTTTGACTCGGGTCTTTGACTATAGACTGTGAGCTTAGATCTGGCTTTTGAGGAAGTCTTTTCACTCAGCCTGGGTCCTTTTCCACTCACCCTGTCTGTGCACCTACATGCCTCGTGCATCTGTGCTCTCTGCCTGTCTGATCTGGATTACCAGATGCCCATGAGATTTTATCCTCTTAGATTGCACATTTGGCCTTTTCTTGGGGCATGGCTTCTAGTGTGGCTTGACAGCTCTCTGCCATGCAGGCTCTCTGGAGCATGGCCTTATTCCCAGGCTCGCTGTGTCCTTTTGCGGCCCACCATTTGGTACCCAAATCTCCTCTCCTCACACGAACACTATGCTCTTAGGGGGGTGTCTGACCTACTCCTGAGATTTGTCCTGCGTTAGGAGCACGGCCTGGCGTGATTCAGAGAAGCAGCTGCTGCTATGTTTGGGCATCGAGCCTCCCAGAAGCCACAGCAGAGGTCTGTGAGACTCAGATTTCAAGTCTTTCTGAAGCCTAAGCTCTCAGACGGCAGCTCTGTGGCAAGTGGGAAGAAAAAATAACTTCTTTCCTCTTGTTGCTCAGGAAAGTATGCACACTTCTGGTTTGAGAGAGAACAGAATTTAGAAGGTGATGATACCTGTGTAATCATGCCATGCAAATGGGTCTTCTTTAAACAGAAATTAAAAGGCCTGTGTTGTGGCATAAGGCAGAGAGAACAAGTTTGGAGAGGTAACATTATACTATTTGGCCCAGCCCAAAATATGATTATATCAATTGTTGAAGTTATCCACTTTATTATTAGTAGTAAGTAGGTTCCCTCAAAGATCAGTTTACTTATCAAAGCCATTGCCTCTCTGAAGCAGTGACGAATCTGTAGGGTGAGAGAAACCTACCTAGGTCTTTCAAAGCATGTACTGTATTCTTCGTTACCCTCTTTAACAACATCTATGAAACAAAAGAAACATTACCCTGATTGGAAAACAAATTGATATACAATGTCTTAACATTTGCAACGGGTGGATTTTTAACCTAAGTTAATAATTAAAGAAAACTACGGAGCCCTGGCCGGTTTGGCTCAGTGGTTGGAACATCGCCCTATGGACCAGAGAGTCTTGGGTTCGGTTCCCACTAGGGGCACGTACAAAAAACAAAACAAAACTATGGAGAACTTTTCAGGGATTAGAATCAAGTTGTGTGCCATGAATTCTATTTTGCTCCAGCAAGAGTAGTGGAGAGGGTAAGAAGTGGCATCATTGAGGCTTTGAGAAGCCTGAAGGTGAGTCATACATTTTTCTCTAGAGGAACTTGCTTTAGGAGCCTACTGATTCTGAAAAATGTGGCACGGTAGGTGCCTTGCCATTCAACTTTATGACGGCCTCCACATTTGGGACAAAGAGGTGACTTTCAACCTTAAATAAGTTAAAGGTTTGGCCAAACTGCATGTGAGAGAAAATGAGGACTAAAAGTGGACAACACTTTAGAGATTCAAGTCCTTTTGCATTTTCTATTGGGTATCCTCAAATTGCAGGGCTAAATATGCATGGTTAGGAAAAGTAACAAAATGCAGAAAAACAGTTTTCAAGTTATAGGTGGGGAAGGGAGGTTAAGAGACTGCATTTTGTGTTCTCCTACATACAGGGTGGGGCAAAAGTATGTTTACAGTTGTGAGCATGCAAAGCACAGTTTATTCTGGTATTATTACTTATCATTGCATTATTTTCCATATGAACGACTGTAAACCTACTTTTGTCCCGCCCTATTGAATGTTCAATTTTCTCAAGTACAAAGCATTGGGCATATAACATACAGCATCCAAATGTTCTAAATTGCCTCAGAAATATTGGATTCCTGACATAGCTGACAAACTTGTGTGCCCACAAAAGTGTGACTCTGCCTCAGTTAGGAACATAAACTATAAAAGCTGGAACTTAGGCCCCCAAATTCTCTTTGCCATTTTGGGGCGTGATCATTTAACCTCTCATGGCTTCATCTTTCTCCTCTGCATCTTGAGGGAATTAGACAAGGTTTCCCTCTAAATCAGTTGTTACTTCTTTCCATCTGCCAGATCTCCACCTTTTACTTTTTTTACTATTTACTGTGGGAAAATAAGGGATAGAGAGAAACAGAAGGGACCTTCGTGAATTATGAGGAAGCTCTATTTGCTCAACAGAGCCATCACTCCTCACCCTCTCATATTTCCCAGTTGCTGTTTCTGCAGCCTGACATGTCTTGGAACTCGCATTGGGAGGGGACCGACCACTGCACCTGGGTTTCACAATAGCCTCCACAAGGACTGAAAGGCTTGTTCCAAGAGCTTTGTAACTTGCTGATATGGGGCCAACATTTTAGTAAGGACGTTTTCAGTCATCTAAATGTAGAGTAGTTTAAGTTTTTACAAAAAATTACCTAGCAAACCAGGAATCAATGCCCATACCTACATATATAGACAGAAACCATGATGGTGAGGGCAACTGAGGAGTGGGAAAAACAAACCTTTTTTCTTGGTATTTAGCTTTTCTAACCTGTTTAACCTGTTTAGAACTTGCAATCTGATCCATTATAGTCATTACATCTGCTTCACCTTGGACATATCCTTTTAGTATAGCATACCGATAGGACAGCTGATGACTCATCCTTTTATCAATTAATTGCAGCAACTTTGGTGTTATGAGCTAAAAAAAAAAAAAAAGGACTACTATTTAATATAAATTATACAGATTTAGTTGATTATATGTTGATCAGTTTAATGGAAATAGGTAATATTGAGAAATGGCATGCTCTCTGCAGTAACTCTAGTGACCTGTCAAGGTTCATGTTATCTTTATAACTTCATGGATAGAGCTATTTCTCTATAACTAATAATATTGGACATCTATATAAAACTATGGATTTATTTTTTACTTATCTCCCTAGTAGAGAATTGGACACTATCTTCAACTGGTTTAAATTCTTGGAAGACAATTCCGTAAATCTTTTCTGGGCAAAGGTATAACATGACTGTCTATAAAGGGCTGCCACTTCTACATGCTAAATCTCCTACTAAACTTTTTACTAGATGGTTAATTGGGGTTAACCTACCACAACTATACTCCTTCTTTGACCCCACAATTAATTTTTCACAGTTTCTTGGCTGAAGGTTTAAGTCTCTAGGTTATCTTCTACCGTTGTGCAGCCCTCTGATTTCAGCAGAGTTGGATGTTCCCTGCTTTCCTGTCTGTGCTTCATAATCTTCATTCTCTGCCCTCCAATGACTATAAGCTCCATTGATCTGCAAAGAGCTTATACTCATTCTTCAAGATTCAATTCAAGCCCTGGTTGGGTTTCTAAGTGGTTAGAGCATTAGCTTGTGGACCAGAGAGCCCTGGGTTCCGTTCCTGCCAAGGGCACATACCTCGGTTGCAGTTTGTCCCCGGCCCCAGTGGGGGTCGTGAGGGTGGCAACCAGTCAATGTGTCTCTCTCACATGGATGTTTCTCTCTCTCTTCCTCCCTCTCTCCCTCCTGCTCTATTTGAAGATAAATGCAAAAACAAACAAACAAACAAAAACCAACAATATCCTCAGGTGAGAATAAAAAAAAAAGATTCAAGTATCAACTAGTAAAGGATGTTTTTTATATCCCACAAATGTTCTGTGCATACAACTATATGCACTAACCCTACCCTTCTTTAATAATCTGTATGGGGGCAGAGACTATATCTAATAAGGGTTAATAATTTCCTGAATATATTAACAAGCTTTTCTTAGGTGGTTTACCAATTTCTTTATTTACAATATTTGGTTGACTATGTATATCTTCCTATTAGAAAGAACTAGTCATGGGAATACATTACACTTGACTTCCTCACACCAAAATGCACGTTAGCATTACTTACAGTCTCATACAACATTAAAAAGGAAAAGGCTACTAGTTTTAGACCTGGATGGCTTATGCCTCTCAATAGCAGAGGTATTCTATTTTTTATGTCATTTTATTTTTTGTTAATGCTCACCCGAGGATATTTTTCCCACTGTTTTTTAGAGAGCGTGAAAAGGGTTAATTTATACTTATACTAACATGGGATTTTTCATGTGCTCTCTATTAAAAGAAAGAGCTGTGATGAATATTTTTATATTCTCACATACTAAGTGAATTTCTAATATAATTAGAATATTTATACTATGTTATAAAACTTTGTCAAAGGAATCCAAAATTTAAAATATAGACATCAGCCTAACAGAAGTAAAAGTCATAAAACTAGTCCACTTACTTTAGTTTACATTTTATAAGACTGTCAGAAGAAATATGAAATTGCATAATTTAATAGTTCTTTACCTTCAAAATGCGTAGTAGGCGTAAAACTCGAATAGTTTTTAAAAACACTTCTGTTTGAGCCAAATCGTAAACATTATTAATGAAATGTGCCTCCATAAGTATTATATCTATGATGCCAACTAATGTAATTACTAATTCAAATATGTTCCAGGTATGTAAAAAATATTCCTTCCCCATTGCTGCTATCTGTTGATTTAAAAAGAAATTATATTATTTGTCTGTGTTTTTACTATACCATTTTCCCACAACTGAAACATCACTAGTTAGATTTTCCCCTAATCTACCTTAAGACTGTACTCTAAAATACTAATAAGTGATCATATTTTAAATTAACTATAATTTAAACAATTTGAAATTTTAAATGGTTAAAATATTGAGGTTCCTGTTACAAAGGAGAAAATATTCAAAATAACCACTACTTTATGATAGCTTATTCATTAATTCCTTCTTTATTTTGAAAAAACTTTTATTGAAAACCTACTATATCTAAGAAAGTGGGAGATGTCAAAAATATTGTGGATTTCAGCTTGGAAAATTGGTTTTCCTGTGGAATTTGAAAGAAAGAGTAGGTTTGGAGAAAATACATTTGTTTTGAATATGCTGTTTGTGATTTCTGCACAGTATTTTGTTGGAGAGACCCATCAGCTGTTGTCTGTACCTTCTGAGGCTCTATATAAAGCCTAAGCTGGAGACATGCATAGAGGAGCCATTAGACTATAAGTGGTAGTTGATGTCAGGGAAGTAAAGAGATAGAATGGCCTATGAGGCCCTTTACTATTTAATTCATGGCTGGGTCTCTTGTCTCAATTCCATATCGTCCACACAAATTTAACATCTCTCCAATATCCACCTTGACCAACCCACCCCTAAGCTCCAGTCATTGGGAATTATGTTCCTGTGTGTGTCACAATGTTGTCTCTAAGTTTTCCCTTGTTCTCGTTGTCTGTTATGCTATGTACTCATGGTACTCATGCCCTATTTTGACTCTTACTCATTATTCAAAATTCAACACAAGCACCTACTATACTTGAAACCCTTTCTTTTCTGACCCTATTATTCTGTGTAAGGAACTCCTGGGTGGTTTTTTTTTTTCCGCCATAGCACCCATGTAGTCTTTTATTTTAATACTTAAGATACTGATTTGTAATTTTGACTCATTTTCTTTTAGTAGCCTGATCCCCCTACTCATCGTGATTCAAAGACAGTGTAGGAGGCAGACATTATCATGTCCCAGGAAAAGCATATGCTTTATTACAAATAAAGAAATTGCTATATTTATTTAGCAACAGATTCCTGTGTGTTTAGCGGTAGAGTCATTTCCCTTGAGTCTGCTCACATTTGGCCAGGCAATGTCTGAATCTACAAAGCAGAAGACCAGATCCTAGTCTTGGGAGGTCCTGCCCGCATCACTATTTATCCTCCAGAGATGTCTCATTTCCTTCTTATTGAAACAGGCATAAGCTGGAACATTCTCTTAGGAACTTGAAAAAAAATTGTTATAAAGAATAAGACTTTATTCAAATAGCAAGTATTCAGGAATGCGAAAGAGTTATCTTGGGGTCACTAGTTATCTTGAAGCCACAGGAGAGGAAGAGCCTGCTGGGAAAGGATGGTATGAGCTTCAGAAAAACAGGGGTTTGTCGAATGCAAGTTTGTCAGAGAATGTTTGGAAGTTCAGGTATGCCAACCTCTGGCCCTCAGATGAAAAAAGTGATTATCCTTCCTCTGAAAAAGACTCAAAAGGGCCATACCTCTAATAGGTTTAAGAGTTTTTGGGAAAATGTTGAAAAATACGAGGAGGAAATTTTAAGGCAGCATTGTTTATTAAAAAGAACAATAACTTTGACTGTGAGGGATTGGATCCTATTTCTATTATTCATTAGCTGTGTGACTTCAGACAAATTATACGGTTTACCAGACACTCAGGTACCTCATCTGTAAAATGCAAGGCATGGATCACACACACACACACACACACACACACACACACACACCTTCAAGGGTTAATTTAAGGGTTTGAAATGTTATACTCAAAATGACTGGTACTTTATAGGTGATCATTTATTATTATTGCTTTAACATAATGGATATTTTAAAAGGAGTAGAATTGAACTAAATAGAAGCAGAGGGTAAAGGAAATGCTAAGTGATGGCAAATTTGAAAACTGGGCAGTGAGGATGACTCTGGAGTTGAGTAGACAGGAGATAAGAACAGGGTTACACCTGGTTGGGTGTATCCTCTCAGCTGTGAAGTATGACCATGTCTCTGCAGTCCAGCGCTGCTGTTGTAAGTGGGCTTGACTGAATGGAACTGTGTCTCTGCATGGCTATGGCAGCAGCTTGCATGCAGCAGAGTACAAAGAATAATAGAGCTAGAGGGATCTTCATAGATTATTTAGACCAACACTGACTTTTTAGAGAAGAAATTTAAAGTTGGGAGAAGTTCAGTGACCTTGTGAACAGTTAATCTGAGAAAACCAAAGCCAGAGACAAATTTACTGAATTCCAGCTCCATGCTCTTTCCACTATAATACATGCTACAGTACGAAATATTACACATTTTAGGGAACTGTTCATGCTCACCCTCACCCTATAACTAACCTTAACATTAATTGCTTTATTTTTAAAAAAATATATGAAATATCCTATGGTCATTCCAACTAACTTTGGAATTTATTACATATAATGTGGCTGGTTGTGAATCCATCCCCTTCCTGACATTATCACTCTGTAGTAGCATTTTAATTTTTCACTAAAAATTTGAGACTCATATTTTCATTATTTAACAACTACATTTATATTGAATTTAAAAATAAAATTATGATATCAATTTTAGTATAAACAAGTATCTATTAATCTACATATCCATTTATTTATCTATTTAGCATAAAAATAATAAAACCAACATCCATGTCATTACTACCCTGCTAAATTTAAGAACATTGCCAATACTTGTGAACCTCCCTCTGGGTCCCTTTGACACACACTATTTTAAAATTTAATTTTACAAATACAAAATCAATTCTGAAAGTATGGCTATGTTCTATTCAATCACCCTAAAAATTACCTTTAAAAACTAAAGTATATTTGTCCCAGAAGTGGAAGAGAATTTTATACACTCTTTTAGAAAACTATAGCTAGTGTTCAAAAATGAAGTTAGGAAGTCTCCCTCTTGAACACACACACATGCACATGCACGCGCACACATACTTGCACACATACACAGTTCAGATTACCTTAACTAGGGCCTCCAGGATGTAAAATGCAAGAAAAAAGTAGTTGGAATGTCTTAATTCATCATCATAGAAATCATTTAACACAGGTATCAAAGAAATTACAGTAGGGTATGTATTCATTACTATCACAAGGTATCCGACATACTCAAATTCATCAGCAAATACTACTTTATGGAATGCACGAAAAAAGCAATGTCTGAAAAAAAAGTGAGAGGTAGTTTTATCTGAAGAAAGAATTACATTGAATTATTTTCATTATATGTTCAGCTCTGTTCTCATCATCAGTAGCTACAGAACTCAGCTTAATTCTGGGAGGTAGCCATCAGTTGCTAACACTTTCTAGCATCATACTTCAGATACTGTTCTTTTAATTTCCTCCTCTGCGAAATGACTTGCTACTGGTTTTCCTTCTTTCTCTCTCACCTTTCTCACTCATTTTTTTTTTTAATCCTCATCTGAGGATATGTTTATTGATTTTAGAGAGAAAGAAAGGAAGAGAAACATTGATGTGAGGAACAAACATGGATCGGTTGCCTCCTGTATGTGTCCTGCCTGGGGATGGAACCCAAAATCTGGATATGTCCCCTGACTGGAATGGAACCTGCCTTTTTTTTGGGGGGGGGCGGTACAGGACGACATTCTAACCAACTGAGCCACCCAGCCAGGCTTTCCTATACTTTCAATAGAAATATTTTTGTTTATAAGACAGAGATAATTTTGACTTGAAATATTTAAAAAAACAAAACAAAGGAAATCCCTTCCACGTTCCAATAATTCCACTTCTCAGAGAGAGCTACTATTAACAGTTTGAATACTGTTCACTCCTTTTGTTTACATAATCACTATCTATAGACACAAAAGGAATTATATCATACATATTGTCCTGTTACCTGCTTCCCCCCCCCCCTCTCTTAACAATGTATTATGAGCATCTTTCCTTGTCAAGGCATAAAATCGAGAACAAGTCCCAGGATGTGTGTGGTGGTCCAGCATGGGTCCACATTTTATAAAAAATTTAAAGTAATATATATGCTGTGGAAAATATTTTCCATAGCGAGTATACCAGAGAATGGAATTGTGAATGAAAATTTAACTCTACATATTTTTAATTTTATTTTTAATCACTCAAATAGTATAACAATGCATTTTTATTGTTAAAGCCCAAATGAAATGTTTAGTTAATTACTGACTGAAGATTGGTTAAAGTACTGGATCACTTCCCCACTCTCAGAGGTCATTCTGGGTTACACAGGACCTGAAACCTTTACAATTTGGGGTCTTATTTGAGAAAATACGCACACATAGATAATCCTCGCAGCACGTCGGCAGGGCCCTCCACTCCTGCCGCAGTGAGGCTGCTTTCCTTGCTTTCCTCCAGCAGTGCAATCATACCTGGGCCAGCACTGCACTGGAGGTTCCCTTTTGCCTGAGTTGATAATGAAGCATAGTCTAACTTGTTTCTGCCACGGCGATGAACTGGAAAAGATATGATGGGGCTAACTCTAACTCACAATTCCTCTAAGTCTTTAATATTGATGTGAATTACTTAATCCTGGAATGTTATATTGCTTCTCATTACTGTTTTGGCCAGGGGTTTCATTTGGCCACTTGGCCCTTTCTGCCATGATGAGTCTTGTTCTGTAGGTCAGTTAGACAATGTGAGTGTTTGGCTAATTACTAAGTATGTTCATCCCAATTATATGCTTAGGGACTCAGGAAAATAACACATAGTGGACTTGCTGGACTATTATAAGACAGACTAAGTTGGAAACTTTATATACCATCTAGCCTAAAAGCTCTCAGTTTAACTTGAGGCCCATGATAGCATTTCAAGCTTTTGGTATTAGTATCATTTTAAATGCTATATCCCCAAAGTACTAAAGCCTGGGTATTCTTTTTTCCCAATGCACAGTAACTCTGGTAAAGTGAGTAAAGGTCCATTTGGGGAAAAAAAAAGATTGAGAGAATATTCTTCTGTATACTCGTGGTATTGTTGCAGTCTTTTCTCAAGGGTTCTGGATCTGAGAACTGACTTAGATCTAGAGAAAAGGTGAGGGATCATGATTTTCCTTTACCGTAGGTGATCTCATCCCTTTGCCCATCAGCTCACTATCTTTAGAAGTCAAGAAACACTAAGTAAACTGTTTGTCTGTATTGCCCTTTGACATACATTACTTGTTAGCCATTTCAGGTTTGCTGTCCACAAAATAAAGTACTGTATGCCTACTTTTCCTTCAGCATTTAAGTGCTTCCATTTGTCTTCTTCCATTCCCAAATCCTTCTGACACAAAAATGACCAATTCTGTTGCAGCTTCAACTATTGTCAACCATGTCCCGCAGAAGACATCTGTCATTGAGTTTATCATGGTTGCCTTGGTAAAGAAAAACGACCTTCAGGTTTTCTCAGAGAATAAGTTCCTGTAGTCGGTTCTTCATTTCCATATAATTAATCTAGTTAAATATTCCAATTTTTATCATTTGCACCTCGTTTAGTATAGGTTTTTGGCCTGGTCAGGCTTCAAAAAACCATGCTAGGAGTGTAATAGTACCAATTCCAAGTTTCTTCGACATAATGTTGAAACTTGAATCATCGTGAATAAGATCATTATGCCGAAAAATTCTTCACAGTCTGGTCTTATGTTGCAATCTTCTCAAGCTCCATTTCCTTATATGTTCTACTAGTATTCTCTGGTATTAATCAGGTCCTATAATTCCATCAGTTGATAAGTTTTAGTATCCTGAAATAGGCACTATATTTCACCCTCTAGCTGTGTTGAGATCGACCTAGATAACTACCTTGGAAGCAATGAAAGGTGGTAGAGACTGATCCTAAAACAAAGACACGCTTCATCTTGGGATGTCTTTGCAGCATCTGAAGGTGCTGGGAAGCTATTGTCCTCTAGCAGGGTAGAAGTGGCTGCTTCTGCCAGGCTAGAGTGTTCATGAGAATCTGGGGGTTCAAGATCTTCAGGTTGGTCCACCCAAGTATTACCACGTCAAATCTTAGGGTCCTGATAGTTTTCTATCAGAGGCATGACATTGATACAGCAGTCCTGCCAATGCTATGCATTTATTCTTATTTGCTCAGCCCTAGCTGCATGTCCCTAAATTAGACATATCATATTGATTTTTATTCAATTCTGCATAATTTAAGTTAAATTTTTAATTTTAAGAATTATAGATATGCCCTGGCTGGTTTTGCTCAGTGGTTGGAGCGTTGGCCTGCGGACCAGGGAGTCCCGGATTTGGTTCCTGCTAGGGGCACATACCACACACACACACAGAAAAAGAATTATAGGTATTTTTTCTATTTTTAAATTTAGTTTCTTTTGGTGATCGTCTTGTTCATGTTTCTGAGTTCATCACTTATTAATTTCAGTAATACTTATCGTCCATATTGAATAATTCTAATAACTGAAGTTTTAGGGATATAAATCTGCTGTTATTTCTGCTAATTCTCTGTTGTGGTTATTTGTTTCCTATGTGTTTATAGATCTTTGATAGTGACAACTTCACCCATTGGCCAGCGAACTCAATTTTGAATGGAATGTTATTCAGCACTTAGTAATAAATGTTAACATTTATTAAGTGCTTATCCAGTGCTTATCCCTGGACTAAGGGTTTCCACACACACTATGTAATCTTTACAACAATTCCATAAAGTAGGCAGAAGAGAACTCAACTAGCATATTTTGGCATCTACTATGCCAGTTACTTTGCAGATGCTTTACCTAAATCTGCCTCCAGAATATGACATAGATATTATTTTATACATTTTTAAAATAAGAAAACTGAGACCTGAAAAACTCATTCAGCTAATTGATGATGGAGATGAGGATTCTAAACCAAGCATTAACTCCAGAATCTGTGTCACTCCCTTTGAGATGAAGGGCATTTTGGAGATAGTCAAAAGGATAAGTTGACTATCAATCTAATTTTTCAAATTTCCCTTTCTTTAAGTTACAGCAACAGAAATAATTACTAAGAAAGTTGTAGCTTAGTTTAGAATTAAAGGCTTTAAAATAACTAGAGTACAAACAAAATATGGTTTTGTTATTTATCGAGTGTGGTGGATTAGGATAGACATTCAGTCTTTGATACTATTATTGAGAAGAGGAGTCTATATTTCCTCCTCTTGAATTAAAGAAAATAAATAAAAAACCATCTAAACTGGAAAGGAAGAAGTAAAATTATCTCTATTCATAGATGGCATGATTTTATATACAGAACATCCTAAAGAATTTCCCAAAACCAAGAGCTAATAAGTGAATTCAGCAGAGCTTCAGGAGACAGAATCAATATATAGAAATCACTTGTACTTCTATACACTAAGAATAAACAATCCAAAATTAAATTTAAAAAATTAATATATGATAGTGTCAAAGAGAAAAAAAATACTTTGGATTAAATTAACTAAAAAAAAGGAGGGTGTGGAATAAATTTAACTGAAAACTTTACAATGAAAATGGCAAGACATTCCTGAAGAAAGTGAAAGATCTTAGAAAATGAAAAGTCATCCCATGTTCACAAATTGGAAAGTTTAATGTTGTCAACGTGGCAATACTACCGAAAGCTATCTACAGATTTCATGCAATCCCTATGAAAATGTCAAGGGCATTTTCCCCAGAAACAGACAAGCTAATTCAAAAATTAGTGTATAATTTCAAGCAACCTCAAATAGCTGCACCAACCTTGAAAGAGAAAAGTGAAGTTGATGGAATCCTACTTCCTGATTTCAAAATTATCTAAAAGTTGTGAAAAACAATTTGGTGGCTTCTCAAAAAATCAAACATAAAATTATCACATGATCCAGCAATTTCACTGCTAGCTATAACCCCCAAAGCTGGAAAGCAGGTGTTCAAATACTTATACACCAATGTTCATAGCAGCACTGTTCACAATAGTCAAAAGGTGAAAACAACCCAAATGTCTATCAATTGATGAATGGCTAAACAAAATGAGTATATTCATACAAAGGACCACTATTCAAGATAAGAAGAAATAAAGTATCGATACATACTATAACATGGATGAAAACATTAGGCTGAGTTTAAGACATCAGAAACAAAGGCTACATATTGAATAATTCTATTTTTATGAAACATTCAGAGTAGGTAAATCCATAGAGACAGAAAGAAGACTAATGCTGTATAGGTGATGGGGAAAAGGGGAAATGGAAGTGACTGCTTAATGGGTACCGGGGTGATGAAATGTGAAATTTGTTGGAGATAGTGGTGGCCCACCAGTGTATTTACTGAATAATACTGAATGGCATACTTAAAAATGGCTAATAGTTAATATTGTTGTGTGCAATTTACTTTTAAAAAGTTATACTATCTCGCCCTGGCCGGTTTGGTTCAGCGGTTAGAGCGTCGGCCTGCGGTCCTGAGAGACCCGGGTTCGGTTCCCGCTAAGGGTGCGTACATCGGTTGCAGTTTGTCCCCGGCCCTGGTCGGTTGTGCGGGTGGCAGCCACTTGATGTGTTCCTTTCACATCGATGTTTCTCTCTCTCTCTCTGTTCCTCTCTCTCCCTCCCACTCTGTCTGAACAAAAAATGGAAAAATGTCCTCGGGTGAGGATAAAAAAAAAAAAAAAAGTTATACTATCTCTTTTTAAGTAACTTTTTGTATGTATATAAGTAATATTTTGGAAAATATTCAGAATATACATTTAAAAAGATAAAAAAGGAATTTCAAATGAATATAATAGCATTTCTAGTAAGTTTCAAAAGCACTTACCTTGATGGGGTCCCTTTTTCCTTTTTAGTATTATATACCCAATTGAGCAATACTTTTCTAACAAAGGTAAGAATTTTTTTGCTTTCAGAAAAATTTTTTATTGTCTCAAGACTCATGTATCTAAAAAAAAACAACAACAAAAAACAAAAAAAAACTTTGAACATGCTTTTAAAATTTTGGGATAAGTTTAATGCAGTATTGTCAGAAAGCAAAAAGACTATTTTGCCCAGTGATGAAGGGAAATGAGATGTTTTCATGGGCATCGGTTCAAGTCACAAAGCTGTAGATACTGTAGATATATAATTATGAAGTTTTATTGTGGGGCTCAGTAATTAAATACAGAGTATAAAAAAACTGAAGATACATGGTTTAAATTAGAGAGAGGTCAAGGGTTCAGGGATAGAAAGCATACCATATTTCAAATATTTGGGATTCAATTACATATGTTGGATCCCCCATTATTTGGTTTGGCAATATACAAGTTATCTCATCAACCTGTTTGCTCTATAGAATGAAAGTAAAAATACCTATGCCAGCCTGGGATAACTAAATGAGAAAGTATGTATGGAACATCCAACCCATCTCACATCTTTCTCATCTCCTTTTTTACATCTTCTGGGCAAGTAGTCAGAGAATTTGTGGGGAGAATACAAGCTGTAGATTAAGAGTTAAAGTGGTTTCTTGCAGAAGTTGGTGGTAATAAACCCCCAAAAGACATTTCAGTGGCACATGTCCTAAGTTGTCCTTCAGTTTCTTCTGACTTTTCTGGTGAGACAGCTTAGATCTGTATGCTATAATTTGGTCTTGCTTAGGCAATTCCCTTGGTTTTATGAGGAACTTACATGTTGCTGACCAGATAACTTTTATTGTCTTCATCAGGAGGATGGAGATCTGTCCTTGGGTCTGAGGTCCTACCTTATAAAGTGGCTTAATAAAAGGTCATAGGTGACTTAAGTTCAAAGGTGCACCTTGTCCTTCCTATTGATTATGATGTTCTCATTCTAAATTTGGGCCATTTCTCTGCTACAGGGAAACTGATGCAATTGAAAAGAAAAAAAAACCCAACCCATTCAATTCTCTGTGATTCAGTATAATGTGGTAGTTACATGGAAAATCATTAATGTGCACATGACTTGATTCATTCCTAATTTTTGAAATATTTATTGGACACCTATTATGCTTGCTAAATGCTGGGGATAAACCATAAGCAAATACTAGTTTCTGCCCTCAAGAATTTAGCAGAGTAGTGGAGTAAAACATGCAAATAACAACTACAATCAAGTGTAGTAAATTTTGCTGTGGAGATAACAAGAGGGAACAATGACCCACACATGATAGCACATTTAATAGATTCTTGGGCAACAAGAAAACCTTCCTGAAGGAATTAATATCTAAGATATGATCATTTCACAAGTTCTTATGAATCCTAAAATTCTGTCATCAATAAGTATGTGATATTTGACAGCCCAAATTCTGGCTCCTGAATTCCTATTTTATATCAATATGTTCCCTGTTTAGACCTATTAGATCAAGAAAAGAGTATGATCTTTTTAACCGGATAGTAAGATAGTTTAGCTTTGAATCTAAACCCTGTAATTTATTAGACAAATGACCTTGAGTAAATTACTTAATCTCTCCAGGCCTCACTTTCCTCATCTGCAAAATGAAGATAATGATAGCCCTTATCTGGTATGATTTTTAGACATAAAATTGGTAATATATGTAAAATGTTTAAAACAGTATCTAACACAGGACTAAATTAATAAAAACTCTCTATTCAAAATATTATTTCTTAGGTAATTACACAGGCATCTAGCACAAGTCCTGGTACTCCTTTATCAACCCGACATGTTTCTCTCCTTAGATTTTTTTTTTTTTTTTTTTACTTGCCACAGGACCCCCAATGGCATGGGGCTACTGATAGGAATCATCAGCAAATGGCAAAATCAACTCCAACGCAGCCCAGCAAAGGAGCAAGTACTCAATACAAGGGTGATGAAGAGAATGTTCTCTGGAGGACTGGACTACCATTTCACTAATCTTGCTATTCCCCACAGTGCCTGGCCTATCGTTCTGTGCATATTAGTATTCAATATTTATCTCTTACACGTATGAATAAAAATGTCATGTATTCTGAAATTTGCCTTCATTGTCCACTCTGAGTTTGTTCAGCTCTTCAGCCCCCTTTTCCCACTGATGATCTCCTTTTTGTGTCCATTTATTCATAGGCAAGTGCTGCTTCTGCCTTCTCAGATTTAAAGAGGAAAAAATCAATGGGGCTGCACTGCTCTGTGCTGTTTTTGTGTGTTTGTTTTGTTTTTACATTAACCTTTCCTGGACAATGAAGCAATCATGTTTTCAGCATGTTATTTATTCATTCTTTGAAAAGTACACAGCATATTGTTTTAAATTGATCAAGTTTGCCCAGCCCTCGTTCAGAACTACTCTACCACCACTCAGGTCTCCTAAGCTTTTGAAGGCCTTAGATCAAGAGGGCAAATAGAAAGCCAGTATGTACTATATATGAAATGTTTAAACATTGGTAATCAAGAAACCAAAAATTTAATTAAGCTATTTTATCTTTCTATCTTCACAGATATAATGTCCTGATGATTTGCATAGCTAAGCTTGAAATAAAAAGTCATAGACTCACCCTGGCTGGTTTGGCTCAATGTTTAGGGTGTTGGCCCATGGACCAGAGAGTCCTGGGCTCAGTTCCCACTAAGGGCACATACCTTAGTTGCAGTTTGTCCCCGACCCTGGTTGGGGTTGTGTGGGTGACAACCACTTGATGTGTCTCTCTCACATTGATGTTTTTCTCTCTCTCTTCCTCTCTCTCTCCCTCTTGCTATATCTGAAAATAAATGCAAAAATGTCCTCAGTTAAGGATAAAAAAAAAAAAAAAGTCATAGTCTCTTTAAAAATCTGTACTTGAACACTAATGAAATCATGGTCTAGTGTCTGGCTGCTTCTCATCTCATGCCTGGCTTTTTCCCTCTCACTGTACTACATGCTGGTCCATGTGAGTGGACACCAGGCTGACACATCTCTTAGGTTTGGGGCTGTGTACACTAAAGCCCATTTTGCATGGCCCGTGGGAAAAGGTCCAAGAAGACCCCACAAATGAATTTAGTATTGTGTGAGCAGAGAATTTTGGTATTCTTAGTACCAGAAGTGTAAACCAGAATGAGAAGGTATGTCTGTGCTTTGTAGTCTTCATCCCTCCACAGGTGATAATCTGAAAATAATCCCTAAAACGCTGACTTTGAGAATCTCCCTGCTTACTGTGGAGACTTACTTTTAAAGAAATCATTACAAATGTATGCTAAGTATTCAAAGAGGATGTGTTGTGGGAAGGTGTGCCTAAAGGGGTTTGATTTAGTGAGGCATTTGAGTAGTCCAAACAAAAAAAAAGTGGTTTACTACAATTTAGCTTCGGGGGGGCTGAATTATTGGATGATCCCAAATTACCAGACATAACCAAGGAAACTAACCAGTACAATTTCTTAAATGCCATGACTTAGAAGGATGGAAATTCTCTCTTGACAAGGTACTTACTCTCCCCTCTCACCAAAGCTTCCTGCTGCACCTACTAGCATCTGGGCTGCACTCTGGGACAGAGTCTCATTCCTGTATTGTCTCTGGTAGCTTGCCTAAAAGAAAAGTCAAGTCATTATACAGCATAATTAACAATGGCAACTTATTTATCCCTTTAATGGAAAAATAATCTGTGAGAAAGAAGTCAAAATCCCCAAATAATCTCGTATCTTTATAAAAAAGAATCTCTCTACGTAGTCCAGACCATGAGCTCAATGTAGAAGACAGGCCTGAGCTATGGGTGGAACCCAACTGTTTCTGTAGGAAACTAGGATCCTGCTAGATATTAATTACATTTTTCCAAACAAATGGAGTTTTGTGGCCAAATAAGTATGGAAACTACTGCAAGCCATATTTCCACCTTAATAGTTCATAGTGGATATTAGAATATTAAAGGCTCTACAACCAGCATCTGCTCCACCCTCTGGAAATCCTCTTACTCTAAACACCTGAGGGAGTTTTTCATTCGGTTGAGGACTACAGTCTAAGGCTCATCAAGTAACTGAGACTAATAGCCTCAGGCAAAAAGCTAGAGGATAACTGAACCTTTCCTGGGCTTGCAAATCCTACTGCTGGTGGGAATGCAGTCTGGTGCAGCCACTATGGAAAACAATATGGTGTTTCCTCAAAAAATTAAAAATTGAAATGCCATTTGACCCATATCCCACTTCTAGGAATATACCCTAAGAAGCCTGAAACACCAATCAGAAAGAATATATGTACCCCTGTGTTCATAGCAGTATTATTTACAATAGCTAAGATCTGGAAATAGCCCAAGTGTTTAGCAATAGATGAGTGGATAAAAAAGCTGTGGTACATATATACCTTGGAATACTATGCAAGTGTAAGAAAGAAAGATCTCTTATCCTTTGAGACGACATGGAGGGACCTGGAGAGTATTATGCTAAGCAAAATAAGCCAAGCAGAGAAAGACAAATATCACATGATCTCATTTGTGGAATATAATGAACAAGGTGGGCTGATGAATGAAATAGACCCAGAGATATAGAAAGGAGTATGGTTTGGACTGACAAACCTCAGAGGAGGGGGAATGGATTGGATGAACCAAAGAAATTATATGCATGTATGCATAACCAATGGACATAGACAACAATGCCGTGGGGTGGGGGTGGGGGTGGGGACAGGATGGGGAGGAAGGTGTCTACAGGGTAAAAAGGAGAAACATCAGTAACAAAAATAAATGAATAAACATTGCAAATAAATAAGGGCTCTGAGAAATTCTACAGTGAAGGGTCCGGGTTTATATTTTTATTTAATTCAATTTTTTCAAATATTTTGACAACAGAACTCTGTTGTCTACAGTCTGTTATTAGCATTAAGTGACCTGTTACTGTTGTGAAAAACACAGTTAGTCATTCATTCAGCTCATATATTGAGAGCCCACTCTGCTTCAGGATCATGCTGGGGAAACCACTGTCTGCCACTGCCTCTGGCCTCAGTGTGCTGAACACTGTTGAAGTCGTTGTACAGACCGACTTCCAAAATTGGAATGTATGGTATGACTGAAGACTCCTGGGTCCCATCAAAGACATTCTATATGCACAATCATTTATACATATTGAAACATGGCTTTGATCCTGGTGGATGCTAGAAAGAGATGGAACTAAATTTGAAGATGAGGAAATTCAATAACATAGCATTTTTCTCCTCAAATATAACTAAAATACTTATAAAATAACATGAGATTTAAATATGTTCCATACTCTCAAAGATAAGCACTATAGCTTATGGAGAAATAAAAAGCTGGAAATAACATGGAGCTCGCGAAAGCAGCACAAGTGATAAAGCAGTTAGTTACTAGAAAAATGTTCATTCTTACGTCATCATTCACTACCAAAATGTAAGACCAATTTAGAGAATGGGCGATTCCTCAAAATAACTGTCATTTATTGAGCTCTCTATTATACTATTAAATTAACTGATCTATATATGTTTTACATAAACTTATGTAATTCTTGCAACAAGTTTGTGAGGAAGGTAGTCTAATCTGTATTTTATTGATGAGAAAGCTGAGGTTCAGGGAGTTGAGTCGTTTTCCCAAGATCTCATTAGCAAACTCCATTCTCTCTGAATATAAACCTGTCTCCTGTTTTCCCCATATGGTATATTGCTTCTCCTATTTCATGTCTTGTCATGCTGGCCTTCTTTTCCTAACAACCAGTAGGAGAGAAAATATTGCCCCAGTTAACAAAGGCTGGCTGAGATTTAAATAGACATTCCCAAAGCTCTAAAACTTAAACAGACTAATCAATATTATGGTTCAGAGCAGTGAACGTTAGAATTAAGATTGAAGGAATCAAGTCAACTAACTGAGATAAACATGGAAATATTTTTAGAAGAAAAACATGGAATCAAATTAAGGACCAAAAAGATGTGAGGTGAGATGAAAATCTAGAGCAGAGAGATTCAATCTACTTTGGAAAAATAGGATTTCCTGATTAAGAACCACACATAGCACTAAATTAATAAAGATATAGTAGTAGAAAAGTAATATTTAAGGTACATGGAGTGTATATTGCAGAAACACAGGATATAACAAGTGGAATCAAACTAAGAGGTGTTTCAGTTAGCATAAATATTCTGATAGGGAGAATAAAGACGGAAAGGAGTAAGTCCTGAGACACATCATATTAACAGCAAAAGCAAGACTCAAAATGGAGTCTCCTGAATTGTTTTAAGAGTTCTTGAATACTAGATTTTCCTAAAATAGATTAAAAATCTGGAAGTGACTCAAAGACATGATCTCATAGTCTGCTGGTGAAACAAAGTACCGCATGGCCTAAGTTCACCCTTCATGACATTACCTCAATAGTTTATGGAAATATTTTAGATAACTTGAAAAGCTGCCTTTGAGATTCAACGTGTCTGCCAGGATTACTGCTGGAGAGAGAACAATCAGACCCTACAGACCTTTTATTTCCCAAGTTAGACTGAGCAAGTAGAATGCTTGAAATCCTGTACGGCTGGAATAGCTGAGAAACGCACAACTCATATACAGTGAGGAAGGCCCAACATGAACACTTCAAGAGGATGAGTCATGGCAACTGGTCAATATTCTGCCTGGGATAGAAAATGGTAACTAGTTTATAAGAAGTTTCCCACAGAATCCTGTAGGCTGCTGTGTGTTACAGAATTAATCTAATTTTTACTAAAGATTTTATATAAAAATACACTACCCTATACTTGCAGTTACTAGTGAACTTGGTGGTAGCCTTTTAAGAAAAATTGGTTTGGGAACCGAAAAATGGCGGTGGAGTGAACGGAGCTACACAGACCGTCTCCCAGAACCAAACTGGAATTACAACTATAACACAGACAAATCGACGGGAAAAACCAACAGAAAAGCAGCTTGCGAGGACCATACAACGAGGGACACTGACTCCATCCCGGTAGGCTTGCGAAGGCGCGAGACTGGGCTGGGGGCCCATGGTCGGCAGCTCGGCAGCGGCCTTAGCTGTAAGCTGAGCCCTCGGTTTACACTCCCAGGCGGCTCCACAGTGCAGAGCTGGGGCAGAGGCTAAAACAGCCACAGCCACTCACCTTGGGCTCCGGCGGAGGGAGGGCAGACAGGACTGGAACTGTGTCGGGACACTCGGGGTTTGGAGGGCGCTCAGAGCTTTGGCTGAGTGCAGCCACTCAGGACGGTGGCCACATTGCTCCTTCCCAGGGCTCTGAGGAGAGGCAGCAGCCCCTCCCTCAGAGATCCAACCCCACCCTGTGGGCCATTGAAGTGTTAATTGAGGTTCACTAACAACCAGCATCTGCCCCACCCTCGTGAAAGCCCCTTGGCTGAGCACAAGAGGGAGTTTTTCAATCAACTGACAACCCAAAACTCATCAAGTAACCTAGACTGCTAGCCTCCAGGCAAAAAGCTAGAGGATAACAGTAAGTTTCCTGGGCTGGCAACTTTAACCAGGAAAGTAAGACTTGACAGTGGTGTTCAACGTGGGTCCTCCCTCGCTCATCTAAACACAGGAGAGGGAGCCACAAACAGCAGAACACCAACACCCACAGGGAAAACTTGACAGGGTCCAAAGCCCACAGTGATAGCCAAAATGGTTAAACACAGAAACAGAAGCCAAATGAAAGAGCAAGACACCTCCACCAAAGATGAGATCAATGTGGAGCAATTAGGCATGTTAACAGAGCTAGAATTCAGAGCCATGATCTTGAGGAAGCTGAACAGCATGAGTAAGGACATAGAAACACTGAAAATAAGCCAATTGGAAATTAAAAACCAACAAGAAGAGATAAAAAATGACATATCAGAAATGAAAAACACATTGGAAGGTTTAAAAAGCAGAGTAGGGGAAGCTGAGGACCGGATCAGTGAATTAGAAGACAGGGTAGAACAAATCAACCAATCAGAAAAACAAAAGGAAAAAACGATTAAAAAACAGGAAGACAGCTTAAGAGAACTATGGGACAACTGGAAACGTAATAATATTTGCATCATAGGAGTCCCCGAATATATTAAAAAAAAATAGTGACAGAAAACTTCCCTAATTTGGTGAAGGAAGAAGGCATTCAAGTTCAAGAAGCACAGAGAGTCCCAAGTAAGAAGAACCCAAACAGGCCCACACCAAGACACATAGTAATTAAAATGCCACAAATTAAAGACAAAGAGAGAATCCTAAAAGCAGCAAGAGATAAGCAACAGGTTACCTACAAAGGAAACCCCATAAGGCTCTCAGCTGACTTCTCACAAGAAACACTACAGGCCAGAAGGGAATGGCAGGAAGTAATCAAAGTCATGAAAAACAAGAATCTGAATCCAAGACTACTCTACCCAGCAAGGCTATCATTCAAAATAGAAGGTCAAATAAAGAGCTTCCCAGACAAAAAAAGGCTAAGGGAATACATTAGCACCAAACCAGCACTGCAAGAAATGTTAAAAGGACTGCTGTAATTAGCAGGAGAAATGGGAAGGAAAATAGAACCACACTAAACAAAAATGGCAATAAATAAGTACATATCAATAATCACCTTAAACGTAAATGGATTGAATGCTCCCATAAAGAGACACAGAGTAGCTGATTGGATAAGAAAGCATGACTCATCTATATGTTGTTTACAAGAGACCCACCTCTCAACAAAAGACTCACATAGGTTGAAAGTGAAGGGATGGAAAAAAAATTTCCAAGCAAATGGAAAGCAAAACAAAGCTGGGGTAGCAATTCTCATATCTGATAAAATAAATTTCAAAATGAAGACCATAACTAGAGACAAAGACGGCCACTACATAATATTGAAAGGATCTATCCAACAGGAACATATAACCTTGATAAACATATATGCACCCAATATAGGAGCACCAAAATATATTAAAAATCTTCTGGAGGACTTCCAAGGAGAAATTGACAACAATACAATCATAGCAGGGGACTTCAACACTCCATTGACAGCACTGGATAGATCCTCTAGGCAAAAAATTAGCAAGGAAACAGAGACTCTAAATGAAACACTAGACCAAATGGATTTAATAGATATCTACAGAGAATTACACCCCAAAACTACAGAATATACATTCTTCTCACGTGCACATGGGACATTCTCAAAGATAGACCACATGATAGGACACAAACTAAATCTCTACAAGTTCAAGAAGATTGAAATCATATCAAGCATCTTCTCAGATCACAATGGCATGAAACTAGAAATCAATTGCAACAAGAACATGCAAAGACATTTCAACACATGGAGGCTAAATAGCATGTTATTAAACAATGAAGGGGTCACCGAGGAGATCAAGGAAGAAATTAAAAACTTCCTGGAAACCAATGAAAATCAACACACAACAACACAAAATCTATGGGATGCAGCGAAAGCAGTTCTGAGAGGGAAGTTCATAGCACTACAGGCCTACCTCAAAAAACAAGAAAAATTTCTAATTGACTGTCTAACCTCACAACTTAAAGAATTAGAAAGCAAACAAAAAGAAAACCCCAGAGCAAGTAGAAGGAAGGAAATAGTAAAGATCAGAGCAGAAATAAATGACATAGAGACCAAAAAAACAATTCAAAGGATCAATGAAACCAGGAGCTGGTTTTTCGAAAAGATAAACAAGACTGATGGACCCTTAGCTAGACTTACCAAGAAACAAAGAGAGAGAACCCAAATACACAAAATCAGAAATGAAAGAGGAGAAGTAACAACCAACACCACGGAAATACAAAAGATCGTTAACAACTACTATGAACAACTATATGGCAACAAATTCGACAATCTAAGCGAAATGGACAAATTTCTAGAAACACACAGTCTCCCAAAACTATCCCCGGAAGAGATAGAAAACTTGAACAGACCAATAACAACTAAGGAAATTGAAGAGGTAATCAAGACTCTCCCAGCAAACAAAAGCCCAGGCCCAGATGGTTTCACGGGGGAGTTTTACCGAACATTCAAAAAAGAACTAACACCCATTCTCCTCAAACTATTTCAAAAAATTCAAGAAGAAGGAAGACTTCCAAACACGTTCTATGAGGCCAGCATAATTCTAATTCCAAAACCAGAAAAAGACACTACGAAGAAAGAAAACTACAGGCCAATATCCCTGATGAACATAGACGCCAAAATCCTGAACAAAATATTAGCAAATCGGATCCAGAAATACATCAAAAAAATTATTCACCATGACCAAGTGGGATTCATTCCAGGGATGCAAGGCTGGTACAATATTTGCAAATCAATAAACGTGATACACCACATAAACAAAATGAAGAATAAAAACCACATGATCATATCAATAGATGCTGAAAAAGCATTCGACAAAATCCAGCATCCATTTCTGAAAAAAACGCTCAGCAATGTGGGAATAGAGGGATCATATCTCGACATAATAAAGGCCATATATGAAAGATCTACAGCCAATATCATTCTAAATGGACAGAAACTAAAAACATTTCCATTAATAACAGGAACAAGACAGGGATGTCCACTTTCGCCACTCTTATTTAACGTTGTACTGGAAGTCTTAGCCACAGCAATCAGACATGAAGAAAAAATAAAAGGGATCCAAATTGGAAAGGAGGAAGTGAAACTGTCATTATTTGCAGATGACATGATATTGTACATAGAAAACCCTAAAGACTCCATCAAAAATCTATGAGACTTAATAAATGAATTTGGCAAAGTAGCAGGATACAAAATTAACGTCAAGAAATCGACGGCATTCTTGTATACCAATGATGAACTCACAGAAAGAGAAACTGAAGAAACAATCCCATTTACCATCGCGCCAAAAAAATTACGATACCTAGGAATAAACTTAACCAAAGAAGTAAAGGACCTATTTGCAGAAAACTACAGGTCATTGAAAAAAGAAATAGAGGAAGATATAAAAAAGTGGAAGCACATACTCTGTTCATGGATTGGAAGAATTAACATCATTAAAATGTCCATACTACCCAAAGCAATCTATAGATTCAATGCAATCCCCATCAAAATACCAAGGACATATTTCATAGAACTAGAACAAATACTTCAAAAGTTCTTATGGAACCAAAAAAGTCCCCGATTAGCCACAGCAATCTTGAAAAAGAAGAACAAAGTAGGTGGGATCACAATACCAGATATCAGGTTATGCTACAAAGCGACTGTAACCAAAACAGCCTGGTACTGGCACAAGAACAGGCTTATAGACCAGTGGAACAGAACTGAAAACCCAGAAATGGACCCAAGGCAATATGCTCAATTAATATTTGACAAAGGTGGCAAGAGCATACAGTGGAGTAAAGACAGCCTCTTTAATAAATGGTGTTGGGAAAATTGGACAGCTACATGCAAAAAAATGAAACTAGACCATCAACTTACACCATACACAAAAATAAACTCAAAATGGATAAAAGACTTAAATGTGACCCGTGAATCCATAAAAATTCTAGAAGAAAATGTAGGCAACAAAATTTCGGACATCATACGGAGCAGAATTTTCACTGATACATCACCTAAGGCAACAGAAATAAAGGAGAAAATGAACACATGGGACTACATCAAACTCAAAAGCTTCTGCACAGCAAAAGAAACAATCATCAAAATGGAAAGGCAACCCACTGTATGGGAGAACATCATTGCCAATGATGTATCAGATAAGGGGTTAATTTCCAATATATATAGAGTGCTCATACAAGTCAACAAAAGGAAGACAGAGAACCCAATTAAAAAATGGGCAGAGGAGCTGAATAGACACCTCTCCAAACAGGACATACAAATGGCCAAGAGACATATGAAGAAATGCTCAACATCACTAATCATCAGAGAGATGCAAACTAAAACAACAATGAGGTATCACCTCACACCTGTCAGAATGGCCGCCATCAACAAATCATCAAACAACAAGTGTTGGCGAGGGTGTGGAGAAAAGGGGACTCTAATACACTGCCGGTGGGAATGCAGACTGGTGCAGCCGCTATGGAAAACAATATGGTGCTACCTCAAAAAATTAAAAATTGAACTTCCATTTGACCCAGTGATCCCACTGCTGGGAATATACCCTAAGAAGCCTGAAACACCAATCAGGAAGAATATATGTACCCCCATGTTCATAGCAGCACTATTTACAATAGCTAAGATCTGGAAACAGCCCAAGTGTCCACCAGTAGATGAATGGATAAAAAAGCAGTGGTACATATACACAGTGGAGTACTATGCAGCGGTGAGAAAGAAAGATCTCTTATCCTTTGAGATGACACGGAGGGACCTGGAAAGTATTATCCTAAGTGAAAGAAGCCAAGCAGAAAAAGACAAATACCACATGATCTCACTTATATATGGAATATAATGAACATAATAGTCTGAGGAATACAGTAGACCCGGACACATGGAAGTAGGGCACAGACTGACATCCCTCAGAAGAGGGGATGGGGGGTGAGGGGGTGGGAAGAGATAAACCACAGAACTTATATGCATGTATGCATGACCAATGGACATGGACAACTCACCCGGGGACAGGGTGGAGGGGGGGTGGGGGGGTGGGGGGTGCCAATGGGGTAAAAAGGTGAAATATCTGTAACAAAAAAATAAATAAAAATTCATAAAGAAAAAAAAAAAAAAAAGAAAGAAAAACTGGTTTGGACCCAGAGACAGGCAGTGTCATGAAACTGACTGAATGCTAACACACCTGAAGGTTGAGCTCAGCAGAATTTCCTGCCACTGGGACCTGTGAAATTCCCAGGTCCTCATAATAAAACACCTTTTACTTAAGCTAATTTAAATGGATATATTTCCCCCTTCTCTTTCTTTCTTTTTTTTTGCAGTCAAGTGGATTCCTAAAACAATGTCAAACTTTGCTTTGCCTTTGTCAACAACTAATTAAGCTATGCAGCTGAGCATAATCAAGATGCCTTCAGCAAGGGGAGAAAGTTTTCAGTATAATTTTAGGTCAGAAAAAAAATTTTCAAATGGTATAATAAAGTACTAACAATTTGTGCTGACAGAAGACGCCGGTTGGCCAGCTCCATTGCTTCAATGTTAAGGGTCTCATTTATTTCCTTGTTACAGTTTGGACACCTCACCTTTTGATGTTCTATTGTTTCTCCTTGGTTTAGCTAAGTATAACACAGATCAAAACCAAAAAATAATACATGGATATTAACATATTGTTTCGCATAAACCTTAAGCAATTTATGTACCAGTTTGATATAAGAAATTATAAAAATTTGCTAGATATAGAAAAATATTCAGATGCGTTTCCTCATTATTTGCACAGTTATCAAGAATGTAAAATGATTGCCAACTTGCCCAGCTGGTGTGGCTCAATGCTTGGGCATCAATCCATGCACCAAGAGGTGCCAGTTTGACTCCCAATCAGGGCACATGCTCAGGTTGTGGGCTGATCCTCAGTGGGGGATATGGAGGAGGTGGCCAATCAATGTTCTCTCTCATTGATGTTTCTATCTCTCTCCCCCTCTCCATTCCTCTATCTCTAAAAAATCAATAAAGAAAAAAAATTTTTTTTTAATAAAAAAAGAAAATGATTGCCAACTTGGGGGGAAAGAAGTTATAACATACCTTTAGCTATACTTGGCACTGTTTGTTTATGAAAGCTACTGCATATGTAATCACACTCTAAACCAGTGGTTCCAAAATTATGTTTCCCTGGTAACATGAGCATCACCTGGGAGTTGTTAGAAATGAACTTTCTCAGGTCCCTCCACAAAACTACTGAACCAGAAACTCTGGGGAACGGGGCAATACTGCTCCTTCTTTTGAATTTACAACACACATTTTGTTTATACTCAAAGAGGCTGTCACTTTGACTTTATCCCATACTGATCACAAAATTCTCTACAATCCCCTACTTACGATTGTGGTAAATAAGGAATTACCAATGTAACGTCTCTGTTAATTATAAGTATTAAAATTTGTGAATTAATATTTATAACACTTACACTTATTTAAGGGCAATTATACCTACTTTGAAGGATACATTAAAAACACTACTTGCTTACTGCATATGGGTTTTGAAATACAATTGCTTTCTCAACCATGTTCCAATCTGCATTAGCAAGATCTTTGTCAAATTTGAGTGCGGAGGCTGCAGATTTGGTTGTCTCTTGAAAATGTTGAAATGTATAATAAAGTGATTTATATTTTGTGGATGTGATGTCACGCAGACCTTTGATAGAAAGAGCACATTTTATAAAGAGTAGAAACATCACCATTTTGATCTGAATTATAAAGCTTCCTTTTTGTTCTTATTGTATGTACTAAGTAGTTTTTTTTAATTAAAGACTCAAATTGTTTAATAATAGAAACAGTAACAATTTCAAAATTTTCTACTTCCATACTCCTTCTAATAGCTAATATTTATTGAGTGTTTACCATACCTCAGCACTTTGCATGTATTAAGTTTTTTTTATCATCTTGACCACCTTTTGAGGCAGGTCCCTTTTCCTGGTTTGATAGATGAGGAGACAGAGGATTAAATGGCAGACTGGGTAAGGAAGATTGCCTTTCTCAATGTGAGCAGACCTCATCCAATTTGTTGGAGGCCTGAATAGAATAAAAGGCTGAGCAAAATAAAAGTCACTCTCTCTGACTGATGGTCTTCAAGGTGGGGCATCCATCCTCTCTTGCCTTCAGATTTGGACTAGAACTTACACTGTTGTCTTTTCTACTTCTCGAGCATTTGAACTGCATATCCATCTTTTATACCTATATATGCCATATAGGCTTAGGTATAGATGCAGATAAATATATATTATATATATATATATAATTTATACACATGTATATACATGTACAGAGTATACGTACATATATATCCTACTTATATGTAAGATTATGGTGTGATATGTATGATATATATTTATCTCTATATATATCCAGACCTCATTAAGGTTTGAAGGACTCTTACTATCAGACACAAATTCCTTTTCTTTGAGTCATAGGAGCTTGTTTGGAAAGCAATAATGTTTTAAGAGCAAATGTTCACTACTCTCAGTGCACGTAAACAGATGCTCCACAATAAGACTTTTAGGTTTATTTAGCTACTAAGCAGAACATTTAATACTCTTTGCAAAACTTTACCTCTTCAATCTGTTCTTCCCATTTTACTATCCTAAGGCTCACAGAACTTTAAAAAGAAAGAAGAAAAGGAAGATGATTTTGTTGCAAATATGAGGTATAAAAGGGGATTGGGTAGTACAATATTATCTATAAAGATGAAATTTCAGTTTGATAAAATATGCCATTAGAATGAAAACTCTGTGTGTAATAAAATGGGAATAAGCAATTAAGAATGTAATGAATTAAAAGCATCAAGGCACTATGTTTCTAGTTCTTAACTGCCATTACCTTGTTGTGTGAACTTGGGTAAGGACTTTTAACTCTCTAAATCTCATTTTCTCAATTGTTAAAAAGTAGGGGATTAAAACAGGCATATTGCATTATGCAAATATCCTCCTAAAACTATTTCTGCTTCCACTCTCCTTATCACTCCCCTCCTCAATCAGTTATCCACAGAACTAGAGTGGTCTTTTTAAGACCTTAATCATATGCTAATTACACATATGGCTTCCTTAGAAACATACCACCTATTGAGTTTATAATTTATTTATATGTGGTTTGTTTACTTGGATGCACACATGACTGATATTACCTTATTTGACTTATTTACTGGCTGTTTATTACTTTTTTATTATCATTTTTATTTTTTTTAAATCCTCACTGGAGGACATTTTTGTATTTATCTTCAGATAGAGCAGGAGGGAGAGATGGAGGAAGAGAGAAAGAAACGTCGATGTGAGAGAGACACATCAACTGGTTGCTACCCACATGACCCCAACAGGGGGCCAGGGACAAACTGCAACCGAGGTATGTGCCCTTAGCAGGAAACAAACCCGGGACTCTGGTCCGCAGGCCTACGCTCTAACCGTTGAGCCAAACTGGCCAGGGCTTACTGGCTGTTTATCTCCAGTGGAAGCTGTATCAACTCAGAAATCTGGTTGGTCTTCATAATGCATCACTAGCAGTTAAAATAGTGCCTGGCATGTAGGAGGCTCTGAATAAAAGTATGTCAAATAAATGAATAAACTTATTGTATTATGTTACTTAAACTGGGCTAATGTAAATAAGTAATTTTTAAAAATAAACAAACTTATTAGCCTAAACCTTTCATTTAACTACAGAGAGATCCAATTTTCCTTTTTAATTAGACATTGTTGATTTGCATTTATATAGTTCTTTTCTTCATTTTAACCAATTCTTTAGCATATTTAGAATATTTTTCTCTTCACTCAGAATATTAGTAGACTTACCTAGTTTACTAACTACCATCGGCAAAATAACTCTATTGACAGTTAGGGTAATTAAGCATACTGACACTCCGTGAAATAATACCTAGAATTGAAAAAGGCAAAAAGAAAGTATTGATGACAGTTTCATATAATATCTTTTATATTTACCAATGTAAATTAGGCAAGGTTGTACTATGTCAATAGATGCTCATGGAGGGGAGAATTTGGATGTTGGACATGATCAAAATACTCTATGGATTCTCACTCGTCCTGCATGTATTTATTTCATCTATGCTTTTGGAACAAAACCAAAAATCAAGACACATGGTTTGACAAGTAAACATAGTCATACAGACAGTGAAAAAAAACCAAAAACTTGTCTTTAACTATCATTGCTGGATTTCTTGGGCCCTGGAAATATGCCTGTACTTTATTAATTCTTATCCACTTTACACACCTCAGTGTGCCTAGCCAGCCACACAGTTCTTTGCTCAACATTACCAGTACATTGGCATCAGACAATTCTCACCTGTGAAAAGACAACAACTCAGATTCCATGATATGTTTGCTTCACCTCATACTTTGTCTCTCTGACATTGTTTCATTGTCATCAAAAAGCAGCAATTAATGTTTTTAGTGCCACTTGTTTTCTGTCATATCTCAGGTTGGTCTCCATAGATGAGTGGAGGAACACTTTTCAATCTGAGACTGTGCACTTCTGTTGATGTATGGAATTCTGACTTTCATGTGTTTAGTGGTATACATCTTTCTTTTGAAGTGTTTGTTCAACTCTTTTTCCTAGTTCAAAAATTGGATTGTTTTTCTTTTATTATAAAATTGTAAAAAATTTGAAAAATATATTCTAGGGCTAGGCAGACATGCATTGTCAGATATATGTTGTGGATATTTTCTCCCAGTTTGTGACTTACCTATCTATTTCTATAAAACTACTTTTTGATAACCAATGTTTTTAACATTGATGAAGTCCAATTATTATTTATTATGTTCTAAGAACCCTTTGTTCAGTTCTATGTTTTCTTCCAGAACTTTTAGAGTTTTGTATTTTATATTTAAATTTATGATCCATCTCAAATTAGTTTTACATATAAAACTGGTGTGAGGTAAAAATTGATAATTTCTTTTTTCTTTTCTAAATGAATATCCAGTTGTTCAACACAATTTGACAAAAAGACTATCCTTTTTCCCATTGAACTGCTTTGGTGTCTTTGTCAGAAATCAATTGACTATATAAATGTGAGTCCTTTTTAGAGTCTTTATTATATTCCATCTATTTATTTTTATGCCAGTAGCCTACTAACTTATTTATTGTGTCCTTACAGTAAGTCCCTATATTAGATAATATAAATACTCTGACTTTGTTCTTCTTTTTCAGTTTTTATTTTAATGGCTATTCTAGCTCTTTTGCATTTCTCTATATTTTTAGATTTGGCTTTTTTGTTTCTCAAACAAAGCTGATGGGTGTAGATTGTGTTGAATATAGTGCCATCTCAATGATCATAAGTCTTCCAATCCATGAATATGGTATATCTCTCTATTTATTTGGGTTTTTCAATTTTCTCTCAACAATCTCCTATAGTTTTTAGTTCCCAAGTTCTACAAATTGTGGAAAGAAGCCTATACAACGGCTTCCAAAGAGATCTACTTCCTGATATTTAGGTCTATGTGTAATCACTTTGTTTTGAATATAGACTAACCTTATTGACTCATTTCTAATAAATAGTGAATATTTCAGAAGTAATAAAAATTTACTTCCAAATTAGCTCACAAAAGGACTGGCTTCTGTCTTGGGTGTTTGTTCTTTCTTACTTTCTTGCTTGCTCATTCTGAGAGAAGTCAGCTACCATATTGTGAGCTGACTTATGGAGAGACCCAAGTGTCAAGGGACTGAGGGAAGCTTCTGGCCAAGAGCCAGCAAGAAATTGCCAACTGCCTGCAAGGAAGTAAATACTGTCAACAACCATGCAAGGTAACTTTGAAGCAGATTCTCCAGACCCAGTTGAGTCATTTGATGGCTGCACCCCCAGTTTATGCTTAAATAAAAGTTTATCAGAGAAACTGAATTGGAGACACCCAGCTAAAGGGCATCCAGATTTCTGGAAAATAAAATATGTAGTTACCATGATAAATTGACTTAACATCCATTACCTCACATAGTTCTAAATTTTTCTCTCTCATGATAAGAACTTTTAAGACATAATCTCTTACAAACTTTCAAATATATAATATAGTATTGTTAACTACAGTCATCAGGTTGTATTTTACATACCCAGAACTTATTTATCTTATAATTGGAAGTTTGTAACTTTTTTTTTAATTTTTTTATTTTATTTTTTTTACAGATATTTCACCTTTTTTACCCCATTGGCACCCCCCTCCCCACCCCACCCTCACCCCATCCCCAGCTTAGTTGTCCATGTCCATTGGTCATGCATACATGCATACAAATTCTGTGGTTTATCTCTTCCCACCCCCCACCCCCCATCCCCTCTTCTGAGGGATGTCAGTCTGTGCCCTACTTCCATGTGTCTGGGTCTACTGTATTCCTCAGACTATTATGTTCATTATATTCCGTATATAAGTGAGATCATGTGGTATTTGTCTTTTTCTGCTTGGCTTCTTTCACTTAGGATAATACTTTCCAGGTCCCTCCGTGTCATCTCAAAGGATAAGAGATCTTTCTTTCTCACCGCTGCATAGTACTCCACTGTGTATATGTACCACAGCTTTTTTATCCATTCGTCTACTGGTGGACACTTGGGCTGTTTCCAGATCTCAGCTATTGTAAATAGTGCTGCTATGAACATGGGGGTACATATATTCTTCCTGATTGGTGTTTCAGGCTTCTTAGGGTATATTCCCAGCAGTGGGATCACTGGGTCAAATGGAAGTTCAATTTTTAATTTTTTGAGGTAGCACCATATTGTTTTCCATAGTGGCTGCACCAGTCTGCATTCCCACCAGCAGTGTATTAGAGTCCCCTTTTCTCCACACCCAAGCCAACACTTGTTGTTTGATGATTTGTTGATGGCGGCCATTCTGACAGGTGTGAGGTGATACCTCATTGTTGTTTTAGTTTGCATCTCTCTGATGATTAGTGATGATGAGCATTTCTTCATATGTCTCTTGGCCATTTGTATGTCCTGTTTGGAGAGGTGTCTATTCACCTCCTCTGCCCATTTTTTAATTGGGTTCTCTGTCTTCCTTTTGTTGACTTGTATGAGCACTCTATATATATTGGAAATTAACCCCTTATCTGATACATCATTGGCAATGATGTTCTCCCATACAGTGAGTTGCCTTTCCATTTTGATGTTTGTTTCTTTTGCTGTGCAGAAGCTTTTGAGTTTGATGTAGTCCCATGTGTTCATTTTTTTCTTTGTTTCTGTTGCCTTAGGTGATGTATCAGTGAAAATTCTGCTCCGTATGATGTCCGAAATTTTGTTGCCTACATTTTCTTCTATAATTTTTATGGATTCACATGTCACAGTTAAGTCTTTTATCCATTTTGAGTTTTGTGTATGGTGAAGTTGATGGTCTAGTTTTATTTTTTTTTGCATGTAGCTGTCCAATTTTCCCAACACCATTTATTAAAGAGGCTGTCTTTACTCCACTGTATGCTCTTGCCCCCTTTGTCAAATATTAATTGAGCGTATTGCCGTGGGTCCATTTCTGGGTTTTCAGTTCTGTTCCACTGGTCTATATGCCTGTTCTTGTGCCAGTACCAGGCTGTTTTGATTACAGTCGCTTTGTAGTATAACCTGATATCTGGTATTGTGATCCCACCTACTTTGTCCTTCTTTTTCAAGATTGCTGAGGCTATTCAGGGCTTTTTTGGTTCCATATGAACTTTTGAAGTACTTGTTCTAGTTCTACGAAATATGTCGTTGGTATTTTGATGGGGATTGCATTGAATCTATAGATTGCTTTGGGTAGTATGGACATTTTAATGATGTTAATACTTCTAATCCATGAACAGGGTATGTGCTTCCACTTTTTTATATCTTCCTCTATTTCTTTTTTCAATGACCTGTAGTTTTCTGCAAATAGGTCCTTTACTTCTTTGGTTAAGTTTATTCCTAGGTATCTTATTTTTTTTGGTGCGATGGTAAATGGGATTGTTTATTCAGTTACTCATCATTGGTGTACAAGAATGCCGTCGATTTCTTGATGTTAATTTTGTATCCTGCTACTTTGCCAAATTCATTTATTAAGTCTAGTAGATTTTTGATGGAGTCTTTAGGGTTTTCTATGTATAATATCATGTCATCTGCAAATAATGACAGTTTTACTTCCTCCTTTTCAATTTGGATCCCTTTTATTTTTTCTTCATGTCTAATTGCTGTGGCTAAGACTTCCAGTACAACGTTAAATAAGAGTGGCGAAAGTGGACATCCCTGTCTTGTTCCTGTTCTTAATGGAAATGTTTTTAGTTGCTGTCCATTGAGTTTGATGTTGGCTGTAGGTCTTTCATATATGGCCTTTATTATGTCGAGATATGATCCCTCTATTCCCACATTGCTGAGCGTTTTTATCAGAAATGGATGCTGGATTTTGTCGAACGCTTTTTCAGCATCTATTGATATGATCATGTGGTTTTTATTCTTCATCTTATTTATGTGGTGTATCACATTTATTGATTTGCGAATATTGTACCAGCCTTGCATCCCTGGAATGAATCCCACTTAGTCATGGTGAATAATTTTTTTGATGTATTTCTGGATCCGATATGCTAATATTTTGTTCAGGATTTTGGCGTCTATGTTCATCAGGGATATTGGCCTGTAGTTTTCTTTCTTCGTAGTGTCTTTTTCTGGTTTTGGAATTAGAATATTGCTGGCCTCATAGAACGTGTTTGGAAGTCTTCCTTCTTCTTGAATTTTTTGAAATAGTTTGAGGAGAATGGGTGTTAGTTCTTTTTTCAATGTTCGGTAAAACTCCCCCATGAAGACATCTGGGCCTGGGCTTTGTTTGCTGGGAGAGTCTTGATTACCTCTTCAATTTCCTTAGTTGTTACTGGTCTGTTCAAGTTTTCTATCTCTTCCCGGTGCAGTTTTGGGAAACTGTGTGTTTCTAGAAATTTGT